CATTACCAACGACTGCCAAAACCTACAATTTGCCTCGGTTTTCGGCCATAGCTTTTTTGCTCTTAGTCGGATCTTTTTACGTGAGGTCTCATTTTGTAGGTCTCATAAATGCCTGAAAATCTTATGCAAAGAGTTTTTCGTTCCTCCCATCACTTTCCGTTAAATCCCAAAAAACACGTTTTCTCATTATTTGTTGTCGAATAAAAAGTTTTTCCACAAAAATTGGTGTACCCATTTTATGCGTCCATGTTTTAAATATGCCAATAAAACCAGACTTTACAATTATTTGGCAAACCAGGGGTATTTTCGTCTAATATGATTAGATTATAATTATTCTCACTGACATTAGAAGTGTTGTTACACCCAGAAAAAATAAGTTCTTCAACTTGTTTTTTCGGCAACATAATTACTATATTTAAAGCATGCTGTGGCACAATGTCAACTTTTAATCTTTGTTTTTGTTTACCTTTGATAAAATGTTATCTCTTAGTTTTTGTGAAGGAAGCAGTTTCTGAGAGCTGAGTAGTATATATACAGATATTTTTAGTTATTGCCCTAAGCATAACAAAATGCCTCGAGTTCGAACACGTCCAAGTTATCACGATGTTGCGACTTTGACAGGGGTAGAATTATTGCCTATCAAGATGTTGGCTTGTCCTGTCGCGAAATTGTCCGCCGTGTTAATTGTACTGCAATGACGGTAATGCGTGTGTGGATAGAAAAAGGTAGAGGAACACGAAGAAGGCCAACTGGTCCACCAAGCCGTACCACAGAGCGTCAAGATAGGCGCTTCAGACAACTAGCCCTACGAGACCGTTTTGCTACTACGCGTCAGTTCGCTGACCAATGGTTTGGAGAAGGTAGACCTGTTACTATGCGTACACTCTATCGCCGCATTCAAGCCGTCCACAGTCAGTGCTTACTTGACTGCGGTCCACTGTCGTCAACGTTTGAACTGGAGCAGAGAACGGCAACATTGGGAGGCAGAATGGCATAATATCATATTCAGCGACGAATAGAAATTCTGTCTAGGTGCGCACGATAGTCGTAGAAGGGTAAGACGCCGCCGTGGAGAATGGCGTGATATTGGATCTGCTGTCGAGAGGCATATACAGAGTGCTGTTGGAGTAATGGTTTGGGGGGCTATTGCCTATGGTAGCCGATCAGCTCTTCTTTCAAGGCAATATGACTGCTGCGCGTTATGTCGATGATGTCCTACAAACCACTTTTCTGATATATCTAGAGGGCCGTCCACACGTCCTTTTTTAGCAAGACAACGAACGTCCCCATATTGCTCGTCGTACTATGGACTTTCTTCAAAAAGCGTTAATGTGGCCACCCTGTTTACCGGATTTAAATCTCATCGATTATGTGTGGGATATTATGGGGAGGAGACTATCCACTTTGCAGCATCCGCCACAGTTAATCCACGAAGTTCGAGTTGCTTGGAATGAGGTGCCACAACCAGACATCGATCATCTCATTAGGTAGATGCCTAGGCGTATATAGGAGTCTATTCAGCTGCGGAGTCGCCCAACACATTATTAATTTTTTTCTTATTGCTTGTGAATAAAATTTTGTGAGAATGTTATCGTTTCATTCTTGATGTAAGACTACCTCATTACCAAAAATTTGAAGAAATAATTTTTTCTGGGTGTAACACTTCTAATGCCACTGAGTGTATTTACCACGTGTGATGTTAAAAAAATGCATTAATTCGAGATCCGCCAGAATACCAGTATCTCACTAAACCTGAACTTATTAAAATTATGTAAAATATACCTCTTTTTGAAGAGTTCTGAGCCCTACACAGGTAACTGTCAAGAGAAACATTGGATCAATGAATAATGGAAGCATTGCAATATTCCCAATAGTTCCATACCTACAGTTGACAAGTTACAAAATAAATAGGCAGTACTAACTTGATGTCGCACGCCCCTTTTTTGAGGAAAGTAGTTCTGGTGGACTTAGTGCTCTGATCTATTTTTCAATCACCAATTTATGTCTGCTTTTGAAATATTGCTGCACATTATTTGGAACTCATGAATTGTGTCCGTTCTCACCAAAAGCAACTGGCAATCGCAACAAGACCGCAACCCGACTTGCCACATGTATTTTAATACTAACATTCTCATCAAAGTGTACAGTTGCTCAATGAATGCAGACACTGACATCGCAAGGCAGTTGCCCATCAGTTAATAAAAGATGTCTTTGTGTTCAAAGTTCTTCATTGCGTTTTTGTTTTTGAAGTGATTCAGTTGGAAAAGCAGCGTTGAAAACCTTCCAGGAGAGCTACAGTTAAGAGAAGTTTGGTAAGCACGTGAACAGCGCACTACTGATCATCAGGCTCAAGAAATATGTTTGCGTACAAGGTGTTACTTTCCACAGATCGTTCATTGTACATTATATTTGTTATGTACTGTGAGTTTCTGATAAATAAAAACCACCACATACGTTGATTGAACGGGCTAGATTTTATTTGTCAAAACGAAACTTATTAGACCAGGATATCTGTATTTTGAGAGACAAAATTGTAATAAGCTGTAATTTGAGAGAACAAAATTGTAATAAGCTGTTCTACAACGGAATTATATTCTTGAGGGTATACGGCAAGGCAAGAAATTTTGCTTACCAACTTTTTTAATAAACGTCAAAGTAGGAAAAACAATTTTTCGCGTATATTCAAATAGTTGTAAACTATTGGTGTAAGTGGTCTAAAAAAAATACCTTCGAAATAAGACCTTACTCCAATTCGCTGTAACGGTTTAACTGGTATGATAAAAAACGACAAAAAGCGTTGATTTCTACATTTATTTTTTACTGGAAGATGCACAATGGTAAATCTGCAATAATTGCCAAAAGTCAAGGCCTTTGTGGTGCATAACATCAAAAAAATTGTACTCAACGGTGTTCAACCGTTTCTGCAATTTTCTAATTGATACTATTTTTTAATGGCTTTCTTTGACTAGGTGTCCAGCGACTTTGGATCAATCAAATCACCTCATTTTGGGCTTATTCTCTTGCTAGAGACTAAATTTAATATCTTATTAAAAAAGATACAAGATGTTCTTGTGCTAAGTAAAAAAACGTGTCGTAATTAAGATGCTCACCACCGGAAAGCTGATGAAAAATACAATCCCTGTCGAAAAAAAGGAACTTTTTTAGGCGCTTGGGAGCCGAAATACCATTTTTTCTAAAAGAACTCATCATAACTTTAGTTATCAACATTAAGGGTCTCAAGCCCACGTGTGGTTTAATAAGCTGCCTGATCAAAATTCTATGGTTTCATATTGCGAAAACATAAAATGCTTTTGCGTCCTTGCCATAGTAGTAACACTGTGTAAAAATTTCATCGAAATCCGAGCGGTACTTCTCGAGTTAAAGGTTATAAGATTAGCGGACCGACTGAAAAAAAGTCAGACAAACAGACAGACCGAAAAACAGACAGACAAACGGAAATAAGTGATATGGCTTTTCGTGAAGTACATGTCAAATAACATATCTTATTTTCGAAAATTTTCGCGATTTCCATTCTTCCCCGCCAGTAGGCGATTGAAATAAAAGTTAGCCAGCAACATTTTCTGTATCTCAACGAGGAGCCACATCATATATCGTCAAGAATATACTTCCGCTGTTTAACCGCTTATCACTTTTTTTTCTGGAACATGGTCGGATTTTTGGTCTATTATACGATTTTCTTTCAATCGAGGTTTTCCACATTTTTACGAGTAAGTACGAGGGTGAATCAAATATGAACCGTACTTTTCTGTTTAACGCGCCATAGGTGAATGGAGTGGGGCGACGTCTTGGTATATCTTGGATGGGGATGTCAGGAAGAGGGGAGTCAGTCGGTTTGGCGCGCCGGAGTAGATAAGCTGTCACTGGGTTACTGCTGTTAGTAGCATTATGTCTGAGCAAGAGTTGCACACTCCTGATGCGCAACGCATTATCATTAAATTTTTGTCGCGAGAGGGACTAAAACCTTCCCAAATTTTGCGTCGATTAACAGCACAGTTCGCCGAAAAGAGTTTCAAGGACACAAGTATACGACTGGCAAAAATGTTTTTCATGGAGTGGCGAAAGCCTGGAGATGCAGCACCACGAAAAGCCAAGACCAGTTCTTCTGCAAGAAAAGTTCTTACAACGGTATTTTGGGATTCCAGAGGTTTATTGCTAATTGATTTTCTTCAGGAACGTACAGTTAATGCTGCTTACTACTGCCAACCGCTTAAAGAAGTAAAACGGGCTTACATGGCGAGACATGCCTATTCGAAGTGCCATTCTGCTCCATGACAACGCTTGGCCACACACAGCTGCATTGACCCAAGAAAAATTAAGCGAGATTCATTGGGGAGCACTTGAACACCCGCCTTACAGTCCCGATTTGTCGCCATGTGACTAATACACGTTTGGTCCACTTAAAGAAGAACCTGGGAGGTCACCACTTTAACGACGACGAAGGTGTGTAAACGTTCGTGCAAATTGGCTACTGACACGACCAGCTTCATTTTTTGATGGGGGAATTAAAAAACTTCCGATCCGGTGGAAAAAATGCATCAATAAGAGGGGAGATTATGTAGAAAAATAAGATGTAAATAAACTTGTATTTATTATGCCAATAAAATTACTAAAACAAAAGTCCCGTTCATATTTGATTCACCCTCGTATATATTCGGTGACTTTTACCACAACCTCAAAACGAAGCTGCCATTTTCTTAACAGTTTCTTTCGGTGCGAACGCAAAAGCAATCCCAATGAACTCGAAATCGGGTTGATGTGGAGTTGATGCCGGATTGATTTTGGTGAGAACAGTGCCTTACAGATCAGAAGCCATAAAATCGGGGGTTTATGTATTTGAGTGTTAATTTGACATGGCAGTTCAGGAAACAGTTATTCTATTTTTTCGATATGTCAAACTTTCTAGGCGTTTAATCCTGATGTATAGGTTCAACTGGCCGACAATCATCCATGTTGTTCAATCTTACCAGCTAAATACTTACCTGACAGCTGCTAGCATCAGTCAAACACGGAAGATTGGGCTGATCGTTTAAGTTGAAAACTCTCGTCTGTTCAAGCAAATATCTACGAAAACACGCATATTGTCCATCACTATTTTCATGGAATCTTCCGTCGTGCATCAATACGGATCAAACTCAATTCTAGTCAATCTTCAGACTCGCTGCATTTTCATCTTGACAACAGTTTGTACTTATTTCTTTCCCTCAAGGATTCCTCAACTTTTGGTTATGATGTAATTCCTGCCATTCTTGTTTCACTGGTCTGGTTATCAATTTCAGTTTTTTTATAGCTCCTTCCTCTGTATCTTCTCCTCAGTTTTTAGTTTCACTTCTCTCGTTAAATCACTTTCTCTGACAATATTTTTGGATTTTTAACTTGAAATTAAGTCTACTTTTAATTCTCTTTAGTTAAATTCTATTTCTAGGATGCGAAATCATAGGTTGCTTGCTTGTACTTTTCTCTGGCACTTTTGTTTTTCGTACACCATTATAGCTCATATAAATGTGTGTTTGGTGACATCGTTGCAATTGGTCATTTCTCAACACTCTATTGGATAACATCTTTGGTGGGACTTCTTGACATCGAATGTTCCTTCTTAACCTCTCAAAAGGAAAAAATAATCTTTTATTCTTCAAAATTCTCATCAATGGTCTCGACAGATCCTGAAGTATCTCGAAATGGATTTCGGCACGTCGACGGTGATGACATAGTTACACTCGCGATTTTTACTTTGAATTTTCTGATCGAAACAAACGAATGATTTTCAGCCCAATCTCCCCTCACTCTCTTTGACACGGAACACACAGAATAATACGTGGATGTGGAACGCTCTGAAATCAGCATCGGTGTTTACGTCACTTCGATACTAACCTTCGATGAACCGTCGATTTTTCTCCTTTTTATATCTGCAACAAAATAAAACGAGTTAAAACATCGTTTACATCTGTAAAAAAAACAATGCAGTTCGTATTGTATCGTTATCAGAAATAGTGCGCAGAAGAGTTTATAGTGTGCAGTCGACAGCTCCGTTATTATAAAAGATATCTAAAAAATTTGCTTTCAAGTTTGAAAAATAGTATACAGTATAATCCTTCATGTCTGTTTGAATCACTGTTTACTGATGACATTTCGGCCACAACGGTGGCATTTTAAGTACAATTTGATAAATTCGACACTTTGACGACAGATAAACAAAATGTATTGTCAGAATTGTCAAATTGTATGTGAGAAAGGTCACCGTTGTGGAAGAAACGTCATCAGTATTTCAAACAATGTGGTTTCATTTAGCGACCAGACAAACATGGAGGATTATCACCATGAAAAAAAAACATGGAGGATTATAATCATGAAAACCACAGGATAGGCTTCAGGAGTTACTCTATAATACAGACTATTACAAATAGTATTGATGACAAATCATAGCCAGACAACAAAAAAAAGTTGAAATTGAAAAAATTGACAAGTGAATTTTTTCTTGTATTCACAATTTTTTCATATCTATGAGCATTTTGTAATGCACTCATTAATTGCATTTTATAATGTTTTTGAAGTAGATATAAGCAATTTGGAAAATATCCATACGTAACAGTTTTTGTAATAAATTTTTTGCTAATTTAATGATTGATGTCGGTTTTGTCTTGTAAGTTTGTAATAAAACATTCCATAATTGTTATGTGAAATGTTTCTCTATCAAAAGCTCAATTTATACTCGCTCATTGAGGTGGAAATGAATGACCAGCTTTAGAAGTAGTTATACAAGCGCTATATAAAACATTTTCCCTTGAAACGGTCTTTCATAATATATTAAAATATACAGAGTATTCCATTTGAAAAAATGTATGTTTGTGTTGCTGCATAGTTATGAATCATCCTGTAGAGAGGGGCACATTTTCAAAATAAGAAGCACGTACTCAAAGCTCATATGACTTTTTAGATATATGTATTTCGAAATAACGGAGCTATCGACCGTTTCCACACTAAAAATACCCTGTATTAATAGAGGTTATGTGTCTCGCATTTAGAACAGATAATGGATCTAAGATAAAATTAACTAATCTGCTCGGACGATAAGGTAACAATCAAAGAAACACTAGCTTCTAGGATAACACCGGGACTGTTTCTGGAGTGTAAGAATGTTTTAGACGATCAAAGCCTAATATTATATCTCATAGGTATAGGAGCCTGGGCTTGTGGTGATACATTGTAAGGAAGAACCGGTTCTCGAGGCAAACAGACTTAGGACTACAACGAAAGAGTGGATTGAAAATCAACATCACTGACGGACAAGGGAACAAATTGTGGACTCTACTGCAAGGAGGAGGATTTTTTGTTCAACATGGGCACAATATGTAAGGCGTTACTTCCACATCATATGGGTTGCCTATTTTTCACTTTCTGGGCGATGTGGCTAAGGGTCATTTTTTCACATTTTAAATTCTTGTGAGCCTTAACGTATCATGGTCTAACGCGTTGGCACTATAGTTTGGCAAACGGATCTGCAACAGCGAAAGGAATGCGACCGAAAATATTCGATATTGCCAAATTTAACTACAAAAAAGCAATAATAATAATAAAAGTAATTTCAATGATTTGAAAATCGATTTTTCACAATTCCAAAAAATAATAATTCAAAATACTGAGAATTTTAATGGGTTGTTAGCTCTATTTGTATTTAATCACTATTTTTTACTACTGAATCGTATTATAAGTAAACATTTTTCCAAAGATCTTATCTACATCGGTTGAGCTGGCAACAACCACCCGAAAGGTATATTGGACACCGCCTAAACGAATCTGATTGGCGCATATCCTCACATGTTTTGTCGCCATGAGAAAATTCGACTCCCTATTGGGTAGCGTCCCAGACAATTTTTTGCTCCTTTCTTAGAATATCCATACTATTGAAAAGTCCAGTGGCGTAGGTTTTATCTCCGTTGATTGTCGTGTATAAGTTTTACAACTATTATTGTTAACTATTTATTGTTCTATTAAGTTTGTATGTTTAGTGCTGTGTGTTTTTGAATAGTTTAGTGTTTTGTTATTTGATATTGTTATTCGTTTTAGTATTATTTTTTTAAAATGAACCAATTTACTCGCGGAAAGACGCTTCATAGCCAAACAAGAGAAGTGATTGCGAATGTTTATAGGTTAGTAATAATAATATGCAATAATTGTAGTTTTTGACGACTGAGTCTGAATATAAATAAAAGACAAGGAAATGCTAAGCTAACATTCTGATGATTATTTATAGGGTTTGCGATGAGGAAGCGGCAAACAATTCCCTCAAGTTGCCGCTTAAACGTAAGCTTGATAGGGTGTCCCTTTATACCGGAGTCGGAGTATCTTCTGTTAGGAAAATTCATAACGAAGATAAAGAAAGACTAGAAAATAACCCGAATAAAATGTTATCCAGTCCCGGAAAAAAAAGACCGCGTCAGTCTCTTGTTGAGAAAGATGAAGATTTTGATTTTCAGATTATTAGACATTTGATAAACAGATTTTATCTTGAATATAAAGTTGTCCCGACAACTAGGAAGTTATTACAAAAGTTGCGAGAAGACTCAAATTTCCCCTATTCTAGGGAAACACTCAGGAGTTTATTAAAATCAAATGGTTTTTTTTGGCGCAAATGTCGAAATAAAAGAAAAGTTTTGATGGAGAGGCCCAATATATTGCAATGGAGGTACAAATACATCCGTGATATACGTAGATATCGTGAAGAAGGGCGCAATATAGTTTATTTGGACGAAACCTGGGTGGACAATGACTTGACTTTCAAAAAATGCTGGCAGAGCGAAACTGTTTCTGGTGTAATAAGCAGTATAGGTTCTACAGGTAAGCAAAAATGCTATATATATGTTAAATTTAACTCTGATTTGTAACATATTATATAATCGTCTTGTATATTTTAGGTCGACTCATTATAGTGCATGCAGGTTCAGAAAATGGATTTGTTGACAATGCCTGTTTGATATTTAAGGCGGGATTAGCTACAGGCGATTACCACGGTCAGATGAATCACACGCTGGCTCACAGAAAAACTCCTCCCGAATATACCTGCCAATTCGGTTATAGTATTTGACAATGCTCCATATCATTCCGTCCAGGAAGATAAAACCCCGACAAAATCATCTTCGAAAAAAGATATAATAGCCTGGTTGACAAAGAAAGGTACTTATGACTCAAAACATGAATGTACATATCAAACTATACAATAAAATATTTTGTAGGCATAAATCATGAGGCAACTGCCAGAAAATTTGACTTGTTCGATCTGGTCTTACTTCATAAGCCCCCTGACAACCAAAAAAATTATGTAGTTGATCGGATCATAAGATCACATGGACATACTCCTCTAAGAACACCTCCTTATTTATGCGAGCTAAACCCAATAGAATTAGCTTGGGCAAAGCTTAAATTTCATATAAGAAGCCGCAATACCACTGGAAACTTCAGTTTAACTGCACTGAAAGAAGTTACTCAGGAAGCGATGTCCTTAATATCCATTAATGATTGGCAGAAATTTTGTCAACATGCTAGGGACATTGAAGATAAATTTTGGGAAAATGATCAATTTATGGAGGAAATGGAACCAGTTATAATAACTATAGGGCAAGATGACGACAGCGAAACTGATGACGACAGTGACGATGATGATAATGATGAAGTTGACGAACACCAATGCTAATTCAATAGGTGAAATGTAATTTTGAAATGCTGTATAATGTAAGTATTATTTATTACAGAGGTTATAAGTTAAACGGATATGAAATGTGTTTAAAGTTCTTTGTTTCTATTTAAGTGACACCGATGCTCTAGAAATATCCACATCAACAGTCCAAAATTGCAACAATAGGAATCCAGAAAGATGCGGATTATAAAATAAAAATTAATTCTGGTCATGTTTCGGCTTGTGGCACTTTTTAAAGTAAATGAGCTTATTATAAGATCGCGGATGTATAATATATATATATATATATATATATATATATATTCTCAAGGTAAAAAACCACGTTAAGTATCTATTTGTATTTGAACAATATATTTTATTTACGGCTTTGACAAAAACGCTAGCTTGATTTAGGTTTTAAATCGCGCAGTTATCATGATTTTTTGAATTGTGGCAATTTTGGGAAGTGAGTAGACATTTTTCCGTTTGTTGAAGTGTAGAAACAAACTCAAGTGTTTTTTACATGGTGTAGATTGTAGAGAACAGCTATTTTTGAGTTTACCCGAGACTTTATTTATTATTATGGACAATGCTCCATATCATTGTGGGCTTATTGAGATACTCCCCAAATTTAAAGTGAAACATAAACGTATAGTTTACTAAATTTAAACCAATTATGAAATAATCCCAAACTTTTATAAAATACCGCACGCCGCTGGCATTTTATGAATGAAACCAGCCATGTTTTGCTTTCGCCTCACCGATACCCCGATGTTGCAGATCCGTTTGCCAAACTTTAGAAGGTATACCATATGAACCCGATCGCAATTCGACTATGCACACGTATTCAAATACAAGCATTCTCAAAAATTAGGCACAGGGTAACGTCGCAGCGGAATGGCGGTCGGTCTTTTTGGACGCTGACCAAGCAGATTGAATGAAATTGACAAAGAGTAGCCTTCCACCACTTACGTGCCAGGATGGAACGATTGTAACCGATTCAAAGGCCAAGGCGGAAGTGCTTGCAAAGATGTTTGCTGCCAACTCCACCATGGAGGTCCCCCCAACGAGTGCCGTCGATTCAAAGTGCTCCTTATACTATGCGGGAAGTAACATTCTGGCATAAGACCGTAAGATGGGTGCTCTTGTCGCTCGACATCAACAAAGTTTCTGGGCCGGACTTGATTCCTGGCGTTGTATTGAAGAGGTGTGCAGCCGAGCTGGCTCCAGTTCTTTCGCGTTTCTTCCAGATATCTAACGAATCCGCCACCTTCCCAGAAAACTGGAAATTTGAATATGTCCAACCCATCCCCCCCCCCCCCAAAAAAAAGATCTAAGACAGATCCTACAACTACAGGCCTAAAGCTCGTCTTTCTGTTATAAGGTAGTGGAGAGGTGCATACATCGCGGGCTTCTGGACTACCTCGAACGCCACAGCTTGATAAGCGACGGGCAGTATGGTTTCCGGTACCAGCGATCCACAGGGGACCTCCTAGCTTACGTCACTTAATTGTGGAGTAAACTCATCCAGTCTTATGGTGAGGCTCATGCCATTGCTCTTGATATCACGAAAGCGTTCCATTACTTGTGGCACGCTGCTCTCTTATGCAAACTTCTATCCTGGAGAAGCTTTGCAGATGGGTGGCTGACTTTATCTCTGGTCGCAAGATATCCGTCGTAATTGAAGGGTTCACATCTTCATCCCACAACGTCAACGCAGAAGTTCTTCAGTGATCGGTCTTGGCTCCGACACTGTTCCGAATACATAACAACGACCTCCTGTCCTGCACGATCATCCCAATCCACAGCTTCTCTGATGACAGCACTCTACATGCAGGAATTCAGAGTGACAAGCCGAACTCTGCCGGTGTGTTAGAAAAACGACGACTAGCATCGACTTCCTCTCTGACGACAGACCTGTAGGTTATCATTGCTTGGGGACGCAACAATCTTGTAGAGTTTAATGTTTCCAAAACACAGTCTGCCTTGCGGTCCTCCACACGGTCTGCTTATGCCGCTGACCCGAAGATTTACAACAGTTGCAAACTCTGCTATGTTTCAGCGAGACCTTGACATTGTTCATCAATGGTCAGACAATTGACTTCTATCCTTAAACCTATTAAACTGTTATGTCTTTTCCCAGTTCTACTTACCTTGGGCAGTTCAAAAATCGGAATAACAAAATTTCTTTGGGATACTCTTAGCAGCCGCGGTGTTCTGGCATTTAAGCGCGGCTGCTTCGGAGTAAAAATGTATAAATAATAAGTGCATAGATAGTGAATTTTTCCACAACCTCTAAACGAGGTTGTCAGTTGTTTAACAATTGCTTTCGACGTTGATTAACGTATTCAGATGATTTCGACGTTTGAAAAATTATCCGAGATGAAATGGAATATTCTGGCGTCATATATTCATCACAGCTACGTTTCTCCTCTCCGCAATAATTACAAACAACTTTGAAACAGTTAGTGTCTCATAGATGGCGCTGTAGCCAACCATATGAGCTGGAATATGGGTATGGTTGACTATCTTCGGGTAGAATATGGTGAGAAGAAAAAATTAGTCAAACTAAAGTTGAAATAGGCTAAGACCGACCCTTACAACTACAGGCCTATAGCTCTGCTTTCTGTTATAAGTAAAGTGATGGAGAGGTGCATAAATCGCGAGCTTCTGAACTACCTCGAACGTCACAGCTTGATTAGCGACAGGCAGTACGGTTTCCGGCACCAACGATCCACAGGGGACCTCCTAGCTTACGTCACGCAATTGTGGAGTAAACTCATCCAGTCTCATGGTGAGGCTCATGCCGTTGCTCTTGACATCACGAAAGCGTTCGATCAGCTGTGGCACGCTGCCCTCTTAAGCAAACTTCCATCATGTGGCCTCCCAGAAAAGCTTTGCAGATGGGTGGCTGACTTTATCTCTGGCCGCAAGATATCCGTCGTAATTGACGGATTCTCCTCTTCATCCCACAACGTCAACGCGGGTGATCCCCAGGGATCGGTCTTGGCTCCAACACTGTTTCTCTTACATAACAACGACCTCCTTTCCTGCACGATCAACCCAATCCACAGCTTCGCTGATGACAGTACTCTACATGCAGGAATTCAGAGTGACAAGCCGATCTCTGCCGCTGAGCTGGAAAAAAGAAGACTAGCGACGACTTCTTCTCTGACAAGGGACCTGGAGGCTATCACTGCTTGGGGACGCAACAATCTTGTACAGTTCAATGCTTCCAAAACACAATACTGTACTTTGACGAACAAAAAGCGTCCTAGCGCTCATACAGTTTCGATGGACGGCCGAGTTCTACCAAAGAGCCATTCATTTCGGCTGGTCGGAGTCCAGATCCCCAAGGACCTGATCTGGCACGAACACATCTCTTCAATAGCTGCAGCTGCTGGAAAAAAGCTGGGCTATTTGTTTAGGGCTAAGAAGTACTTTTCACCACATGACCTTATCACTCTATACAAGGCCCAGATAAGGCCTAGCCTCGAGTTTTGCTCACACATTTGGGGTGCTGCCGCCCCGACTACATTGTCCATGCTCGATGCTGTCCTGAGGAAGGCGGTCCGACTGATCGATGACTCTTCTCTAACAGACAGTCTCGGGACTCTTTCGCACCGGCGGGCCGTCGGCGATCTAGCTCTTTTCTATCGCTACACCAACGGGCTTTGCTCCTCAGAGCTCTCTTCCATGATACCGCCGCGCGATGTGCCTGCCAGACAGACTCGCCTGACTTCGGCGTCCCATCCTAACCGTGTCAAACTTCGTACATGCAGAACTGGCCGCTCCTTTGACCCGAGGGTGTCTAGATTGTGGAACAATCTACGGGAGGAAGCTTTTCCCAGTTCTACTAACCTTAGGCAGTTCAAAAATCGTATTAACAAAATTTCTTTGGGATCATCATAGCAGCCGCGGTGTTCCAGCATTTAGGCTTCTGCCTGCGCGGCTGTTTCGATATAAAAAAAAAGGTCGAGTTGCAAACTGTCATTCCACGTTTGCTCACTAGGATCATTGTGAGCGCGATCCAAAGCATCCATCTATGGAGGAATGAATGAACGATACGGCATGCTCGTCTCTTTCCAAGTATGTATTGTTGTTTGCAGACAGTCACTTTGTTTGTTGACACATTATTGTAGTGTTTAAAATGTAAAAGAACGAAAGTTTGGTTGAATAGCAGCAATACTGCATCTGGATGATTGTATTGGTCTGCATGTGTATAAAATCTGTGATATTTGCTATGTGAGAAAATTAGTACTCACTATGCTTCCAATAAAGTATATCTATTAGCTGTGTCAGACGGGTTATTTTTGTTGTTCTTTCCGAAGAGAGGTTATATTCAAAGTTATAAATTACGATTTTTCCAGTTTTTTTCTTTTGTTTTTAAAAACTTTGAGAAGAATCTTAAAATCAAAATTATTTCTTATTTCTCTCATTTTTGAAATTTAGCAAATGGAATTCCCAGAATGGATTAGAAAAAGTGTATGCGCAACTAATTTCTAGCCTTGAATCTCAAGTAAGTGCATTCGAGACCAGAATCCAATGCAATTATCAACAACACATATTAGCACACAAATCCTCACAATGCGTCAGCTTAGACCTCCAGTAATGCCATCTCTGAAGTCTGAAGCAGATTTTACATCACATCAGAGCCAAATATTGATAACTGAAACATCATGATGTTTAGGCAACACGTACAACTACAAACGAGTTCACGACAAATGTCGAGTGGTAAGTTAACATCTTGTCGAAGAACCTACATGATATCAAAAAAAAAACAGTATGATGTCAGAAAAATCCATATAACGTCACTTTTCAAGATACGTAATACCCGTAAAAGGTCGGTTTTGGTGAAAAGAGCGACTAAGTGCTGAAGTTAAAAGTTTTTTGCTAAAAGTATTGTGGGTACATACCTCTATCAGGATCGGGCTCCTGACTGTGCCTTGACAACGGGACACTCTCTTCCATTATGTTCTTGCTGTCCTCTCTGTAATGAATGCCTCTTTCCTCGGAGTATCTGTGCCCTGTTCTTTCCCCTGAGTACCTCATTTCTTCTTTTGCGTTCAACACCTCGATGTATCTCTCATCTTGCGTCTGGAACATCAATTTGTCCATCAGTAACATTTTAATTAGTAACATGTTGTACGAACGCTTGATTTGTCGAGCTTTCAACGCAGAGATCAGGGTACATTTCTGGATGTTACAACAAAGATGCTAAATGTGTGGCATCGACAATGCATTGTTAGAACGGTTGCAATGGACATAACGCCGCCGCGTTAGGGACCGTTCTACCAGACAGCAACTGTCGACAGCAACCTAACGGTAACCAGACTCGGAATATGTACGAGGTCTATAAATTAAGTGGAGAGACTGATGTTTTTTATTCAAATATAATAAATTACTATTTCATATTGTCTCCCTAAAAATAACTTCCTTCTGAAGCCACCAAGCACTGGACACGGTTCTTCTACTCCTCATAGCAGCGTTGGAATTCCGATACAGGAATAGCCTTCAGTTGGTCGGATACAGCCGTTTGTTTTCAACTATCTCAAAATGAGTTTCATTGAGATAATTTTTCATTTTCGGGACAAGAAAAGTCACAAGGAGTCAAGTCAGGCGAATATGGAGGCTGAGGAACAACATGAATGTTTTTACTAGCCAAAAACTGGTTTAATGACCTTGCTGTGTGACAAGGAGCATTATCGTGATGCAACACTCGGTTGTTCTTGATCCGATGAACGGTGGTGTGAGTCAAATTTAACTCGTTCCCAACCATTCTGACTGTCAACCGGCGATGTCACCGTTGCTTGAAATTGATGCCACTCACTTTAGAACACAATAGGAGAAACTGTTTCACAAAATTAAAAAACGTTCCGGGAACCGACTCGAGCGAGTTCAAACTTGTACTGAAGGCGAATCACATGTTCCCTTGTCTCCGCTCCAAGCCCGGCGCTCCAGTGGTGCCAGATCGAACGCTACGTTTCCCGTCTCATCACTTAATTTACAGACTTCGTATTCTAATACAAGTGTTATCACTGAAGCGACGGCAACCCGACCATTTGCTCAATGGTTTATGGAACTGCCGTCGCTAACCGGTTTGGAGTTGGCTGCGGACAAGGTGCGAATTTCCACAGATTGCTCATTGCACATTATATTTTTATGTAGGAATTTCATTTTCACACGCGGAAACAGTGCAAGTTCGCAGAAAGCATGATCTGGACTATCAGGAGGGTGCTCAATACGTTTCAGTCTAGTAATGGTCAAATACTCGGTACAGGCTTTGGCGCGATGACTTGACTTTGGCCGCAGGTTTCTCATAGACTCTATGACTTTAGGCAGGCACTTAGCTGTGAGTGTCTTCTATGTGTCCTGAACGACACGCTCCACAATCCCGCTCGATTTGAAAAATACAGTTATAATTTTTTTCTTAACAGATCGGTATTTTCTGACAGCTATGGGTGTGTCTTCATCATCAAAGACCCAAACTTTGTTTTGAGCCTTGGTCGGCATATCGTAATAATAGAGCCAAGACTCATCACTTGTTCACATATCGAGATTGCCCTTTATCAAATATTTTCAGTATCTTTCAGCACCAAGTCGTACGATCAGTCTTTGCTCTTCGGTCAGAGAGAACAATGTTTCCTTGCGTGTAAATGTTTATGTAAAATTGAATGAATTGCTTAGGTGTAAGGTCTCATCTATCTGTTGGCATGTCACCTCCGGTCTTCGTGAAGCATTAGCACTGCTAAATGAATGACCATCTGTCTGATCTCTCAATCCGAGTAGATGGTCCGGGAAGGGCAGGTGCTTAGCCTGTGCTTGGGTTTCAAAGGAATAGACCTCCTGAGTTTTCCGTTCTATAGCGCTTAAATTCTCAATTTCATTTCTAGTCAGGACCCCACTAAATTTTCAGACAAATGCCATTTCGATTTTTTATAACGGATTTTTTAATTCATTATTGATCAAGTTCGTATCTTTTAAAACGTCACTAATACTATTGTTGATGAAACTATCTCACTCTCTTGCTGTTATACAACTTGAATTTCAATCAACTATCATAACCAGTATCACTTCAATTTTATCTTTGATAGTTAGTTAGTGATAGTAGCTGTAACACAACCCAATATTTTCTCGACTAATCTTTACATATTTTATCTTAGAGAGTTAATAAACGAGTATCATTTAACTCGCGATTATCAGTTGTTTCATTTCGTAACCACGTAAGTTAAACTCCATTTAGCCCCAACCGAGTGTCAGACTTTTACTTGAATGTATCCACACTAAGGTGTAAAGTCAACCGAGTTAATTGTTCTAGTGCGCGCCGAACTTAAGAAGCCTTTTCAGGATAAGATAGTGAATAGGTAAGTTATCTTCTTACATCTATTTCTTAAATCGCTACCACTCGATAAATAAATATTCGGCCTTATTAACGGTTTCCGTTCTTCAGCTCCAACGGCACCAAATTATTACTCGTAATATCATGAACTTTAAGTTATTACGTATCACTTATTCATGCAATACCGACCAATATGACACAAACGCAACCGAAGTCGAAGCTGAGTTGCTTTTGGTGTCTTAGACCCCCCATTCATGATTATCCAATCATGTCAAATCTGATGCAAGCCTAACAAAAAATAATTTATGAACATAGAGACCAAATGAGCAATGCATAATTTCTGACCATATACGAGTATTCAATCAGTCCGAAGATACCCCGTTATACTTGTCCTATACAAACGTAAATTTCCCCATAGACCGACCCTTCCGCGTTGTGTCTAGTATCTGCATAAAATATCCCTTAGGAAATTGAAGGAGGTCAACAAAAATAAGATCAAATGGAAAAAATATACGAAGATCTTCGAAAAGGCCGTCTGCCACGATACGAAATTCTGTGACAGCATTAAGTACATAATTTTGTACGATCAAATTTAGTGCTAAATTATAAACTGTTCTAAATATTCTACTAAACACTTTCATTAGTTGATGTTGTCAGTTGTGTTCATCAGTTTCGCGAAACTCCTCTGTGTATGCTGTCCTACTTGTAGATTGAAAACTTAAAAGACGTCATGATCAAAAGAGCAGTGTGACATTACTAAACGAGTATGAGAAATATGATTATTTATATGCTGTAAAAAGCAATGCCTATAAAACAGAAAAGCCAAACAAGCTGCGTTGCATAAAATTGGAAGTTCTTCATTTAGCATATGAAGAATACACATGCCCTGGCCCCTCTCCCTGATCCATTTTCGGCACCACATTATTTTACGGTTTCGTGTACTTCGTTTTCTCAACAGGTGGGTATCTACAACGCAGATCTCTGCTGCCGCAGTCGCATATAATATATGCGAATTACGGTATCGCTCCATTTTCTACAATTTTCTATTCGTTTAAAAATAAAGGAATAAAGTAGCAACCGCAAAGGACAGTGCGGTTAGAATGACTTTGACATAATAAATGGTAGTTAGAAGCTGACAGTTATAGTTTTTTTCTACCAACTGCACATGATTTCGTACGAAATTTAGTACAAAAATTTCTTTACGTGTCCGACAGGATTGTAATTTGTAAACAAATTGGGAACTCAATTCAATAACGAATTTTCTCCCAAAATTTGGTACTAAATTTAGCACAACATTTCGTATCGTGACAGATAGCCTTAAGACATTCAATATGCCTAATATTAAGCGATAGATAGTTGGAAATAAAAATCTCACCTTACTGTACTGCCTTTCGTGTTTTTCTTCCCTATTATTACTTTGCCTTTCTTCTTTACGATCTCTTCTCTTTTCTCTATCTCGTTCCTTTTCGCCATCCTCTCGTTTCTCAATTCTGTATTTCTCTTTAGACTCTTCCTTATAAGATTTTTCAGGTTTTTCTTTGATACTTCCATTACTGGAAAAACAAAATTGGATTTCAAGATATCGTAAATAGATGGATCTTTCCACACAAAGTTCTTCCAGACCATTAAAGTTTTCTCCAAGTTAAGAAGAAGAATACTGTATTCTTAAACATAATAGCAACCTTCCAATGCAAGATTAACCCTCCTCTACCATTCTCGTAATTATTCCAAAAATATCGTAACCTAAGGCGAATGTCACACGATAATTAATTACTGTGACCTGTCAAATATTTACCATGGAATGTGATATTTAATGACTGTATAGACAGGACGTCAGTAATACTTGACGTATAAGGTTAGATGGAACTTGATTGACCCTGACAGAATGATCAGTAAATAATGATGGTACGGACGTCCGTAAATACTGATTGTATGACATTCACATACGAATTTCTCCAGCACGGAAAAGTAAGCCCCATAAAAATGTAGGTTTATTTTCGGGCAGGCGATTAAGTTACACATCTCCTGATGCAGTAAGTTAATCAATCACTGTACACATGGGTTATTTTTACTATTATCTGCAAAGAAGTTTCGACGCTTCATAACTAAAAGTGGCTACTTACTCCTTGGCATCGACCATAACAATCGGAATTCTAACTTTTGACGGCTCCTCAGCTGCGGGTTTTGGAACTTTTCTCTCAGATTTTTCTTTTCCAGAGTCATCTACAACATGTAAACATACATTAAATACAAGAATGTTAACTTAGAATAACATAAATACCTTTAACTTCACCATTGTGTTTTGGATTTTGGTCGTTTTTCGCTTCGTGGGATTTTGAGTTCTGAAACAAAATTATTTTGAAAAATTTAAGCATCGCTGATTTGTTGAATATTCAACGTTCTTCCTCGAATAATACACTCGCAAAGAGCCTCCCAGTGTATAAATCCATTAGAATCAAATGTTTTGTTATTTGGGAAGCACAAGAACAGTCTTGCAGGCTCTTTCATTATTACAATCAATAATAGTATTATCCCACATAAATCTGCTACAAGGAATTTAGGCTTAGTCACAGATAACGATTTGAGATTTACAAAGCATGCTGATAAGTGCATTGGTCAAGCTTATGGTCGGCTTAAAATCCTGTTTCCATTCCGTCATATTTTTTCCACTGATCTCAAGATTTTACTTTGTGATACGCTTGTTTTGTCTTTGTTCAATTACTGTGGCTCAGTGTATGGTCCTTGTTTAACAAAAAATGATACTGACCGAATACAGCGTGTTCAAAAATTTGAACCTGTTTCCTACAAGTTATCTGAAACAGGTTGGTTAACATGCAGGCAAGGAGAAACCTGCACTCTGCAGTAATTTTTCATAAGATTATTTTATATAGAACTCTGCCGTACTTATATAATAAAATTAGATTCCGTAGTGATGTTCACAAGGTCAATGTCCGGTTCAGAGGTCTCATTTCTCAGCCAACTGCAATGTTCAGTAGATCATTTCACACTCTGTTTATTGCTTGTACAACCACTTTTTCACAGACTCTAAGTCTAAATTTTAAGAAATTTCTTTTGGATCAACAACAGCTGAGTCTCTCCTGTGTTGTCTTTCTCATCTGGGTATGAGTTTTAAGTTGAAGTTTGATTACAGAAACATATTGTGCTTTAATTTTCTTTCTAGTTATTTTTTTTGATACTTTCTTGAAACACTTTGAGAGTGCGGGTAGATTTAAATGATTATATTATCATCACAGATGATTTCAATGTCCTATTTGGAACTACTCGTAAGCAGGCAAATATGTTAGAAGATCTGGAATGTCATGGACTAAAAAAGCTATTTACTGAGGGAACCAGATGTGAAAATTGTTTAGATAATGTGTTTGTTAACTTTGACCTAATTAAAATGAAAAATATTGATCTAAATGTATCTGACCATTATTCAGGCCAATCACTCAAAAAGGCTTATTAGAATTTTATAGTAAAATCGAATCTAATAATTGACACTTTGTTGATCAAGACATATCTGCAAATGACAAATTTACTATTTTTCAGGATTTTCTGACTGAAGCTTATCTGCTGTCTTTTACCGAAAAGGCCTACAGAACTCGTAGCTCTAACCCGGGGTGTGTACACTGGTTTAATGAGGGCTTAAAAATATGAGGGACACAGTTCATTTTCTGAGAGAAGTATGCAAGTAATACGAAACTCTAAGTAACAATTTTTTTAAAGGAATATCAAAAGCGATATTAATGGGAAATTGTCAACACAAAATGTAAATTTAATGGTAGAATGATAAAGAGATCAACGAACCCAACTAGATGCATGTGGAACATAATAAACAGTAAGAGCAAAAGGAAAATGACATCAAAATAAGATTCCAATGACAGCTGAACAGTTTAATAAATTCTTTAGTAACATTTCAGATGGAATACTAAATAAATTACCTGAAAGTGATGTTTCACCATTAGATAACATTAAAAAATTGTTGATACCGAATGCAATATTTCAGTTCAAGGAGGTCACGCAAAATGAAGTTAGAGATCATATAAATTCACTCAAAAACAAGAAAAGCACTGATACATACGGCTTATCGGTTTAACTTATAAAATCTATGAAGAACATAATAACACCTCCTTTGACTAAGCTGATAAATCTATGCTTTCGAGAAATATGTTTCCTGACGTTTCAAAAATCGCAATAGTCATTCCCATTTTCAAGAAAGGGGATGAGGGAGATATTTCCAACTACCGTCCAGTGTCTCTACTGCCAATCCTCTCGAAAATCTTTGAAAAATGGCGGTAAGGATTGCTGAATACTTTGAAGAGCATTGCCTATTCTCTGAACGTCAGTTTGGCTTTCGGACAAACAAGGGCACTATTCTTGCGGTTCTGGACCTGCTCTCAAATATGATGGAACCTTTCGAAAATCGAGAGAATATCATTATTTGTGGACTTAAGTGAAGCCTTCGATTGTGTATCACGTACGATCTTGCTTCAAAAGCTGGAGGCGTATAAAATTTCCAATTCCAGCATACAGGTACTCAGATCATACGTTGAAAACCGACACCAGAAAGTGCAACTTAGGGATGTCGTGTCATCAGAGAGAGATGAAAGGATGAAAGCAGGGGTGCTACAGGGCTCAGTCCTTGGCCCCTTACTTTTTTGATTTACATCAACAACTTGCCGGCATGTGACAATGCCATTTACACGCTCTTTGCTGATGATACTGCAATTTCCATACATGGCACTCGATTGCTTGATTTGGAGCAGGGTACGTTGGATGTACAGATGAGGGCTGAGCAATGGTTCCAGGCTAACAGACTTGTGCTAAATGTTGACAAAACCCAAAAAACGATTTTTGGGCTTAGAGACCTGAGCAATAGGGATCAGCAATCTATCAAATTTTTAGGAATAAACCTAGATGCTCGCCTACAGTGGTTGCCTCATGTAGAAGCTGTTTGTAAGAGGCTGCGGGGAACAGTTTTTCTGCTCCATCGACTTCAAAGGTAAAATTTTATGAGGTTCTAATAACAGCATACTATGGACTCTTTCATTTTGTAATGAACTATGGAATTATGGCATGTGGTGGAGCAGCTCATGCAAACAGCGTTTTTGGGCTACAGAGGGGAGCTATAAGAATACTAGCAGGATTATCTTTTCAGGGGAGGACTACAGGGAAGCCTTTGTCAAATTGAGCATATTGACTTTTCCTGCTGTTTTTATTCTGGAAAGTATATTGTTTGTAAAAAAAATGAATAACGGTTCACTCTTCAGAGCGAGATACATAAATATGAAGCATGAAACAGGAACAAAATCAGACCTTCTTCTGTCGACTGACAAAGTGTCAAAACAGACCAGAATTCATTGCTGTCAAATTATACAATAAACTACCTCCACAGACCAAAAACCTTTAATTGAAAAACTTCAACAGTAGTGTCAAGCAATATCTCCTGCAGCTTGCTCCATATTCGATATCAAAGATTTTTGACACTGGTTTTGAATGCACTTGATGTATGTGTTATGTAAACCCCCGACTTTTCATCAAACAATGCAGAGAAACATCAAGAAAAAATGGACTAAAACCGATTCATTCGTGGGGGAGCTGCGATACACACACATACACATATATATATATATATATATATATATATATATATATATATACTAAGTGACATATAAATCCGAACACCCAGTTTAAATGGTTTTATTTTAATAAAAGTTGGTGAATGTATTTATCTTACTGTACATAACAAGTGAAAAAATTTTCACCCTTATCAGTTGGACATTCCGGTTTTTATACTGCTTTTTTTTTAATTCACTAACGCTCTAAAAATGAATATTTCAGCCGCAGTAAAGAATCAACGTTGGCGGATTTTGGTTCTTGACATCCTTTACGATCGGTTACGATGCCTAGAGTACGGAGACCTGTACGATTTCGTCAACTTAGTGAGTTTGATAGGGGCCGTATAGTGGGACTTCGGGAAGCTGGACTTTCTTTTCGGGCAATTGCAGTTAGAGTGCAAAGAAGTGTAGACACTGTGGTTAGGTGTTGTCAGGCATGGCTTCGAGAAGGCCGTACGCAAAGAGCAAGGGGCACTGAACGCCGCCGTAGAACAACAGACCGAGAAGATCGCCGCCTAAGATTATTGGCCTTAAGGGACCGTTTCTCCACTACCAGGTCCATTGCAAATGAATGGTTTGCAGAACACGGAAGACCTATTGGCATGCGAAGTGTTTACCGACGAATGAGAAGTTTTGGCTTGTTTTCATACCGGCCACACCGGGCCTCCCTTTAACTCGAGAACACCGACGTAATCGCCTTGAGTGGTGCAGACAACGGTCACTCTGGGATCAGGAATGGAACAGTATTGTCTTTAGTGACGAGTCTCGATTTTGTTTAGGCATGCAAGATGGTCGTGCCAGGGTTTGAAGGCGACGTGGTGAAAGGACGAATCCACAGTTTTTTGTTGAAAGACATGTTCATCACACTGTTGGAGTTATGGTTTGGGGTGCTATAGCTTATGGTTCCAGGTCACCTTTAACCTTCATCAGAGGTAACATGAACGCGCAGCGTTATATCCACGAAGTTCTAGAACCCCATCTTTTACCCTATCTTGACACCCTGGCAGATCCAACTTTCCAACAAGATAATGCCCGACCACATGTTGCAAGAGTCACAATAGACTTCTTTCAACATAATAATGTCACATTGTTACCATGGCCACCAAGATCTCCCGACTTATCCCCAATTGAGCACGTGTGGGATATGATGGGTAGGAGATTGCTCAATTTGCAACGTCCTCCTCAGACTCTAGAAGCACTTCGAGAGGAGTTGGTGGTTGCCTGGAATGAGATACCACAGGAGGACATTTACCACCTGATCAGAAGCATGCCTAGGCGCGTTGGAGAATGCGTAGCACATCAGGGTGCATCCACACATTATTAAAGGCCAAAGGGCTTTAAAGCAGTGCAATCATTTTGAAATTTTATCATTTACTTATTATGCTTCATTAAGTACTTATACAAAATTTTATTAAAATAAAACCATTTACACTGGGTGTTCGGATTTATATGTCACTTAGTATATATATATATATATATATATATATATATATACAGGGTGACTTTGAAGTTGAGTCATTAATTTTCAGATAATGATTGTAGAAGGAAGATAAACCAAAATATGAGTGTAAAAATAAAAAAAATGTTACCTTGTTTTATAAAGTATCCTCCCCACAAGTATTTCAGTGCGGACCTGTATTTGATCGTGCGGTCTTGGAGCACCGGCATGCCCTCCCCTGTGAGGTCTTAAGTCACCTGATTCACGAGCCCTTTGTACTACATTAACAAAGGCACGAGGGGTTGGTTGCACTCGATTGGGAAACCGATCCGCATAAATCCGTGATGCCGCGTAAATAAGAATCATGTCCACAAGTTCAGCATTTTCGTAAACATGTGCCATTTTTGATTTCGTTTGAGCCACGCAACAGACACCACTATTCATTCACGCGTTACCGACTGACACTGACTGTAAACAACTGAATAAAATAATTGTAAAAACATCGTTCCAAATTCTTTCGCTTTTTTGTTTCCGATGCGATGAACCGATAAGGCGGATTATATCCGTTGTTGCCAAACACGAGCACATAATATTATTATTGAGACAGGGCGGTACTCAAACTTCCAAAGGGCTATAACTTTGTTACTTTAATTTTACCAGAAAAATGGTAAAGGAAAAAAACATTTCTTTTGATCAGATCTACTCACTGTTAAAATAAATGGCTCAACTTCGATATATATATATATATATATATATATATATATATATATATAAACATATACATTAAGTTTTAAGGCGGGGGTTAAAAACTTCATAGAAATGTTTACAAAATGGATTATATAAAACTTGACGAGAATTCAAATGTTGAATCAAATTTCCTATTTTGAAATATTTGGCCAGAAAGTTTATAAATTCGTGATTTCCAACTTTCCATCATACTGATACTTACCCATATTATTATTTTTATGTATTACTTGTACAAGTTTTTTGTAGCCAGTTATTTAATTCTACAAAGGAGAATAATATTTACTTTTTTTATATCGAAGCAGCCGCGCAGGCAGAAGCCTAAATGCCGGAACACCGCGGCTGCTATGATGATCCCAAAGAAATTTTGTTAATACGATTTTTGGACTGCCTAAGTTTAGTAGAACTGGGAAAAGCTTCCTCTTGTAGATTGTTGCACAATCTAGACACCCTCGGGACAAAGGAGCGGTCGTATCGGCCAGTTCTGGATGTACGAAGTTTGACACGCACGGTTAGGATGGGACGCCAAAGTCAGGCGGTTTTGTCTGGCAGGCACATCACGCGGCGGCATCATGGAAGAGAGCTCTGAGCAGCAAAGCCCGTTGGTGTAGCGATAGAAAAGAGCTAGATCGCCGACGGCCCGCCGGTGCGAAAGAGTCCCGAGACTGTCTGTTACAGAAGAGTCATCGATCAGTCGGACCGCCTTCCTCAGGACAGCATCGAGCATGGACAATGTAGTCGGGGCGGCAGCACCCCAAATGTGTGAGCAATACTCCAGGCTAGATCTTATCTGAGAAGGTCATGCGGAGAAAAGTACTTCTTAGCCCTAAACAAATAGCCTAGCTTTTTCACAGCAGCTGCCGCTATTGACGAGATGTGTTCGTGCCAGATCAGGTCCTCGGTGATCTGGCACGAAACGAATGGCTCTTTGGTAGAACTCAGCGGTCCATCGAAACTGGATGAGCGCTCCAGGACGCTTTTTGTTCGTCAAAGTACAGTATTATGTTTTGGAAGCATTGAACTGTACAAGATTGTTGCGTCCCCAAGCAGTGATAGCCTCCAGGTCTCTTGTCAGAGAAGAAGTCGTCGCTAGTCTTCTTTTTTCCAGCTCAGCGGCAGAGATCGGCTTGTCACTCTGAATTCCTACATTTAGAGTGCTGTCATCAGCGAAGCTGCGGATTGGGTTGATCGTGCAGGAAAGGAGGTCGTTGGTAAGAGAAACAGTGTTGGAGCCAAGACCGATCCCTGGTGAACACCCCCGTTGACGTTGTGGAATGAACAGGACAACCCGCCAATTACGACGGATATCTTGCGGTTAGAGATAAAGTCAGCCACCCATCTGCAAAGCTTTTCTGGAAGTTTGCTTAAGAGGGCAGCCGGCCACAGCTGATCGAACGCTTTCGCGATTTCAAGACATGAGCCTAACCATAAGACTGGATGAGTTTACTCCACAATTGCGTGACGTAAGCTAGGAGGTCCCCTGTGGATCGTTGGTGCCGGAAACGATACTGCCTGTCGCTAATCAAGCTGTGACGTTCGAGGTAGCCCAGAAGCTCGCGATTTTGCACCTCTCCATCACCTTACTTATAACAGAAAGCAGAGCTATAGGCCTGTAGTTATAAGGGTCGGTCTTAGATCCTTGTTTTGGGATGGGGTGGACATGAGCAAATTTGCAGTTTTCTGGGAAGGTGCCGGATTCATAAGATATCTGGAAGAGAGGCGAAAGAACTGGAGCAAGCTCCGCTGCACATCTCTTCAGTACAATGGCAGGAATCAAGTCCGGACCAGAAGCTTTGTTGATGTCGAGCGACAAGAGCATTCGCCTTACGATCGTATTCCTGAATGTTGCCTCCCGCATAGTGTGGGAAACCCTTTGAATTGACGGCACTTGGGCGTTGATGGGGACGTCCATGGTGGAGTTGGCAGCAAAGATCTTGGCTAGCACTTCCGCCTTGGCCTTTGAGTCGAATACAATAGTTCCATCCTGACACGTAAGTGGTGGCAGGCTACTGTGTGAGAAGTTCTTTTCAATCTGCTTGTCCAGCGTCCAGAAAGGCTGACTGACATTGCGCGCCGGCATTACCCTTTTATATCGTGCTGGTTTTTGGCATTGCGAACCGCTTCGTTATATTTGTTTCTGGACTCGACGTCGGCTTGTCTGTTCTCTACAGGGGGATTTTGTAAGAAGGTTCTGTGTGCCTTGATCTTCTACTGGTGAGCAGTGTCACACAATTTGTTAAACCAGCCGTTGGACCCTGGTTTAGGAACTTTCACTGTGTGAGGAATGTATTCCTCCAATCCGACGTGGATAATTTCGGTTATTGAAGAACAGACAGCCGATGTATCCGCTTCAGTGAAACAGACCTCTCTCCAAGGAAATCTACAGAAGATGTCTCTGAGCCCCTCCCAGTCGGCATGTCCGTAAGGCCAAGTTTAATGGCCTGTACGAGTTTCTGCTGCCACAGCGGGTTCTGACCGAAACTTAACCTCCACAACACCGTGGTCTGAGTTACCCAGGGGGGACAGGACAGCAGTGCTGTAAGCGACAGGAAAAAAGGGCTCGTCACCAGTTGGGTCAGCCCTTGAGTAAGACCGAACGCTTCGACTGCACGACCTGCTGCATCGGTCTTGTTTGAGCCCAATCAAAGCTCATTATGGACATTGAAATCACCGATAAGAACTACCTCTGACGCGGGGTGATTGATGTTCAGGAGGTCGATCTGGACGGCGAGGTATTCGAGTAGGTCATCCCAGTTATGGTCTGACGGAGAGCGATGAAGGCAGCAAATAAATTTGGCTGATGTTTTGAAGTTGAGGCGAAGCCACAAAATGTCCTTCCGGTCTGATTCCAAAGAAACATCTCTGGAGCAGGAAATACTGCTGCGGACAAAAGCCACAACTCCCCCGTTCTTTCTCAGATTGGAGTACACCTCGTAGTTTGGAACAAATTATGGATAACATAGATAAATGTATGAGATAAGCTAGGGTCAAGAACATAGTATATGAAAGAGTGAACCCAACACCCTGGTGTCCACAGATATTTAAGGAGTCTAAATGAAAACATGATGATGATTAAATTCAATTCTTAATACCCAAACTGAAAATGATTGGAAATACACAACAAAATCAAGAAACCAGTGTGTAGCAGTTCTCAGGGAGAAAAAATGCTATAACAAGATCGATAGCAATAAGAATAATTCTAAAATGATGTGGAAAACATTAAAGAATATTGTTTCTCCAAATAGAAAGAATATTTTATAGACAGTATAAATCAAATAGTTGAATCGATTTAGAACAGCAATCTAAGAAAAGCTATCTCAGAACTGAAACCTAATAAAAATCCTAGTGAAACTCTTTCAAAAAAGATTCTAAATTAATGTTTCAGTATAATTGCAGAGAAATTATTATTATTGGTGAATCACTGTTTGGTGCATGATGAACTCCCATCAAAGTTGAAGTGCTCTACCATTAGTGATTAATCATAACTGCGAAACTAGAGGAAGTATAGATTTTCATCTGCAAAATTGTAATAAGTATTTCAAAAGGGAGTATTTGAATTTAATGAATTGAATAATGATATTATACAGTGTAAACGAATGTAAAATTACAGAAAATTGATTAAAAAATGTGCAAAAAAATATTATACAAAATTGACATTGTAGCATTAATGCTAAACAAATCTTCAACAAACAAACAAATTATGGAAATGTTGAAAATTTGACTGCGTGAAACCATGCGACGCATTAAAAAGTTAATGCAAAATTGGAAAACAACCCCATATTTGATTCCATACATATTTAGCAAAAGAGCTGAAAAACTGTCTCGTTGTTGTGTATGTTGCTGGGAGCACAACGATTTGAGAGTTTGATCTCCGACTTTCGTGATCAAGAGTTAAATATTGAGTTGATTACCTTCTCCTGAAAATTTGACTGCGTGAAACCTGCGACGCATTAAAAAGTTAATGCAAAATTGGAAAACAACCCCATATTTGATGCCTTACATATTTAGCAAAAGAGCTGAAAAAGTGTCCAATCTCGTTGTTGTGTGTGTTGCTGGGATCAAGACAATTTGGGAGTTTGATCTCCGACTTTCGTGATCAGTAGTTAAATATTGAGTTGATTACCTTCTCCTTTTCTTGCGGAATGTGGAATTCGCTCTCCCTCCTCATCTGCCCGCTGACCATTTTCTGTTTCAACAGCCCCAAATAGCTGCCGGACAATGTGAACAGATCCTGTCTATTGTTCCTTTCATCGTCTCGCACCTTTTCTATTCGTTTTTCAATGAACTGGCCGAGTTTCATCAACGGTGGGAAGTGAGGAATAATCTTGATTAAGATGATTAGTGCATTTCGGATCTGCACGTAGTCTTTGGATTCCAGGCAGGTCACCATCGCCTACATAAAGAATAATACATGTATAAGGAAAGATTTTTCTTATGGTTTTTTAATTAATCCTAAATGCGCAGAAATACTACTGCATCGCCTTGGAGATACATTATTTATCTGTCTTAGCGTAACTCCTAAAGCTTATGCTGTGATTGTCCTGCTGTCTTTATCTTCATGTTCGGACTTTTCCATTAATTAATATATTCTACCTAAAGATAGCCAACGGAATGATATATTTCCGCATCCCAAGAATTATCCGGGATAAAATGAGATACCATAGCCGTCATTCATGAGAATTTGTCACAGCTGTTTCTCTATTTGCTATACATATTTTGAAAAGGATAGTTGCTCATAGATAGTCACCTATATACATGTGTTCATACCGGGTGTCCCAAAATAGCAGAGAAATATAAAAAAACTAAGTCACATGGTGGAGGAAGAATTTTCTTTCCTTACGAGGACGTCCTATAACAAGCAGTCGAAGAAGACCCGAGTACTACCTTCGGTAAAGAAGCAAGCACGGGAGTGCCCTAAAATACAGCCCACCGAATATTGCGAAACCACCCGTACCACGTACAGCGAGTACAATCACATGTTTACATGGATCTATACAACTTACACGAGTGGCATGTAGAAAATCCACATACCATGAGGCAAGATAGATTACAATATCGTTTTAGAGTAAATATGTGAACCGGGATTCTAAATGGAAGAATCATTGTACCCTTTGAGCTGCCAGAGTTCTTAGATGGTGAAATTTATTTAGACATTTTACAAAATCATTTACCAAATACATTGGAAGTCGTGCCACTAAACATTTACAGAGACATGTGGTACCAGCAAGACAGCTGCCCGGGTATCACGTATCTTGAAAAGTGACGTTATATCGATCTTTTTGACATTATATTATATATTTTTTATATTATGTAGTTTTTTCTACAAGATTTTAGCTTAGCACTTAGTTGTACGTGTTGCCTAAACGTCATGAGGTTTTAGTTATCAATGTTTGGCACTGACGTGATGTAAAATCTGCTGCAGAGATCGCATTACTGGAGGTCCAAGCTGTAAGTTGTATGTGTTGATGAGAATTCCATTGGATTCTTGTCTCAAATACACATAATCTAGATTCACAGCTAGAAATTAGTTGCGCAGCCACTTTTTCTTATCCATGCTGGAAATTATATATAAAAATTTGCTGAATTTCAAAAATGAGAGAGATAAGAAATAATTATATTTTCACTGTACACTGTCGAAGTACAAGCCATATACTCGTACATGCTAACAGTAATTACACACAACGCGGGCGCGGTGATCATTTCCCGTAATTCTCCTCAGTTTTTCGTAATTTATAACTTTGAACATAACCTCTCTTCAGAAAGCACAACATATATATAAATAGCCCGTTATATTCAGCATATTCAGTAATGATTTTCTTACACAGCAAATATCACTGATTTTATACACATGCAGACCAATACACATAATCATCCAGATGTGATCTTGCTATTCAACCAACTTTCTTCTCAGAGATAAAAAGTACAGACACGGAGCACTCAGCCTCACAAAACATACGCAACCAATAATGCGTGTAGTTTATGAGTGATTCCTTCATAGATAGAAGTTCACAACGATCCTAGTGGCGCCTGTTGGCGCCTTAAAAACTACCTAGTCTGTAAGTTGACATCTTATAGGTTTTTTTACGTTTTATAGGTTTTTTACATGAAACCCGTGTCGTGCAGTATAACCCGTTCAGTTAGAGAATATCTTGATACGGAATACCCGAGCAGATGGATAAGGCGGTCTGGTTCAATTTCAAAGCCAACGCTTTCACCTGACTTAAATCCACTCATTTTTCTACTGGGGGGCGGTGAAACAAGTTTACTCAAAACCAATCGAAAATTTAGATGAACTACGGCATGGGTATCAAGTAAAAAACGTATAAAACGTCAAAAAAACCTATAGGATGTCATCTTGCAAACTAGGTAGTTTGTAGGGCGCAAACAGTCATTCCACATTTGCTCACTAGGATCGTTGTGAACGTCCATCTATGAAGGAATCACTCATAAACTACACGCATTATTGGTTGCACATGTTTTGTGAGGCCAGTTTTTATCTTTGAGAAGAAAGTTGGTTGAATAGCAAGATCGCATCTCGATGATTATGTGTATTGGTTTGCATGTGGATAACATCAGTGATATTTGCTGTGTGAGAAAATCATTACTGAATATGCTGCCAATGAAGTATATCTATTGGCTGTGCCCGATGGGATATTTTTATGTTATGCTTTCTGAAGAGAGGTTATTTTCAAAGTTATAAATTACGAAAAACAGAGGAGACTCATGGGAAATCATCACCGCGCCCGTGTTGTGTGTAATTACTGTTAGCATGTATATGGCTTGTAATCCGACATTGTACAGAGAATATAATTATTTCTATCTCTCTCATTTTTGAAATTCAGCTTTGTATATGTAATTTCCAGAATGGATAAGAAAAAGTGGATGCGCAACTAATTTCTAGCTTTGAATCTCAATTAAGTGTATTTGAGACAAGACAAGACAGATTTTACATCACATCAGAGCCAAAGATTGATAACAAGCCTCGTGACGTTTAGGCAACACGTCCAACTAAGTGCTAAGTCAACGTCTTGGCGATAAACCTACATAATGTCAAAAAAACAGCATAATGTCAAAAAAAAATCCGCATAATGTCACTTTTCAAGATACGTGATACCCGTGCGGGACAGAATAACGGAAGCAGCCAAATTTGTTAATAACGGAAGTTTAGCCCGCATAATAACCTGATCATTTTTAAGAAGATGTCAAACTTGCATTGCAGCTAAAGAAAATACAATCACGAATTAATAAAAGTGGCGTTACTGTCTTGCTGACACTACATAGAATGACACTGTCCATCACTTTGACTGAGAAAAAATTGAAAATTGTAGTAAAGGGAACTAAAAGATAATCACAGGGTGTAGTTAAGTGCATGACTAAGATTTTTTATATTTTTCTGAAACTATTATGACTTGGCCTACTCCCCGTTTCCGGCTTGACGCCGCCTTCTGGGACACCATGTATAGATCGCGCCATCTTTTATGATACGATATCTCATTTTATCTCTGATAACTTTATGGACGCGAAAGTTTATCATTTGGATGGCTATCGTCAGGTAGAACACGTTAATCGAAAGTTTTACTGGACGGCAAATGAAATTACATATGTTGTTGGAACACACTGTATACAAGCGGTGAAATAAATGGATTGTCCCCTGGAACACATAAACAGTTAATGTGTGCGCCTAACCCGGTTCGATGCGTCTAGCTTCGTCTGGCAAAAATCGTCGGGTAGCTGAGGCATCCGCTAGATCAGCGCTAACATTGCAGTTGCAACTCAGCGCTGTCTAGCTTATGCTTCAATTCAGCTGTTGAACGTCATCTCGCCAAGTGACATCTTTGTATTAAAGTATGTACTGTTGGGAATAATTAATCTGCTGAAAATCACTATCTTTTTCAGAACTATATATACCAAACACTAATTTTTTTTCTCACATACATACCTCTGACAGGGAATTTTGACAATAAATGAAGTACAAATTAGAAAATTGTTAATGTACAACGATTACAAGTCAACAGAACAGACCACAACAAAATACAGACCTTTTCATTGATAGACCCGTAAGACTTGTGTGTCACTTGTTGATATGAGGCAGTTTGAATGCCACTAGTTAATCAGCTGTTATATGTTGCCAAGTTTTTACCTGATGAAATCTGGCAAATCAGATTAAATAAATTGAAAATAAGTGTTACTCGTTAAGCAGGCGGAGCTAAGCTTTAGGTGCAAAGTGCTAATAAACGCAGCCCTTGTCAATCCATTTTGTACTCCTCAAAACGTCATCAAGGTGACCCACACACCAGCTTTCTTATAAATCTATATATTTATGTGCTTTTTTATTTGGGAATCAGTAAAATATGGTAGATAAACTACCGTGTCTTATACTGTTTCCTCAAGAGATACAAGAGCAACATGCCCTTAAGGTGTCGAAGTAGTATTTTTCGCATTTTGCAACGTTACAGTTAAGACGGATCCCTGTGGAGTACCCTTGTTGATATTGTAGCGAAGAAGAGCAAAATCCATCAACTAGACGGGTATTTTATGATCAGGTCAGGGGGTAAATTTTTGAAAACGAAGGATTAGAATAACCAGTAGAAAGTGGTCCACTAGCTGCCAGTTTTTAGCTGCTGTTTCAGGATTTTTCAACTAAGTATATAAACGCAAACAATAATGTGCTCATAGGTTTTCCAGATCATTATATTGTAACAATAATGAATAGTTCTGTTGTCGCCATCTGTTGGAAGACTCCTACTCGCCAGAGCTTCATGGCAGATCTGTTTTTACGCAGATCACGACCACACATGCCGCTTGGCGACATCTGTGAGGACGGTGCCAGTGACTCGCCTTCTAGATCGACGCGAAGTGACCCTTGACGATTCTGAAAGACCGCTATGTGGTTCATCGGATTCTTCTCGACCCAACGATGCGGACTATATAACTCGACGGCCGGGAGAGGGAAGCAGAGTAGGGTAGAGTAGAGCAGAGTGGAGTATAGTCCAGTCAGTGGCGTGACATAAGAATTAGTCAGACATAAATAGTGGTGTACATAAATGTTCTATCTAATCAAGATAAATAAATTAGTGCATTTCTTTTTGTGGAATCCACACCCAAAAGAACCCAGAAAAACGCTACAATATGTTTCATTACAACCTTAATCTTGTCTTTAGAGTTTGGACTGATGGACATCGGAGAGACACACGTTCTAGTCCTCCTGAGAAATACTCGGGGTGTAACAGCAATGATGTTAAAGACATCTTGGCAATCCGACTTTTGGGCAGCCCATAAATGTGAGACGGGAGCGCTTGAATGCTAGTGTCATAAATCACAGCGCCTTGTAGATAATCGAGATATTTTGAAAACGACATTGTTAGGGTATGTGATCGATTCTTTCTTTGGGATGGGTTAAATACGGGTAGGGTAATCCATTGAAAAATTGACGGAATCGCAAGACATCTGAAAAAGATGTGAAAGGATAAGGACACCGTTAAAAGAATCGCTCGCGACTCATTTTCGAGGGGAAAAGTCTCGCTGTCATCCATCAGTGCCAATTCTAAAGACGAAGTTATCTTTGTCAAGAAACGTTTAATGATACGAAAAACCTAGGAACATTATACTGCTGAAAAATGGTATAATGGAATTTGGGATCATTCCCCTGGGATCGTTCTATTCTACTGGAGAATTTGGGTCCAAGACAGGGATAATGTGGGAATTAATAAATTTTAGTATATTTCAAATTACTTTAGCTAGCTTGTAATGCCACTTGTGACAGACATGCCGGTAGTTCTCATAGTCGACATTATCCAAGTTGTCAGCATGCTGGTTGTTCTTGCGGTACTTAGTGACGAAGCCGGGATAGTTGGCGCACTCTTTATCGAAGATGTCCTTGGACTTGTGCCATCGCATCACAGTTTCCAATGTGGCATACAGGAACCGCCCAAATCGCATCGCCTCGTTCTCAGTGCATGACGTTATCGAGTAGGTGGTGTTACAGAACAACTGTCAAAAGAAGTTACAGAATTAGAGCCCGTATTCATAGCCACTACTTAAATGTCAAATTTATAGACCTTGATTGAAGATTAAATGCCCTTTGAGGAATTATCTCTCCTTAGATTTTAAATAAACAATAACACTTTCTTGATGAACATTTGGAACATTTTCAAAAATTTACACGATTTTCGATATTTTCAAAACAATCAAAATGTTCAACGTGTTTGAATTTCAAAATTTCTAGGACTTACAAAAATGGAAATGAGGAACTTGAAATTTTTGTAAGTTCTGAAAATTTCGGTACTTTTTAAAATCATAAAAATAGAAAAACTGAAACTAAATTTTGAGAATCATGTAAACATTGAAAACTTTGAGGTTTAGAAGATTTTCAAATTTTTGAGGATCATGAAAATATTGAAAAAATGTAAAATTAAAAAAATTTGAACGACTGTTCCAGCCTACTGTGAAATGCAAGTTTTATATCCTCGTTTCTTGAAGAAGCAGTATTGTTTGATTAAAAACCAGAGATAAATCATTCCTCAAGCTACACTCAATTCTCTCGGAGCGTCTCTAAATGATACTATGTATTGAGCGAAACTTAAACTGTCCTTTAAACTACACTTAAATGTAGATCATAGCGTAATTTAATTATATTATTGTATGGTTGATATTTTGAGCCCATTTAATATTAGTAAATTTCATTATATATTTAATATTCGTATTGAAAATTATGAAGATGTCAAAAATAAGAAACTGGGAGCATATTACAAGAAATGGTTTTCACAAAGAGGACACGCTAAAAATTCATATACAGTTTTTGGAAAATAATATTAATATTCACTAACAGAGCAATAACTTCACTGTCCATTATTATATTGCATTTAGTGAATTAGGAACAATACAGTCAAAAGTACTGGTAGCAGTAGTGGTGGGGAGGCGAAGCCTTGCAAGTAGGTCACCTTTGACCCTCTTTGCCGACCCCGAGTGTACCAACAGTCTACTCCACATACTTGCCCTATCTGTCGAACCTTCCTGATCTACTAATGAAGGTAAAGCTCCAAATACCTCAACCTTTAGGCTGTAATACGTGAGGTGGAAGCCTAGATAGTAGAACGCTGTTTCGTCCTCCTCCCAGCACATACGTCAAATACGGTCTCTTACGCTTAGTAGGGACAAGCGCCTGCTCAATCTACAGAGACTTACATGTGACTCATACAGGGGCTTCTGGCCCCCTGCCGAGCCAGATAATCGGCTCTCTAGTTATCCGGTACTCCGGTGTCCGGCGACCCAAAGTAGGGTTACTTCTTTAGATTGGGCTATGCTTTGAAGAGTAGTGCATTCCTGGACTAAAGGCAAATTTGTTCTAGGGGATGCCACCACCTTCAGAGCTGGTTGACTGTCGAAACATATAAATATGATCGGTTCAATGCAGCGTTGTACCTCCTATGAGTATACCACCATTATGATCGCATTTACCTCTGCCTGGAAGACTTGTGCAGGCTCCAAGCGCAAAACTTTCCTGCACACCTATGCCTTCAGGTATATTCCCGATACACTGGATTCTGTTTCCTTGAAAAAGGATCCGTCGGTGAAGCACACCATGCTATAAGGCGCAAATTTAATCTCCCATCCACCCATTCTTCCCTTGCAGGATGATGAGTGAGAATTCTAAATCTGTTCTTATGGTGGTCTTGGCTCTCTCAACTCTTACTGCAGATATAGGGGAAATTTTCTGCTTCACGCCCTTGACGGAAGTCTGCTTGAAGTGCACAAGAACCCTTCTGATTTATATGTCAACCCTTTATACAAAACCTTACTTCAGTATGCGTCGTTCGTTCAACGTCCAACTGACACTCAGCATTTAAATAATAATAATTTATCACATCATTTACAAATTGTGAACAAATGCATATTCCACAAAAGGAAAATATCCTTGTATGTGGATATCATGCTAACACAACATACATATAACATAGCAGTTATAATAAAGGGCTTTAAAAAAAAGGAAAAAAACTATATAATATAAATTCAGTATGTACATTAATTTTGGATCGTGGACTAACAATGAAGAAAATATGTGTTAGTTTTTTATAAATTGCATCATGTTTATATCAGTTTTCGAAAGCATCTCGTATGCTTTGGATAATGTCTGAGTAGCATTGCTATGGTTTCTAATATTTGTCATAATATTGCTTCATGAAAAATTTTAAGTTGACAATAAGTTAAGCAACTTGTTATGGTATAGAAATATTTTATCTTCGTGCTACAAATCATGAATTGGAACTTTTAAAAACAAATATCTCGAAAACTATTAGCTTTAGACACTTACATGTAAACCTTTTTTGTTGTGGAAATACGAGAAAATACGATTTTTCGGTCAGTTGCTATATACAGGGTAGCGCAAAAAAGTTATGATAAGTTATTTACCGAAATAGTGAAGTGGCGCCCGCTAGAAGTTTGGCCATAAAAAATAACGGATTCTTGTTTCTCATACTAGAAAACCTCCCTATACCGAGTTTTATGCCAAAATCTGAAATACTTCTCAAGCAATAAGGAAAAATAGAAAATAAAATTGTAACTTTGACACCCTGTATCTCGCAAACTATCAACTTTTGAAGTAAGGTATGTTTAGGTCAATTGACATATTTTGGTCTGTAGTATCTCCAGTTTCGAGATTTCCCAACCTTTCGCAAACACTCTGTATATTCATTTAGGAGATTTTCTTTTTATTCAGCTGATTATACGGGGTGTTAGGGAAATAATATTCGTAACTTTAAGAGGTGATTCCTTGCTTTAATCTAAGCAAAAAAGTTCATTATAACCTATGTCCGAAAATCAACCGTTTTGGAGCAAAAAAATGCTGAAAAAATGTATCTATGCATCTATTTATTAATTGTCGCGCCCCCCTCTAAATCTGCCACTGGAAATCGTTATTAAATAAAAAATATTAGCCACAAAAATTACATAAAGTATTCAATAATTCAATGCATATTTTCAACAAAAATATCATACAAACGCAAATAATTCGATGAATCAGTTGCGGACGTCGTGCGCTCGTATCGCGGTTGCGTTGCAGCGTTGCCAAATGTTTGAGAAAATTTAATTACTTACGACTCACTTTCCTCGAAAACGATTGATTTTTGGACATAAGTTATAATGAACTTTTTTGCTTAGAATAATGCAAGGAATCACCTCTTAAAGTTACGAATATTATTTCCCTAACACCCTGTATAGCGATATTTTAGTTATGTAAGAGGTGAAAGGAATAAAGTAGTTTTTTTATAATAGCTAATAATTGATTATCAAACAAGACTGTTATCTGTACTAAATCTTTTTCAATTTCTTCTTTTAATGATGGATGATGGTGGCTCAACACTAAACAGTGACTGTAAAACAGGCCTTATAAATAACACTTACTCTATCATAGAACAGCAAGGTGGAGAAATTCGCCGTCTTCAACAGATGAATAGTATGAATAAACTTTGCGCAGTAAAGAGCATCAATTTGGGTGAATGTGCACCTAGGGAAGATGCACAGTTGCAGGAAGCTAGTGATCGCTTCATTCTTAGCGCATTTAGCGTGTCTGAACAGAAACCAACTGCCCTTTTCCTGTTTTAGCCGATGCATCACCTTGTCGACGTGTTCCGTTTGCTTCTTCTTCTCATCTTGAAGTTTTTCGAACAGGGTCACGTAACGTTCTTGTTCCTTCTTGCCTTTGCCGCTGTCCGCCAGTGATAGAGATTGCTGTTTCGCCTTATTTATCACCTATAAAGATGGGATTCAATTGGTTATAGGCGTAATAAGCGGTTGGTTTTAGATGTGACAAGCGATTTGCGAGTAAATAAATTAACCAATTTCGTCTTTGAGGAATTTACTTTCCACATGATATGCTACAATTTAAATAATAATAATAATAATAACATGCCTTTATTCGATTCTTTTACAAATACATATTTTGGGTAAGATGAGGTACTAAAAATTTGAAATTAAAGAATCGCAATGGTGGAGTCTTCCCTTAAGGTAGGCATAAAATAAAACTACAAACATGAATAAGAGTAGTATCATAAAATAATGAATACATGTGATTTGTGATAATTTCCTAATAATGTTTAAATCTATACAAGTATATATGTTTAAATTTTAAGTCATTTAATATAAAATCATGATGTCCATATGATATGACTCGAAAAATGATTCAGTCAATTTTATTCTTACCGAATTTTAGAAAATTGATCTCATTATCATCAGATAGAGGAGGCGGATAAAAGCATTATTGCTTTTAATTTTTTCTTAAAATTTATTAGACTGTAATTGCAGTACTCAGTTGATAGATTCTTGTAGTGTTTCGCTGCAATGTATGAAAAACTTTTCTTGTATAACGATGTAGAGTGGTGGGGTATAACTAGAGATTGACTATTTCTTGTTGCTAAGTTGTTAACATTTTCAAATTTTTGTAGCTTATTGAGAAAGTACTCTGGTTTCCAATTTATTAACGTCTTATGGACTAAAGGTACTGAATGATAGATTCTAAGATTTTCTAAATTCAATTTTCCGTAAACCTTATAAATATGACTGATATGGTCGTATTTTCTAGTGCCAAGACAATAACGGAAACAACAATTTTGGAGTTGCTGCAGCTTGATCTTATCACTTTGCAATAAAGCGGGTCGATACACTGCGTAATAATAAGATATTCTTGAAATGATTAGTGAATCACATAGCTGTAATTTTAATTTACTATTTAGTAAATGTCTTTGCGGATATAATTGTTTGAGGATACCATAAGATTTTGAACATAATTTCTTTATATGATGGTCAAATTTTAGTTCATTATCCAACCATAAACCCAGATTTTTGCTTACAGTTACAACTGGTCAAGCAATGTTGTTGATGTTGAGCCGATATAGATGTTCACTTTCTATTATGATTCGTTTCTGCTTTGGTCCAAAAATCATAACTTTTGATTTAGAAGGATTCAGTGTTAAATTACGAGAGAGATAGATGGTATTTAGACCATTTTTGATCAAATCAAAGGATCAGTGATATGAAAACCATAATATAATCGCCTGTCGTCTGCGTAAGGCTGAACATTGCAGTACTTTAAATTGTTAGAAAAGGATGTTGTAGTATCATAATATTTGCGGAAGCCAGATTGAATCTGTGGTAAATTAGATTTATTTGTAACATATTCCGAAATTTGTTTACTGATTGGTCTTAAATCAGAGAATTGATTCGGATTAGATATTTTAGATGTAGGTATTACTTTAGATATTTTCCACATATCCGGAAACACGGACGAAGTAAGACAGCAATTTATTATATATGTGATATGATTTAGTAAGCGGTTCTCTAATAACAGTAGCATTTTCCGTGATATAGTGTCATGACCAGCTGTCTCTGTTTTGATAGCTTTGATACAAGTAGATATTTCAGCGGTAGTTACTGAACCAAATTCAAAGGATTCATCAGGGTTGTTAAAAGGCCCAATATTATATTTATGTAATAGGTTCACCTGATATTGACTTTTGTCTACTTTAGGGAGGTTCAAGAAGTATGTGTTGATTTCATAGGGCTTATTCAAATATTGCGGAATAGCGTTTTTAATTTTTTTGTGTCACCTGTTTGACGTAATCGTTGCCAGGTTAATTTGATATCCTTTTGCCTAAGCGAATAATCTATAAATGCTTTTTTTTTTCGCGATGCATAGCATTTTTCGTCTAATTCCTCGATTCTTTGTAATAGGCCCAATGTGCTGGTTGACCAGTTCTTTTAGATTGGTTAAAAGCTTTGTCCCTTAATATCGTTAGGAGCTTGATGTTATCTGTTATCCATGGTGGATTGATTCCGGTTACCCTATATACATGGAAAGGACAGCAAATATCATATACATGAACCAATACTTCAGTTAAAAAACCACCATGTTATTAACGTCACTAAAAGTAAAACTTTTATCCCAATCAACAGTTGTTAGTGCATAACCAAAAAACCGAAAATCAAAATTCTTCCATACATGATGATGACTTCTAAATATTTTGGGGTAGATGAAGGAGCTATTTCCTTTATCGATGGTACAAGAGACTAGATGATGATCAAAATTTCCATGTAATTTTTTCCTCTTGATGAATTAAGTTTTACTCAATATGACCAAGTCTAATAGTGCTTGAGTTGTAGATGTAATTCTCGTTGAAGTATCTATAATTTTCTTTAAATTGTAAGATTCCAATAGATCTGAAAAGATATCTATAATGTTTCCTGGTGAGAAAAGGTCAATTCCACCCATTCTGGTATCATACGCGATAATGGTTGATTAAGACCCATACATATCTTTGGACCGCGTGACACGATATGAAATACAGGGTTATTACAAAAGAATCATCGGGTTTTAAAAATATATATTTCTGAAGGTATTACAGATATAACAGTAAGTGACATGTCAATAGAAAGGTAAAATATTCAAGATTTTAAGCATGTTATTACAAATGTTCGATGTGGACTCCTTGCGTCATACGACATATGTTCAAACGATAGTCCAGTTCGGCCCATACACGCTGCAATGTGTCTCGATCGATATTGTTAATAACAGTAGTAATGCGTTCCCGGAGTTGACAGAATGTTGTTGGCAGAGGTGGTATGTAAACCATATCTTTAATCTAACCCCAAAGGTAAAAATCGCATGGTGTAAGGTCGGGAGACCTGGGAGGCCACGCGAACAACACCAAATCTTGTGTAGTACCTCGGCCAATCCAACGGTGAGGCAGTGCCTCGTTTAAATACCGACGCACCTCATGATGCGAGTGAGGCGGAGCTCCATCTTGTTGGAATATGAAGTTGTTAGAATCTTCTGTTAGTTGCGGAAATAACCACAAATGCAACATATCTAGGTAGGATGAACCGTTCACAGTGTTTTCATGAAAGAAAAAAGGCCCGTACACTTTATTTTTGGATATTGCACAGAAGACATTCAATTTTGGAGAATCCCTTTCATGTTGCACAATCATATGAGGATTTTCCGTGCCCCATATCCGAATGTTATGACGGTTCACCCTTCCACTTAAATGAAATGTCGCTTCGTCGCTGAATACCAGACAGTTAGCAAATTCGTCGTCTTCCATTGCCTCCTGCATGTTAGAAGAAAAATCAAGTCGCTTTACGTGGTCATCAGGTCGCAAGCTTTGTAGCATCTGTAGACGGTACGGTTTGAATCGCAATCGTTTCCGTAAAATTTTCCATACGGTTGGCTGGGGAATACCAAGTTCACTTCCTTTTCTGCTAGTGGACTTTCGCGGAGAACGCGTGAAACTGTGTCTAACTGCGTCCACCATTTCGTCAGGAACTCGTGGTCTTCCGGTACTTTTACGTTTAGCAATGGAACCTGTCTTCTTGAATTGTCGATACCATCGTAGAATGCTCTGATGACCTGGAGAATCACTTCCATACTGCCGTCGGAATGCACGTTGCACTGTAACAACCGATAAACATCGCGCGTACTCTAACACACAAAACGCTTTCTGCTGCATAGTCGCCATTTTGTATACTGAGCTCGTGGCGCTACCTAGGGAGGTAAAGCGGCGTTCGCAAGCACGTGATTTAACTTGAACAATTTCCTTTTCTAGTGATATGTCATTTGATATCATATTTGCAATACTATCTGAAATATAAATTTTAAAACCCATGATTCTTTTGTAATAACCCTGTATATCTATAAACACCTACAAATGTTCGCATCTGGCAAACGACGGTATGGTAGGTTTCCGAATGGATATACCTTATTTCACGAGTATCCATCACGCTTTGCCGTGAAATAGGGTATAGCTAAGGAACGCAGTAGTGTAGATGTGGCAACCTTCACTGGCAATTAACTAACCTGACTTACTTTTACGTCGTTTACAGTTGATCATAGAGACGGAAAACAAATACACTTAACATATGGATTTTTAAAAGCTGCTAATGAACATGTTTTACTCGTAAATACCTGTTGGTAAGTTTCTTCAGGAACATAGAGATCATACATGGTTAATGACCAAAATGTGGCCATGAACTGTGGAGATATATCCTCCCATACTTTAGTTGGATGAAGTGGAACTAGGGACTGATGCACTGGTTCCATTATTTCGGTTACAGCTTCATAAAATTTCTGATTTTTCACGACCGCCGGCATTTTCTTGTAGCTAGGATCTTGCTTTCTCAGTTGTTCGTATTTTTGCTATAACAAAAGAAAAATAGCGTCAAGTATTGACTCTACACTTCCTTTGTAACTTGGTCGTTTCATTCACCTATCTCTACAGCCCTCTCCCAACTAAACATGAATCCTGTAACGACCACAGAGGTCATTCTAGATTAGTCCGCGCTACGCTACTGCGTTAAACAGTTTAGATACACTTGTATCACACATCGAATATATGGGAGTATAGGGGAGCCTTGAGAATAAACAATTTTCTTTAAAAGGAAAATGAAGCCTCTTTTTATTACTTCTATGGGAATTCGATGCGATTCTATTTGACAGCATAGTTGTGACGATGAGAATTGTATGTGACCATTCATGTACAGCATAGGGTGGGGGATATTTTTGGAGAATTCATTATGCTACGCTACAACTCCAAGTGGTACGATTGTAATCTCTATACTGGTCTATGTAGGTGAAACCTTGGAAATGTTTTCCACTGAAAGCATTCATCTACTCACATTGATAGCATGGTTGAACATTGGCCTCGCCAGAAAGAAGGCCACCTCCATAGGTATGTGATAATCAGTAAGCATGCTCTGGATCGACGGCAACTTGTTGACGTACTCATCCACTGACAAAGTGGAGCCTAGAAAAGTCCCGAATTGCACCAGTGTGTCCTGGCACTGGTCGGAAAGCTTGCCCACTAGCTTCAGATGGCTCTTTTGTGTCTCCTTGTACACCACGCAGTAGTTCTGTTGGGCCATTAGCAGGCACAGGGCTACGGCAAGGTCGTTTTCGGACATCGCTTCTTTTAGACGCAGTGAGGATTTCTTCGTGTTGCGCACTTGACTAAAATAGCCAGCCTAAAAGAATCATAATAAACTTCATTTGTAGACTGCTTAACTTGCAAGTGGGAGTTTTGAAAAAAGTGTTTTGACCTATCACCGGACAAGCGTCGAGCAGCTAAGAAGTTAGGTCCTTCTGTTGGGTTAGTATACTCTTCTGTACCTAACCAAGCACTTGAAAGTGTATAAAAGAGATTTTTTTTATATCTTGGCTGCAAGCTTGCTAAACCCTCGGACTTGATTAATTACTGTGATAAAAGAAATATCATAGAGTTAATCGAAAACAGACGTAAAATCAACGATCAGTTGCTATTATTATCAAGAATTATTAGCCGCTGTATTTTGAGAAAATCAAAAGTTCGCCTATTTTCGGCCTACCAAACAAGATTAAAAATTGTTTTAAATTAAACTAAGTCTAAAATAATCTTCGAGATTTTTTAGGGTATTATATCAACTTCAATTTGGATACTTGGCAACCTGAAAAAAAATAATTTTTAACGGACTTTTCGAGCATTGAATATGCTTTTTTTAGGGGTTTTCAGATATTAAATCGCTTGAAACTCGAAAATGGTCAACTTTAGAGAAAATATACTAAAGACCTTTTTTGTTCAGTGTGATCAGAAATATCTGAAAATAATTTGTACGGAGCGATAAAACCCCCAATTCGCAAGAGAAGTTTTCCACCTCGATTTTTTTCATAATCTCGTTTCTTGGATGCCCCATCACATGATTCTAGACGTTGCCGGTGGGCAACCCGGAACAAATTTGTATCAAATAATTTTTTAAACACATCTTATAATTCTTTTGCTCCGAATGGATCATTCTGAACAAAAAAAAAAAGGTTCTCAATGCTTGAACTCTGTGTCTCCTGTACTGGGACTGGGTTAACTGTTCCCAATAGCCAAATACTTTTTTTCACCAATCAGACTAATATTGGTATATGTAATCATTTTTAGTTATTTATATTGGCATCGAATTCAAAAAAAGTGTATACTCGTAGTGGTAGATAAAAAAATTGCCCCCGATCGGAGCCGGCGGCATTGAAACTAGGATTATTCGTATCACTACTCACGGAAATGGATGACTCCGATCGGAGCCGTCGGCACATGGCGAAGATCACCTATTGGCTCCGATCGGAGTCATCGACAGCGAACGTGTTAACTTGTATTGTTTACACAATCTGATTATGAAAATCTTGCTATACAAATTAAAATAAAAATGTATTGTTTTTTTCCTTATTGCATGTCATAACATTAACAAGCTGTCATATAAAGTAAATTTGCAATAAAAATAATATATATTATTAATAATATTGGTGACACTCCCTTAAAATAGAATGGGGGTAGAACTAATACTTAACCTTTTTTGTGTTAATCAAATGCATTGAATTTATTTTAAAATAAAAAAAATATTAACAGGAGAATTGAAGAGTCAAAAGATTTTGTCTTAAGTTGGGCCATAAGTGCTTTCTTTGATGTCTGAAAAACCCTAAAAATGGAGATCCTCATTGCTCAAAAAGACTGTTAAAATAATTATTTTTGAGGTAGCAAAGAGTCTAGTCTAAATAAAGATCAATCCTTCTGCTACAAGATCCCGAGTAGCACTTTAGGCTAAGTTCATTTTATAGCAATTGTTAACCTTGTATGGTAGGTCAAAATTGGAGAACTTATGATTAACGTAAATAAATATAGTGAAACAATTATTACCTCTGCCTTGAGTAATTCTCCACCTGCCATGGCATTTAGTTGGTCAATAGTGAGATCTTCTGCTGCTTCTACCCCAGCCATCTTTTGGACTACTTCTTTCAAGATCAACAAATCCAAGCTGTAAAGTCAAGGTTCTAAGTTAATGTTAAACATAAATACCAGCAAACGAGCACATATTATCAGTACCGTTTTGAGTTCATTCCTAACGAAGCTACCATAAACGATAGGTCTTTACAGGAAACGAAACTATGCGACCACACCTACACCCTCTATTATCAGGACGATATATTATTATATATTCGTGCTTTTATAGCTTCTAATTACTTCTGAATTTTAAACAAGAAGTTTTTTATCGTTATTCTACAATCTTCGAGCGATGATCATTCAACCTGCTGCTGGAGTGCTACCTGCCTTGTAATGGTTTTTAAGCATTTTGCGTTTTTATGTTATATGCAACAAAAAAGTGAAATCAAGTAAACTCAAACTCAGTTGCCCACATTATTTGAAATTCTAGGCACACGAAAATTGTACGCGTCATTTCACATTCTTGACACTTTAAGCGCCCGGAAGTAACCAGACAGCTCAGAAATGTCGAAAAAGGGAGTTTACAGAGATCGTGGATATTCTGTGGTCTTACTTTTTTCGCTCAGAACTCCTCAGCCGCTGGACATATTTTCACAATCTACAAGGTACTACGATAACATGATAATACGCATGTTTCACCAAAATTTGATAAAGATAATGACCTAAAATCTGTGGCATACGACGTGGTATTTTGTGACACATATCACGCAGCTCCGAAAAAACATAATTTCCTGATGCATAATGTTTCACCATTACAATATTTTCTGGCCAACTGACGTGAGAAGCAACATTACGGGTCTTGTGCTTTGTTTACTGTAATTTTCGATTTAGGTATAATTTAAGTTTTGTGGCATGGTCCGAAAAATAATATGAATTTATGAAAAAACATGTCTAAAAATGGGTACCCTTAAAAATACTTCATGATGTAAGCTCATTCACGGTTTAATAAACATCATGACAAGTCAATTATACCCAATTAAAAACCAAAGACTTACAATAACAATACCCCAAACAATGCTTGTTGATGGGTGTTTGAAGGATATTTTGGCAACATTAAAATGCTCGTTTTTGAATACTATTTTTCGGGGTCGAAAATAGGTACACAAAAATCAAAGACACTTTAGCAAAAAACGGTTAGAGTTATGTATAGGACGAAATACATGATGCTTGAAAATCTTGCACAAAATGAGAAAATCGGATATCGAATACGAGTGCGGTTCAATAAGTACCGGTGTTAGAAATGGAGGCATTTTTTCCAAAAAAAAAAAAAAAATATTTTTCAACATAGTCACCTTTTAGAAAGATACACTTTTCCCAATGTTCCTGCCGTTTTTCAACCCCTCAAAAAAATAGGATTTGTCGAACTCCAAAATACGCCTCTGCCTCGGCGACGACTTTCTCGTTTGAGCTATTTGTTTTTTCCGCGAGCCATTTCTTCATGTTAGGGGGGGGCGCAGATCTGGTGCGGCAGCACTTCATAATGCAATTCATGTAGTTTGGCGGCGATAACTCCGGATGAATGTGCTGGTGCGTGGTGAAATATCACCTTTTTTTCGCCAAATGTGGCCGTGAGGATGACGCCGTTCGCATCCAAAAAAATCGTCGGCATGACCTTTCCGGCCGATTGGTCCGTCTTCCCCTTCTTTGGAGCAGATTCACCGGGATAAAACCATTGTTTTGATTGCTGCTTAGTTTCCGGTGTGTAACTATTAATCCAGGTTTCATTAACGGTGAAAACTCGACGCAAAAACTCCTTAAATTGTTCCAAACACTGGTTCGAAGTTAATAGCCGCATCCGCTTGTTGTCCACCGTGAGCAATCGTGGCAACCATCGGGCCGACAATTTTTTCATCTCCAACTCATCATGTAAAATATTCATTTCCGTTCCGGTCGACACATCTACTACTTCGCGCACTTTCGTTCCAATCAGCGAGAATCATGTCATGGACTTCTTGAATGATTTCCTAGGTAACCACGTCTGCCGGACGCTCATCAAAAACGGATGGTCACCCACGTTTAAATTCGTTGAGCCAATATCTATCTGTGGTGTGTGGTCTGTGGCAAAGTGTCCCCATAAACTGCATTCAACTTTGCTTTTATCTCCTCGCATTTTTTCCCATCCAAAACAAAAAGCGAATTACCGAACGGTACTACCCTTTTTCCATCTTAGCGAAAATCACAAAACACGTGTTACTCGAAGAGCTGCCAAATCCAAACTAACCTGTCAATCAATCTGAAATTTGTTGTGCCGTCGTTTGATGAATGGCAGCACACGATGATAACACCAACTTCCCTCTGTCGTCAAACACGGATACTTATTGAACAAGCCTCGTATATGGTGAGTCCCACTTAAAATAAGCAAGTGGTATCAGCTTCCATTATAACTGGTAGGGCTACCATTTTGAAAATATTTACCCGAATAAGGAATATGCATGGTTTTCTTAAATTTCCTGTCGATTATTTACATTAATAAGATACCGTAAACACATATTCCATTCATGGAAATGTTTGTATTTATTTTTAATTAAATATTCAAAACTACAATGCCAATGCCCTTTTTCTTTAATTTGTTGTCGAGTTTCCAAAGGTTCTATTTGATTAAAAAAACATAAGCATGGATGAAGAACGGAAACATTATATACAGAAAGCACCAGATAAAGTTTTTTTTTATATTCCCCGAGATGCTAAGAGAAACGTGGTGTAAAATTAAGAAAATGGATATCTCCCAAAAGTAAATTAAATCGTGATGAAGATCATTTTAATGCAAATCAAAAACAGAACTATCATTTTGCCCAAATGATCAGTTTTTATTTATCTTGGATTACAAAGGTTATGTATCTTTTTTTTGAATAATTATTCATCTGTGTCATTTGAAAACCGCTTTCAGTCACTGTACCTTAAAGTCTACGAGAAAATTGTAAAGACAATAACAATGGGTAACAGTATCCTTTCGAGTTGATTAAACATCCAACTGACAGGTTTACAATGAATGACTGAGAACAAAGGCCTGCCACTTCAAATCGGACTGACGAATCAACAAAGGCCTGGCCAGCCACAACTCGAAATGATAACGTCACGCCAATAGCATTGCGCTTCGATATTTTAAAATTTACCCGTATTTTTCCGAGTAATCGATCGCTGCAGTTCTTCAAGTGATATCCTGAGTTATGTGCTCTTATAAATAGATTTTCTTCATATAATGAAGCATATTCATTTATTTACTTATCTAATTTACCTCTTTTGAGCCTTAAGTTGATTAGCAACAAACTGCAACAGTCCAGTCAACTCTATTGAGTATTTCTTGTAAACGGCCCCACAAAAACTTGCTAAACTCTGCAACCACGTCGATATGGAGGTACTATCGTGCTTTACTCTTTTCTTCTCTGCACTGGATAGACTCTCAATCAGACAAAAACCCAAAACGTCATACGACAGATTCGTTAAGTACTTCAACGAGTCTACTACAGGATTGATGAGATTATTATATACTTGGATTTGCAGCAGGATGTAGTCAAATAGAAATCCTAGAAATGAATGTTGTAAGTATAACAAACTGAGAAAAAGTGATATAATAAATGTCTTCATAACCAAACAAATCGTAGATTAAAAATATAAAGGAAAGTCTGAAATAAAGTTATAAGAGGTAATCTCGTAATACTCAAGCACAGATCCGACTATATTTTTTGAATCCATGTTTTTATATTATTTAAAATCAGAAGGCTTTCGGAGCGAGAAAATAAATATATTACTCAAACAACATTTAGGCAACTTATACACGGTGCCCAGAATAACATGTCAATCCCTCATATGCACATATAGAACACAATAAAATGAAACTTCAAGTTCATATAAAAAAATTCCCTATGGGGCTCCCCTACGGAGATACAAGCAATTACCGGTTTTTATCAAATTAATTTTCAACGACACTGTAGAATTCAACGAAATTTTATACAGCTCATTATAACATTATAACTAGTTGTGTCCTCGCCCTATGGTAAAGAGTTCACTCGTATAAATCACCAGGTACGAGTAACCCCAACGCACTATTGTTAAACATTCTTCCGAGCATGTATCATAATGGGCCAAGGATAAAATTTTTGGAAAGCCTACTTTTTCAGCTGAAAAAATGTATCTTCTTTGAGATCGATAAAAAATTGGTCGTTTTTGAGAAAAACACTATTGTTTCAGTACATTGATTTTGGAATTTGATCCAGTATGGTGCACCATATCGCAAATATAGTAATTCTGATAGATTCCTAATTAACGAACCCAAAAACCCTAGAATTAAATTTTCAGATTACTTGCTTGAATTTTAGATTTAGATTTTTGGGAGTGGATGCAGTGTAGGTCCATATGAACAGCTTTTATTAAAAACAGCTCATTCTATTGATATCAAACAGGAACTTATTTTACCAGCTAAAGAGCTAAAGCATCAGGCGATCCAAAAATATTATTTTTAGGTTAGCAATGTCAGCAATATTGCGCTAGGTATTAGGGATACAACTGGTTAATAAGCTGTCAAAATGTCGTCGATTCACATGGTCTCGTTCAAAATTAACTTGAGAAAAATCGTCTTTGCATAACGTCCTTCAGGGGTCTGTTATAGTATAAAAATATATTTTAAAAAAAGAATCAACAAAACCAAAGTAGTTCTCGAGGACTTCCAGAAATTGCCTCTTATATTTCAGATTCTCCTATAAATTTTAGGCAAATGTAGGTGCCCCGTTAGCTTATATTTAGCACACACTTTTCAAGTTCAGAAGTAGATAGATGGATTTACGACTTATGCAGAAATAGTATAAAAAACGATTATTTTAAAAAATCGGACCCTTTCTCAAAAATGTTCAGGGAAAACCTTCACTGACGCTGCTATGAATGAAATCGAGCGTTCCTGAGATGATCCCTATAACATTAACATGGGCTCGCATCAGAAACTTGATATTTTTCGCTGTTATTTCAATTTTCACCAAAAACAAATTTATAAAGAATAATTGTCCATATAAAACCTCAAAGGCATTAAAATATCATGGAAAAATGTCCATCCATCGTCGCGTTTCCAAAATATTTGGCTCGAAATTTGAAAATCAGAAATATTCCGAATTTTATGAAATACTATAATAGTACCTGGAGAACAATGTGTCAATTTTCCTATCAGTCTTCCAACAGGTTTGACATTCTCTTTACTAACTCTTTTCATTATATTCTTGATTTGTTTTTCAGAATCGGCCCTTTTTCGTAATAATTCGGGACAAGTTGTGTAAGTTTCGTTTTTCCATCTTGCATATAAACAATACCTAAAAATATCTTACTATATTATCTCTCCAAAATATCGTTCACTCTTTATCTGCTGGGCAATTTTTGAACAATGGAGTAGAATAACAACAGAAAGTGGGCAGGGTACTATTTTTTTTTTTTTGAGGAAAACGTGTCCTTGAAAGAAAATAAGCTCTCCGGCTCATTATTTTGATAAATGATATGACAAACCTAGGAATATGATTATTTTGTTGAAAATAGGTCTATTCACAAACCTATTGGATGAACGTCAAAACCTGTCAGAATTCTCTCTTTCTATTCGTTATTCTACTCTCCGAAGACCTATACATAAAACAGCAGATGATGGATTAATAACTCAACCGGCGTTTCGTCTGACACCACAACCTGTTTTCAAAATATGAGCATAGAGTTGTTATACCAAGAGAGGGCACTGCGTGAATGCCTTTGAAATCAGACGGTTGGCTTCATTGACCGTTGTTTTATCTGCGATACTTTTCTTTACACCGAAGCTGCCACGCAGGCAGAAGCCTAAATGCCAGGAAGCCGCGGCTGCTATGAGGATCCCAAAAAAACTTTGTTAATCCGATTGTTTAAATGCCTAAGGTTAGTAGACTCGGGAAAAGCCGGCTCTTGTAGATTGTTCCAAATCTGGAGGGGCTGTCGTATCGCCCTGTTCTGGATGTACGAAGTTCGGCACAGTTAGGATGGGAGGCCGAAGTCAAGTGGATCTGGTATGGCAGGCACATCGCGCGGCGGCATCATGGAAGAGTCAACGACAGTCGGACAGCTCTTCTCTGGACAGCATCGAGCATGAATAATGTAATCGGGGCGACTGCACCCCAAACGTGTGAGCAATACACGAGGATAGGTTTTATCTGGGTCTTGTATAGAGAGAAAAGTACTTTTTAGCCCTAATGCGTTCGTGCCATATCAAGTAAAAAATTAGGAGATGTTCCCAAATAGAAAACTAGTCCTAATATAGAGCCTTGAGGCACACCAGAAGGTATCAACGATGTTGAGGACAATCTTTGGTTTAATAAAACACATTGAGTTCTGCCGTGAAGGTAATTTTCAAAAAAAGATACTGCTAATTCATCAAGACCAATATAAGTAAGTTTCATAAGTCTTAGAGTACTCAATACATACTAGAGTCAGTGCCATTTTTGTATCTGAGGCACTTAAAATACTATCCTGAAGATTGTAGAGAGCGGAGGCTGTTCTATAATTCTTTCTAAAGTCAGATTGGGTGTCGGGTATTATATTGTATTTTTCAAGATATGTGGAAATTAGTATATTAACTATTTTCTCCAACACTTTTGACAGAACGGGTAATAGGCTGATAGATCTGAGGTCAGCTAGGTCGGATGGATTGGATTTTTTAGGAACCGCTGCTCTCCACACCGTAGGAAAGTAGCCCGTTTTCAAAGATTTGTTTACAATATTTACGATATGATGGAGAATAACGGGTATGCATAGTTTTAACATTGTTAGGGATATGCCGTCAATCCCTTTTACATAGGACCTCAGGCTGGATTTCACTCTAGTTAGAAGATTACTTGAATATGGTTGTATTATCTGGTCTCCTTTATATGTTACATATATCGCACCCCTGCTTCAAAAGTGACACAACTCAAAAAAGGCATTTTTTCACTTACGACCATATTCATAATAAGTATAAAATCCTCTATAGGTCAGCAAAGGTGTATTATAATAGCTTCAATATATTCCCGCTATGTCACTGTTCATGCGTGAGCCACCTTGATATTAGTCGGTACAGTAGTGTCGTATCGTTAGTTGTAACGCAAGCGTCGATGTGTCCACGTGTTCAAAAGCGTCTTATTGAGTTGTGTCGTTATACGTGATTGGTGCAAAGTTTTGTAGGGTAAGTATTTAGATTTAATACAGTTTAGCTGATTGAAATCTGGATGATAAATTGAATCATTTTGACTTTATCCACTTTAGTTGACCAGCAGAATTACCTGTTTTTTAGTATGATTTCATGTTGAGACACTTTTGGAGAATCAACTCATAAAATGCGATCAGTTAATGTAAAGCAGTGCAGCATTCCATCCCTTATATTTTCCAGGCCAAATTGCGAGATAGTATTATAATCACGAAAAATTCCGAAATTGAGATGTAATGTATAATGTAGCTTTGTAGTTTTCTGAAATCGATCCAGTGGCGGCGGTGTTTTTGGTGAAAAACTGAGAAAATTTAAAATCGTTAAAACTCGTTTCTGCGCCTTTCAGTTGCAGAAAACTGTTACTATAGCTATTACTATCCAGCATAAAACATAAAAGTGCTGCATTGCTGTACCGCTCTATATTAGCTGAACGCACGAAGTGTTTGCTCCTATATAGTGAGGTAAAGATTTACAGTTTTATTCTCAGTGATAATGGATTCTTCAAGCAGAGCAGAAAATGGCACTGACAGCTCTTGATGACGAACACCAAGAAATTAGTTGTGAGGATGTGCCATTAGCAGGCTTGGAGCAACACACTGCGGAACTGCTGTTTTCTACTAATACCTCCCAGCATAAAGAGAATACCTACACAGTTTCATACCAGTCAGATACCAGAGTGACTTTGACTAGGGGAAACGAAAACTGTTACTGCTCGCCCATTCATAGCAATCACAGTAACGTGGATGATACAGAAAACGATCCAAATTTCATGGATAGTGATGCTTCTAGTTCGTCTGGCTGCAGTAGCTGGTCCAGAAAAAAGAGAGGAAAACGAGAAAGAAGGAACTGTATAGCGTGAAGACAAAGAAAACCAAAAACCAAAAGGGGAAGAAAAGGTCACTTAACCCAGAGAAGTGAGATGGCATCAAGAAGCCTTATAGTAATATCTTAAGCCTTACATGAGAGTGTGTACTGTATGTCTCTTGTTCTCTAGTATGAATAAAGCTTATTATAATATTCAAATTGCTCGTATATATTATTATACTTGGCGCTGGAATATGGATTTTGCACATCCTTATATATGAAAAGTGACACAACTCAAAATAAAACAACACATTTGTAAAAAGTTTAACAGGAAAAGTGACATAACTCTTAAAAACTGCATTTTTTTAATTAGAATATAATCTATAACATAGACTGTCGACATTGCTATGTTTTGTATCGGAGAACAACAAGAGATAAACTCAAATCGCACGCCCATGACAAGCAACTTGTCATACAGACAATTAGAAGCATAAATGTGGACTCATACGTTGTCGAAAAAAATCTTTAAGGCAACGAGATAGAGTAAAAAAGTATGTATGTGAGCTTACACAAGCAAACGCCCGCGCATAGCTGACTATTGCACTTGTCTGTATGTATGAAAGTAATTCCTGTAGTCTTTCCGTTTTTCTGTGACCCGTTAAAAAGCGTATGCACATTCTCTACATTCATTTTCCGGAATACGATCTACTATTAGAAAATATTTCACTCAGCAGGCCTTTGCTAAAATATGAATGCAAGTTCTTATAAGTAGTTACGCCTTTAACAATACTAATTACTATAGGATCCCTTAGTTAACCCGAAAAATATTAGAATGTTGGCTATCTATCTATATATTTTGTACCCTACAAAAAAATCAAATGGAAAATATATTTGCAAATGGTTGATAAACATCCCCACCACACTTCCGAATAAAAGTAGATTTTAACAACAACATAAAAAAACACATGAACAATGAATTCATCCAAAAAGGCAACACCGCATACATTTCTCGCTAATTAATAACACGTGGTTAGACTCCATCAGCTGTTTTGTGGACGCCATGTTTTTGGTTTGGCCAGTATCTCTCTAATCTATTCGCCTTGTCCGACTTCTCTTGGTATAACTACTCTTTGGTACGAACATAATACAGCAGACGCTCGATAATGTAAACTAATTTGATCCCAGTGTGGTTCACATTATCGAACGTGATTAATATATTTGATTTATTAAAAGAAACTTTTAATACATACTATTTATAACAAAATAAAAAAATATTCTAACAGCGATAAGTATTTTTTTAATTAGAAGAAAAATAATTAACAATTTTTGTGTGCGTAAATTTGCGCTTAGCATTGTCTTCCAATGCCTGCGCCCGTAATTAACGAAGAACTAAAATATCCGTGTATGAAACTTCTTTTCTTTCAGCCCAATCTAAAGCTTGGTTAAAAACTTGTATAGCTTGCGCGTCAGTCACATCACTTCTGACTTCAATGGGATCGTTCTCATCATCCTCCTCCTTATCAGCATCATTCGTCTGCTTAGCTTCGTCCCATAAATTAATATCAGCAGGAGTACAATGTTGGGATTCACTGTTTTCAATAAATCAACAACATCCAATGACACACTAATAACATTATCATTATTGGATCGCAAATGTTCTCTAATTACGCTTAAGGGGACATCGTCTTCTTCATCATCTTCATTATTGGTACAAAATAGATTGTTCCAACATTTTTGAATAGTTTGCTGGTTAAGTTCATTCCAGGCCATATGTAAATCTAAAACAGCTTCTCGTAATGTTACTTTTTTTAAAGCCTCAGATAAGTTTTCAAGATTCTTTGATAAGACAGACGAAAGTAGAAACTTCCTATAGTATAGTTTGGTGAGTCTTATTATATTCTGGTCCATCGGTTGAATTAACGGTGTTACGTTGGGCGGTATGTACATGACGAAAATTGACCCATCCCTGCCCCTCAGTTGTTGCTCGGGAGGATGACTTGGCGCATTATCCAATACTAACAACGCTTTTATCGGAAGGTTCTGTTATTTTAGGAAACCTTTTACCTACAAATTGAAAACACATCTTCAAATTATGAATAGAGCATTTGTGATAATTGATTCTCATACCTGAGGGACAAAGCACCTGTGGAACCATTTCAGGAATATACTGCTAGTCATCCAAGCGGTTTTTGAACAGTCATATTCAACAGGGATATTAACATTTTTAAATGAGCGCGGATTTTTTGCTTTCCCAATTACCAGTGGCTTTATTTTGTGTGAACCATTAGCATTAGTGCAGGCTAGAAACGTTATTCGTTGTTTCTCCGGCTTTCTTCCCGGGGCAGATTTTTCAAAAGATGCAGCATAGGTTTTCTCTGGTAACATTTTCCAATAAAGGCCACTTTCATCTGCGTTGTAAATTTGTTCCATTCTTAAATCTAGCTCGGTAATTGTTTTCATCAATTTTTCTTTGAATGGTTGCACTAATTGTGGTTGTGCTGATAATTTTTCACCAGATATAGACAGCAGTCGAATTCCATATCTTGTTTTGAATCGTTGTAGCCAGCCATCACTAGCTACGAAATTTTCAGTTTCTTTCAGTTTTTCATTTAACAGTCTCGCTCTCTGTTTAAGTACTTCGCCACTAAGTGGGACATGATTTTCCCGTTGTTTTAAAAACCACTTATACAGGGAATTTTCCATTTTAGGTGCCTTCGCATTTTTTTAAGTTTTTCTTTTTAACGGACCTCCAAATGTATTGCAAGTTCTTTGTAAAATTTGAGTTTTCATACGCTTAATTTTACAGATCGTTGCTTTCGATACTCCATATTTTTTGCAAACTGTGTCACTCCCGCACCTAGTGCAACTTCGTCTATGATTTTCACTTTCTCACTCAACTTTAAACACTTTCTTTTATAGGATGTGGATGCCATAGTCGTAAAATATATTAACGCGTGCAATGTATTCACTTAAGTTCAAAAATGAAATACATACGTACGTATAAAAGTATCGTAAACGATCATACGACTGACCGAGTTTATCGTATTTTATCGCAGAGGTGAATCCCCTACACTCTACATCATAAATCGGGGGCTCCCAGACGCCCGACATAAATCATCGAGGCTTCAGCATTTTACCGTCGCGCTGTTTCCGTGCGCCGAGAGTTGTTTACGTTATCGAGCGTACACATTGTTTACGTTATCGCGCGTTCCGTTTGATCCTATAGAACGAAGTTTGTGTTTACATTAGCGCAAGTTTTCATTATCCCGTGTTTACGTTATCGAGCGTCTGTAATACAAAATTCCCATAAACGACGATTTTAGTCCAAACCTATTTACCCGTCGAATTGCTAGCAACTCTGTACAAAGAACATGACAGTCTCTTACCTAATAGTGTACGGATACAACCTGAGCAGCGTCCATATCTCCTCAGCAATACAACAGTTACAATCGAGATATGAGAGAGCCGGCAATACTGCCAAATCCAACAACGATAAGATATCGTAGTAGAGAGAATCCACTTCGGGGGCGGTGCATTTTGCACTGTCGATGCCGTGCGAGGCAAGTTCCGCCTTTGCGAGGCGGAGCACCTTGCACAACAGGACGGGGTCGAAACGTAAGGAAGCGCCAAGGTGGTGCAACATAGGAATAGCTGTGTCACGCAGTTCTAGGGAGGTTTCGGCCTGCTTCGGAGCGCTATTGCTTTCGTATGGAGGTAGTGGCTTGCGGGGGATCTTCTGGCTGATGAGACCATACCTAAAGAAATGTTTTAACTTTAATTTCATATCTGTAGGAGTCTTCTCTTTGTCGCTATTTGTTAATTATTGCAGAATTTTCTATTTTTGGAATAGGATGATTGATTTTACTTATTATTCCAAGTCTATAGAGAATAGAGCATTTAACGGAATGTTGAGAGGAAATTTTTAGGGGAGATTCAGTTCATAGAAATACTGGCCCGGAAATTTAATGATACAGCGTGTTTAAATTTTATACTTAGCGAATAATTGTATGCCACTGCTTTTGAAAAAATAATAATTGTTTCCTCATAGCCATATTGACCCTGCTTGAAGTGACTTTTTGAGATCGTTGTGTTTGATAAAAGTAATTTGACGGCTCAATTGCTAGTTCTTAATAACGTTGAACAGTACTGCAGAAAAACAATATCTTGAACGAATAACTGGAAGAGATGGTCCTTTAGTGAAATCGACTTGGCTTTAGGATACTGATACTATTTTTTAGAAACTTGCTGGTATTATAGAAATGAAGCTCGGTTTTCATATTTAGACGTGCTCATTCTGCTCATTTTCCTGCCACCATTCTGTACAACCCTGTATAATAGAATTTAACCGAGTACTATACTGAGTGACAAAAAAGGTAAACACCTACGTATGTTTATTAGAATTCAATAATTTTTTACATATCGATTTATCTTGCCATGAACAACGAGTGATAAAATGATAAGGTTTTTCTGTTAAGTTTTTGTGGTGGCTGCGTGTATTGTTTGGTGATAAAGCAGCATTCAGTTTTCGTACATTTACCATCTCAGTTAAATGTTAAATTTCGTGTAGCTTATTGAGAAACCTTTTTGCGATTGCTCAAAATGCCTAGAGTGCGTAGAATTCGCTGGGTGTCCCAGCTAAGTGACTCAGTATATAATCCTATAATTCTAAGATTAACTCACTTTTTATAAACAGGCTCAATGATATGATGCAACAGGCCACTAAAAGCCTTTGCAATAGGTTCATACCCCACTGCATACCGATCAGGCAGCCTTTTCATTAGGACCTGAGCATCTTCCCAATCACCAATCAGCAACAGGGCTTCGCACAGGCCTAGTTTCTGGTTTCCAATGTACTTGTCGTTGAAGCTTTCACTCTCGTCTGGCATTTCTTCTTTATCTTTACTGTTGAGGCTGATCACTTGCAGTTTATGAACATAGTGCTTTGCCTCCTTCATGTCTTTCTCACAGTCTTTTATCATTGATTTGTCGTCCGGAGTCAGCTGAAATGATAAACATTATACTCCAGGTGGACTACAACTAAAAAGCCCCATAGGTAGATGTTTTCTCAATTACCTCAAGTTTCTATTGAAAGTATTCCAAAATACAGTGTATAACAAGAGCAATCAATATGCACTATAGATCACACTGACAATGGGAGGAAATTAGAAAAAAATAATTCAAAGAAATTGTGACTTTTGCTCGTAATTTTTCTGTTTTTGCTATTTCTTCAAAGGAACCGTTTTTGAGAAAAGCTGAAAAGGATTTTTTATAGGTTGGAAAACAGATTGATTATTTTTCTCTATACATAATTGTTGTAAATGAAACTTCAGCTTTGAGTATTTTACTGTATTGTTATAGGAACGTAAAGAATATTAAAATCTGGCTGATGAGTATTCAAAAATATTTCATGCTGCTGAGACCTCCTCAATATCTTGCAAAGTTTGCTGTTGCAAGGCATATGATTCCAATGATCAGTCAATTCTTTATCATCTTCCATCAGACCCCCGAGATCGATCATTACCAAACTTCGTAAATTCATTACTAGCTATATAACAAAGAACGCGAGAAAAAGAACTTGCATTTACGCCCCGGTACAACAATGATGCACAGCGGCAGCCGCCTAATCGTTGCAATAGCTATTGGTTATTCGGCCATAAAACTACGAACAAGTGCACGATTCGACAGGATAGAACTCAGGCTCGGAGTATTGCCGGCACGCCGACGCCTGCAGTTGCTGTTCGTATTCGGTGCATACATAGCGCGTGTTTATACGTTAGCATGTCGTCTACAGATACAGCAGATGAATCTGGGAATATTTCTCCCAATGCTTCCTTCACCCATTCTTCTTCTTCATTGATGGGTCCTCCCAGAAAACGTGACATGAAGGGACATTTGAATAGCCAGGCAAAATAAATTGTCCTTAACGTTTATAAGAGCGAAATAGAGCATCCTGAAATGAAAATTCATGATATTGAAAGACAGGTGGCGAACAAAACAGGCGTATGTCCTAAGACAATTTTCAACACTGTTAAAGAATATAAAAAAAAATTGTCTCCACCACACAAGAGGCTGCATTACACGAAGCTATTGGATACAGTTGATAACTTTGATCGGAATGCCATCAGACGCAGTCCATCAATTTTTTGAAAGGCAGGAACTTCCACACCATAGACAAAGTATTACAGGAGGTTAATAGCGATGAAGTCTTACCTACTTTCAAAAGGACCACATTCTATAGTTTACTCAAAGAACTTGATTTTGAGTATAGAAAACGGAGCAGAAATAGTATTTTGCTGGACAGTCAAGAGATTGTTATGGAGAAGAAATTATTTAAAATCAATAAAGAAATACCGCGACCAGGTCAGGAAGATTTATTACTTGGATGAAACTTGGATAAATGCAGAACATACAAAAGTATGGGCCGACTCTACACTTAAATCAGCAAGACAAGCCTTCTTAGATGGACTAATAACTGGCTCAAAGAATCCGTCAGGTACGTGTATCTAACCATTTCGTCATTTGTGTTGTAAAAATGGTGTCAAGTAGACTGAATCTAGAGCCCACGCTGAAAACTTTTATCTTATATCTGGTAGATTTGGAACAAGACCAGTTAGATACTCCGCTTGTATCATTATTAGTTTTCTTGAATACTATGTGAAATTATTTCCAGGAAAAGGAAAATGATTTGTGATCTGTCACATTGGCAGTAAAGATGGCTTTGTGCCCACTGCCCTATGGGCATATGAGTCAAAGAAAACGACCGACTACCATGAAGAAACGCTCCAAAAGCTTGACGACAATGCCGTCATTGTACTTGATAATGCTGCATACCGCACTAGAAAACTAGAAACAAATTTAACAATGGTACCTATCAAAAGACATTCGCTTCAATGAAAATATGGTCAAAGCAGAACTTATCCATCTAGTCAGGCAGCACAAATATAAATATAATCTTAATGTTATTGACGAAATGGCTAAAAACCAAAATAAGGCCGTTTTAAGGCTACCCCATTAGCACTGCGAATTAAATCCCATTGAAATGATTTGGGCAAATATAAAAAACTATGTGGCTTCAATAGAACATTCAAATTTTCTGACGTGAAAAATTTGTTTTATGAAGCTGTCAACAGAGTGACGGCAAACCATTGGAAAAATTGCATCAGTCACGTTCAAGAGAGAATCGAAACAAAGATGTGGGATCTGGACAATATGATCGATATTCAAATTGAACCTGTAATAATTAATATTAATCATTCGGACGATGATTCATGTACTTCCAGCAAATAAAAAATTGTGAAAAGTATGTGCACTTCTATAAAAATAATAATTTATTTTGTTAGATTATTCCAAGACCATTGAGGAAAATACGGACCTGTACAATCTCGCTATTGGGCATGTTGTGTTTGGTCTGGGAATAAATGGACTACGTATGGGGTACAGTTTAACTCTTATCTTTTGACCAATTTTCTCCTCTTGCCATATTGTTATGCATGTTACACATGGTGTCCCGCAAAACTTCAAATAGAAAGCTGGGCTACTTCAGAAGACATCTATGTCAGAATGTAATCCTCCTAGAGTAATAGTTCCAGCCTTTACAACATGTTTGCTAGATGAAAACTAACTTTTTTAGGTTGTAGTCGAAAAAAATTATGCGGCAAAAGATATTTTAAGCGGGGCTCATTTTTTTGTCATACTAATTGATGATACTCATAAATCAGCGGTGCTAACGGCCCAAAGCATGAATTTAAGTGAGAAAAGTGACGTTTTCAAAAAAAGTAGTGATAAATAGTGAATTTATACATAAAAAGTGAGTTAATTTTCTGAGAAATTGAATATCATAATGCCAAATTTAAATGGATAATATAAATAAGAATGTGTGAATAAAAAACGAGAATAACTCATATAAGGTCTTTGTTAGTGTTTTATTGACGTAAGCAAAAATGATTATTCATATGTATGCATATTTTGAGATCAAATGCATAAGAAAAAGAAGAAGAAATATTAAAAATATTAAAAATTCTTGTAAATACGGGAGACGTAATTATATCTATTAAGTATTCTTGTCCAGTTGATTGAACCTACATTTGGTGAGTTAATGTTAAAATGTTGAAATTTGATATAGATATTATAGATGAGTAGTTTCCATACAATAGTTGCATCAACTCAACTGTACGACTAGATACTTGTCATTAGGAATTTAGTGAAGTTCTATTCCCATGGCCGCTTCCTTGCTTCATCATCAGATCATCTCCATGTCATAATAATATTGCATTGTCAATTGTCATATTAAACCTTTGCCATATAGGATTAGAATGACATCACTTTGCTTGTGTTTCTTTCATAGTATGGAGGTGAAATTGTAAATCAATAATATTTTGCGACGGCCACCATATTGGATCTAGAATGACGTCTCGTTGCTTAATATATCTCTCTCATCAAGCTCTTTCAGTCAATACCCAAATCATATAGGTAACTATAGACATATTTGGTTTAAAATGACATTTATGTAGCATACGCCATATTAGATTCAAAATGGCGGCAGTTAATGCATTATGTATTGTCACACGAACCGGACAGGTAAACAAAATTTCAGCTCGTTTGGTTAAGGTTAATTGGTTCAAAATTCAGTTTCAGGATTTGTTAATGCAATTTATAGTGACACCCCATCTCAAACTAATCCAGGAGAAAATGAAAACGGTTCAGGGCAAAGTCGGATTTTCTGTCTCTCTAAAAATACTCTGAATTGACAAACTGTCTAAGAAACATTTAATTAGTTACCTAAATGCGCGACTTTGCCGTAATAAACGACTTTGTATTGTATTGCTTACCGGGGTTTGAGAGAATGAGAACAACTCCTTCGAAAACGTTCATAAACTACGATATGTACAGCGAGAGCGAAAATAGTGGATGTTTTCAATTAAAAAGGAGTAAAACTGAGATGGATCGAGTAAAAGCGAGTCGCCAGCATCCCTGATACGTGCATGTGTAGAAAGACTTATTTTTATTGTATTTCAGAAAATACTTTTAAACAGTTTACAATTTATACATACCATATGAAAAATATGAAAATACAGGGTTTACAGAATGTTTGTATAAAATGGGCTAAGCATTATTATAACAAAAAATTATATGCCAGTAGTTTATGCAAAACTATCGTTTTCTTGAAGCCATACTGGTCTACATAACAAAGTGTCTCTTAAGCCCGTATCGTCAGTCGTCCCTACAATTGTAGGGTGCGTTTATGGCCTCCTTGATTGTCATACTCTTTTCTCTCCTTCAAAAATTTCTAGATTACACTCGTCCCGTGTCAGCGTCAGCGCTCTCCTATTGTTAAGATATGTTTTCCTTTTAAATTGTAGGAAATTTCAGGCTGATAAAACATGATATAACTCAAAAGCAAGCACAATTTGATGCAAATAGATGTTTGTGACATAACCTCAAAATAGAGCTCTGACACGGAGAAGTAGAAAACTATGACAATCAAGAAGCCCATAAACGCGCCCTACAATTGTAACGACAACTGACGATACGGGCCTAAGAGTTTCTTATTGTGTTAATAAACTGCCAGCATGATTACGATTGCATAATAATTACAAAGAGGCTGGTCTACTGGTTCATAAAATAGTTTTCCTTCAGAAAAACGAAAAACAGTTTTTATGTGAAATCAACATTCAATTTGTTGTTAGTATGTTTTTTCAAAAACGACCTTGTGCATAAATCTCCATGTTTTGCTGGACGCCAAATGAAATCACTTATGATGGATTGAATGATGACATATCAGCCACCTTGGTGGCCTTTTTCAAAGTACATCAAAAATGACTATATATTTCTGTTCACATGTCAGCATGTAACATCCTGTAGACATCAATGTGTGCAAACTACCTGACACCATTTTTTGCTATTACAATCTTCCCACATACTGGTATTGAAAGTGAAATTTGTGATATATTTTTATATATTACCCAATGGTATATGTCATCCAACTGAATGACCCTATTCTGCAGAAGCAGAGCTGTCAGGATGTACAAGGATTGAGGTACTTCTTGTCCACTATTTTTCAAAAAGGAGAATTTGGTACTGAGAACTTCACTTATTATAATGGGATCATTCATGTACGAGTTTATCAGAGAGATAAATATTCGAGCATCTTTTGGTTTGTTCTCAAAACTTTCCAGAATCACATCTAGCACTCTATTTGGGTCTAAATTGAAGCAACCTGAAACAAAAATAGAAACAGTTCGTGATTGCAAGTTTTATTTTATATGATGAAATTCTCACATGCTATATCGAGATACCTTTTTTCTGAAAATGATAAACATAAACATGACGCTTTCATCCGTTCGGCCAACCATGGACAGCCGTTTTGTACTTCTTGGCTACTCATCAGCATGATATAGGCTTAGTCTCTTGTCTTTGGACAAACGAACAGAAGCATCGCATCTATTTTGTTGAATGATAAACATGTTCATTTTGAATTGTAAAAGGTCTTTCAAGCTTCAACCAATGTTTGTGAGAAAAATGTATGAAATATGATCTTCAGACCATCCTTATAATGTTCAAAAACCTTGCTTACTTCTAATAATAGAAACCATATTTCATGTTAAATGACATACCTATTAATGACTGTACTATGCCAATCAGCTCATTGGGATCAGTATTTTCATTAAATTCTTTATTAAGCTCGGTCACCAGTTTGGCAAAACCTTCGCATTCTTCCCTAAACAAGTTGAATTTACGTTGTTTATAGCTGAAATTCAAGACAACAAATTAATGAGTAGTTTCAACCAGAAAACGGTACACTCAAGTTCATAATAAACGCAACAAGCACACTGATTGGCATTAATGTGTAAATATGAGTTCTGGAATGTAGCCACGGTATGACTTGTACAGGGTAAATCAAAATGATGCTTCATTACTCCACTCTATGGTGTGAATCCAGTTGCCAGTCAGACTGCAATGCATTCTATTATCAAGAACCACATTTTCTCTATAATATGTTTTTTAATTTACGTCAATATATTTAGCGGTTGTAGTTTCCTTCTTCCTTTGAATTCTTTTTCAATTTCCGCACGAATTCAAAAAGGTTATCGTCACTCCTTCGATTTAACTACAGTAACTTAATTTAAGAACACACTGTATAATAATTTCATGCTCTACCATTTTGAAATGCAGTGTCAAGGCAATGGCAATAACCATATCTCTCTCATCCTCTAATTTTGGGCGCACAAGAATTTGAGCGAGTATTGTTCTTTTGGAGCAGAATGAATGTAACACAACAATTCAAACATTTTAATCAGTAATATAGGCGCCTTCTAGTAGTTCTCGGGTCGAATACTGCTCCCAGCAAATGTTCCATGCATTGCATGTTTGGGAGCATGATTTAGGCATTATAGAGTGATTTATTTTCAAATTACATAATAATTAAGGTGATGGATAACCAACTTGTAACATAACGTTTAGATGCAACCACAAGAGGACAATATGATATATGTACCGCTGTCCTATGACCTTTCTGAGGTGCTTTGCATCCCATAGCGGCAACACGAGTGTTCACCAAGGTTCGACTCAGTATTGTTTCTCTTCGGTAAAGCTGCTGATCCATAACCTCACGGACGACAGCACTTTGCATGCGGGCATTCAGAATGTCAAACTGTACTGGTAGTGATGCAGTAGTGACGTCCTTCTTGATAGAAAACGCGGAGGTTATCACTGATATGCTTGCTAACGCAACAGTTTTACGGCACAGTTCTGTATTTTAGCAAAGAAGAGGCGTCGTCGACAATATAACAGCTGAAAAAATAGAGATATCCGTGTATGACTTTTTCTCTTGAAATAACTTTCGCATTCTGCACAAGTCACCATGTAGAATCTGGGTTGTTTACACTCTGACTACACAGTCCATACTCAACGCTATTCAGCCGAGGGCTGTCCAGTGTCGAGTATGTACTGTATAGTCAGAGTGGAAACGTCCCGGATACTGCACATTGAGCCTCACCTGCGACATGCATTTAGTGGGAAAAGACAAATACGGATATCTCAAATACAGTATTGTGGCTTTAAAGCCGTAAAATTTTGCGCTAACACATCAGTGATAATCTTCGCGTCTTACGTCTAAGAAAAACTCACAATTGTAGCGTTACTAGTCTCCTTGCCCCCAAATCTGCAGAGCTCAGTTTGACATTCTGAAATGCCCGCATGCAAACCGACGTCGTCCGATAGCATGTGGATCAGCAGCTTTATCGAACAGTCCTATTCTGATTGCGTTTATTTAAATATGTAAGTTGGTTATCCATCACCTTCAGGATGCAATTTGAAAATGAGCCGCTCTGACTAATGCAAAATATGCCTAAATCATGCTCCCACACATTTCCTTCGCCATTGTAGATAAACGGAAGCAATGACGATTTAAGAAAATGAGAACCTAATGCAGAAAGGCAATAGATTTCTGTTCAATCTGGTGAAGAACTTTTTGAAGTCATTAAAGGAAGACGGAAAAATGGTGGTAAATTTGCCTCTTAAACTTCAACCACTGTATACATTCACTTGAATAAAAACCCAGTTTATAGAGAAAATGTGGTTCTTGATAACAGAAGGCATTGCAGTCTGATTGGCAACTGGATTCACACCACAAAGTGACTCACAGTTGGAGTAATGAATTGTTATTTTGATTTACCCTGTACAAGTCGAATCATGGCTCCAATCAAGAACTCATAACATTGATGCCAATGAGTGTACCTATCACCTACCGAAAATATTAATAAAATTGCGGCAAAAGTAAAAAAGCTATGACAGTACGAATTTGACCAAAATATAGCTTGTTGTGTTTATTTTGAACCTGAGTGAAAGTATTCATTCTAAAACAAAAATATGTGCAAATATGTAAAAATGTAGTCTCATCTTAAAGCTCTTGTCTAATACTCTACATACAAAAGCAGTCTTAAAAGACATTATCATTTAGGGCAAAAACTATAATATTACATATTTTAAGTACTTTGACTAAAAACATTAAAAATTCAATTGCTGCCCATATAATCACATTTCAACTGATGAGATGAACTGCATGAAGAAATTCCTACTAGTATGGCAAAATGGCTGAATGGATCTAGATTAAATTTGGTGCAGATACAAATTATAATCTGGTTTAGTAGATAGGTTTCTTTCTACAATAGGAAATAACTTTGAAATATCTATTTCACGGGCTACAGCCCGAATGGCTTAATGGAATTTGACATCAAGTGACGTAACCGGCCGCAATGAGTAAGGGTATCTAAATTGGGCATGTGCATCGTGCATTTACTGCACTTCGACATTCGTTTTCTTAGCGTGAGCGTCTTGGTTTTGATTCGTTTGGTTCTTTGTTGTACTTCAAGTATAATACTGTGAATAAATAGTTATTAAGTTATATGTTGCGATATGCTACACAGACTACAAGATACTTCATGTACAAAGTTTCGGAATATGACTTAACAAACGGACGCAGGAGGCTGCATGTTGAGACACGTCCATGAGTGCATAGTAGCCGCCAGGAGCACGTTTGTTGATTTAGTTGTTCATTCGTATTGACAGTGTAAAGTGCAGACTATGGCATTGTGGTCACATAGTGAGTTAAGGGCAGTTTCGCAGTATAACTTTACGCGGGGTTTAAGCATAGACCAGTGCTTAGAAGAAATGAGGGTTGCATTAAGGAAAGATTGTCCTCATTGTATGACTATATTCAGAAGTTCCAGAGAATTCCAAAGGGGCATTTCACTCGGGAGGACAAGGAGAGGGAAGGAAGACCGCGAACGTCAGTAACAGAGGAAAAGACTGCTGTGAGGAAAATGCTTGACAAAGACCAGAGAGTGACATACCAACAGATAGAGAAGACCCTACACCTTCATACACCAGCAATTCATTCAATTCTGCCTGACCATTTACATGTAATGAAACTTTGTTCTCTCCGGGACTGCAAAGTCTGTCGGAAGAGCAGAAGACTCGTCGTACGACTTGGAGCCGAAAGATGATGAAAATGTTTGATAAGGGGCAATCTCGGTAAAGTGAACAGCATCGTGACAAGTGACGAGACTTGGCTCTATTATTACGATGTGCCGACCAAGGCTCAAAACAAAGTTTGGGTCTTTGATGATGAGGACATACCTGTAGCTGTCAGAAAATCCTGAACTGTAAAAAAAATGATAAAGTATTTTTCAAATCGAGCAGGATTGTGAAGAATGTCAGTTTGGACACATAGGAGACGGTCACCGCTAAGTGGTACACAGAACAGTGCCTGCCTAAAGTCATAGAGTCTATGAAAAACCTGCAGCCAAAGTCAAGAATGGACACTAGGTACCTTCACCATGAAAACGCTCCAGCTCATCGCGCCAAAGCCTGCACCAAGTATTTGGCCACTACCGGACTGAAACTTATTGAGCACCCTCCTTACAGTCCAGATCTTGCTGCCTGCGTCTTTGCACTGTTTCCGCATGTGAAAATGAAGCTAAAAGGAAAACGATTTTCTAGCGATGAGGACCGTGTGAGGGCTTGGGATGAGTGTGCTGCACTTCCAGGTGAAACTTGGCAGAGCTGGTTTAAGGACTGCTTTTGGCGGATGGAGAAGTGAATTGAATGTGGTGGAAATTACTTTGAATGAAGTCAATAAATAAAGCTATGTATTATTTACTGTGATTCTGATCACACTATTTGGTATTCATTTGTTATTAGATTAAAATATTGAACGGAAAATGTCGATTGCTAATGCAACTATCGCATTACATCCAATATTGCATTTCTTTCTCTGAAACTAATATCCTTCAAACTAACGCAAAACGGATGACCTATACTTTATACTACTTCCACAGCAGGCAAGTGTATTAATAAATGAACAAAAATATCATGAATCCATCATTAAAAAAAGCAAAAAATTGTAAACTTACTATAATTTTGTTTTAACTCTGATGAACTTGGAGGAAAATATATTGTTTTTAAGTACTCCTACTTCTTGCAATGTGTCTATGTCCAGGCGCTCCTTCAAAAGTTTGTCAGACAAACACTGAAAAAAAATATATTTTATTATAAAATTGTAAACAATAAAAAATGAAATAAATTCTTGAGATATTAATAAGGAATAATGTTTTCAAATTAATGGAAAATAAGTATAGAACTTACCGTTTCACATTCCTTAACAATAGCACAATATGTAGATCTTTCTTTATTTTCACCATTATCAGGTTGACAACTGATAGCATCAAATACATTCAATATATCTAATATTATTGTTGGAACATCTGGGTGAGTTGCCTAAAAAATTGGGAATATTGTAAAGCAGATTTATTCTTATTCTTTATGTAGCTACTATCTAATTCTACTGTAAAGACCTCAATTCAAATATGGATTCAAGGCTACTATCTTGAGAAATGATTTGAAGCAAATATTAGTAGTTGATTGTTTCTAATATGCCAAATTATAGATGAATGAATGAATATACAGTATTTGGGTTTTCAGTGTCAACTCACTACATAACATATTGATGCATATTTAACAGAGTCAAATAATATTTTGATCATGATATAAATACCTTTAACTAAATAAATTCAATACTTCTTTATTGAAAATAAATATATTGATAGCTCACACTCCTTTAAGGTAATAGCTGTGTTTGGAAGCTACACATTTTTTGTTTGTGGGTTGCAGCTGGCTTTCATTGTTTATATTCTTTATTGTGCAGAAATGACAAAAAATAGAAAGCAGAAAAAAGAAGACTAGAAAAAACAATTGACATGAAAACTGAGCAAAACATAGATATCATTGAAACAACAAAGATAATATCAATTATTATATTATTGTATGTCATTCACGAGTTTTGTATTCAAGAACCATTGTTTTCTTGTGCTGTTATAATGTATTGTCAGTCGTTCCTACAATGGTAGGACACCTTTATGGCCTCCTTGATTGTCATACTCCTTTCTCGCTTTCAAAAATTTCTAGATTGCACCTGTTCTATGTCAGCATCAGTGCTCTCCTATTGTGAAGATATGTTTTCCTTTCAAATTGTAGGAAATTTCAGGCTAATAAATCATGATATAAATCATACATCAATGCAAATAGATATTTGTGATATAACCCCAAAATACAGCGCTGACACGGAAATGTAGAAAACTATGACAATGAAGGCCATAAAGGCATCCTACAGTTGTAGGAATGACTGATGATACGGGCCTTAGAAACACTTCAGCTTTTTTGTATTTTTGTATACTCATACATTGTTCTTTTTCAAGCATTAATTTCATCATATGTTCCAAATAAAGCATAATTAACACTATTTGGATGGTTTATTTCCATAATTTGTTGACTACCTTAAGACTTTTGTGGCAAAACATTGAAATCCCAAATACTATATACTCACTCAGACATAAAACATGACAAAATGGTTTTCAGTATTGTGCCATCAATATTTTGCTGTACAACATATCTTTGTAAAATATTTTGTACGATAAACATACCACCAACTCTTGGATTACAGAAATAACAGACTCCTTCTTGATAACTCCTTTAATTGCTTTATCTATGAGTTCATAAATATATTTTACAAACTCTGTGGATGAGTTATCCTTATCAAAAAGTGGGCTACTTGATTCATCCTTCAGCAGTTTGGTGCAAAGTTTAGTGCTGTAAAAAAATTACAAATTACTGACACACAGAAAGAAAACTCTACAGCATATATAAATTTTGCTGAACAAATCATCTTTCTTCCTACATCTCAGAAAAATTGCTAATAAGTGCCTTCCACCAGAACCTTATAAGAAGCTCAGATACATTAATACATACTGTTTAGAAAATCGCTGATAGAATGAAAGTATAAACAGCTTCATTATTCAGATTCCTCTGCTCGAGACTTGTGTATATTCATTCCTAGCCTCAAATGTTTTGTATTAATCAAAATCAATATTAAACACACAGATTCAGTACTATGAGCAGAATACTGGTAGCATAAGAAGTATTGTGCATTGTTTCCTCAAAATGAACCACATGATATAAATTACAAACCTGGCTACACATAAACACATTGTAAGTTTTATGCACCAACAAAAAGCAAAACACTAAAAAAAACTGGTAAAACGTATTCAATGTATGCCTTCATCTCATTTTTACGCGTTTACTATTTAGATAATACTCACAATTCCTGTTTGCCGCTTTTCTCCCAATTTTTCCACACATCATTCGGAATACCACTAGCCATTTTTCACATAACGTTCTCAAAAAACGAATCCTAACAGAAAATTCGCCAAACACACCACTCGGAGAGGAAATATCAAAATGGTACCCCTCGTTAACGTCAAAATGATGACAAGCGACAAATAAAATTGACAATTAACAGTTGTTGTCCATAGTATGGCTTGAATTCTTGATATTTCGTTGCGTAACGAGCTAATCAATTTAATCCACATAATAAAACATAATCTGGATTATAAAAGTAGTATTTTTCAATTAAAAGTTGCCAGAAGTCTCGCTTCCTAATGTAGCGGTTGAACGAGCAAACTAAAAATCCTATTTCTCTACATGGTGGTATTGTCATGTTAACGATATTATGATCACTCGGAGAAATTTTTTTTCTTTTTCACTTCCCACGCCTACAGGCGGGGAAGTATTGTCATCGAAATTTTTTTCGAAAATGATATATTCTGGATATTATATTGCATGAACATCTCGAAAAAATCTCTCACTCATTTCAGTCGGTCTGTTTGTCTGTTCGCTAATCTTATGAAACCGCCTATAATTTGAAACTACCGCACAGATTTCGATGACATTTCTACACAATGTTACTGTACTATGCCAAGGACGCAAAAACATTGTAGATTTTGAAAATTGGTCTACTGGTGGCAGAGAAAAAGGCCAAAAACGGAAAAAATCGAAATCGCTCAAACTTTGTTTTTTGATGTTCCAAAGAATCTTGATCATTTTAGAAATAAGGTAAAAAAGCTTAGTTTATGGAGGTTGTAGGGCAGTGGGGAGGGGTTATCTCAATTATTTGATGTTAGTACATTTATAAGCTTCCAACCTTGCTAATTCTATACATATTTTAGACATATTTCACACATCATATCTCTCACATATCTTTAAATTAGCCCTTAAACCTTATTCTCGACAGACGGATCGCGTACGAACCGGAAGCAGCTGCGGGGTGTTCTGGTATGGTACTACACGTATTTCTGTCACGTCACAGCATAGTATTTCCTATGTTCTGAATGTGCTGCCACGTCTGACGGGGTTAAGTATCGGGGAGAGGCTATGTTTCCAGATACATTACCGGCAGGGAAAGATTATCTAGTCTAAAGACTAATTGTATGGACCTGTTTGACTGACTCTTTACTCAGAGGTCTAGTTTGTGCTGAACATAATCCTTTATGAACTGATAACGGCGTTGCGTGGGAAGTGCAGAGCCCACCTAGTTGACGCTATGTTTAAGCGAAAACCATTCATCTGGTTGAAAAAAGTCAAGCGATAGGTAAGATTTGCTTGATTAGGAATTTCTAGCACATGTCAAAAATAACTTTTAATGTGTACAAAATCGGGGGCGTACCATCAATGTTAAAATAGGCAAGTAAAATTTCGTCGTACTAGCACCACTGGCGGACATTAAAAAGTACATTATTATAGTACATTAAAAAATGCCTCTATGCAAAATTTCTTTAAAATATCTAAAGTGGTATTTATCGATATTAATATTCATAAATTTTCATCAATACCCCGTCCGCCTCTGCTTCTTGGACAGACTCCTTTGTATTATTATTGGTTCACACAAACTATAATCAAATCCAAGCGAATAACCAAAATTTCTGTGTTATGTGCCGCGGTTATAATATGGTTCAAGATGACACACGGGTTGATGACGTCAGTTACACGAATCGCTTGAACGCGTTGGTTTTAACCGCGGTTTTGTTACAAGTTGTTTATTTTAGAAAAGCGCGTATATAATCTCTGATTATTTTTATTATCACTTAATAATCGGTGCTTTTTCGTCTACAACTGTATATTATGGAAAGTTTAAATAAGAAACCTTTCATAATATTCATGGGAGAAATGTTTTTTCAGATTTTTTTTTTTAATTATGGAACCATGGCTTTGTAGCTATAATAACTTTCAATTCTCTAAATTTTTCCGCATGTCAAAGAAAACATTTATTGATTCAGCAGAAATGATGAAAAAAGAAATTAGCAAAACCGTATACAGGTGGATATCATCTAGTGAGTTTATATGGCCATATTTTAATATTCTTGTGGTATATGGCTACACAGGATACTTTGTTAAGCATAGGAACTACATTTAAAGTGTCCCCAACAACCGTAATGAGTATAACTAATAAGGTGCTCCACTTTATGGTAAAACTGAAGTCAGCCTGTATCATTTTTCTCAAAAATGAAGCTGAAGTACAATAACAATATCCAATACCCGCCAAAATTCTAACTTGTCACATTTCAAATAATAACCAGAAATATAAAACTACTCTCGAGTTGGGTAAATACCACAATTTTGCGGTGATAACTATGACATATAACAGCTGATTCGTGACGTCACGGATCTTATAACCAAACTGATAACTACACTCGCTTGAACGGATTGGTAAATACCAACCCAAAATAGTAAATACCATTTCCATTTGGTTATCCGCTTGAATTTGATTTATAATAATTCATTACCGAAACTCTTGACAGCAAGGCTTTGTTAAGACGTGCTCATCTGGAGATTCATAAACTTCATCTAAAAGGGTCATATATGCATAGGCTGGGAATAACCGTTTCAAACTTCCATTCAATGTTGAAAACACAAATTAAATCTTTAATTTAATTGAGATTTGCCTATATGCCTATTGATTAAAACACATAAATCCAGCATACCGCACACAACCCAACAACACCGACTCCTTCAAAGCACAAATACCGCACTTATAATTACAACGTTGCCAAGTGAATTTTGGTTTTAAAGGCACTCTTAGATCAATAAAAAATCATGTGGTATAAATATACAAAAAAAAAATAGTACACTAAACCTAATGCGATCAAAAGCATAGGTATAGTTTAAAATGCACATAAAAGCTTTAGTAAACGACTTTTGTTGGTATAAGTTAACAGGGGTGCGAGGATTATAGAAATACCTATCATAGCAACCGACTAAAAGTTTCATAATTAATTGACACATTTTGAGTATTCCACAAATACCTATTTCAAAGACTTCCGAAAAAAAAATATTTTGAGTTGTGCATGTAATTTCAAAAAGTCTGTTACCAAATACCTGGGGCCTGATTCTAAATGAGTTTCGACCGTTGAAATTGATTTCGATGGCGCCTTGTGGGGATATACTTGCTTCGCTATGATAATTATTTTGATATATATTCAAATTATCATGGCAGTGTCAAAATTATCAAGTGTATCGTCACAAGGCGCCATCGAAATCAATTTCAACTTTGAAACTCATTTAGAATCAGGCTCCAGTTTAAGTCTTATTACTGATTTTCTAAAACGACAGTCAGCTGATGTTGATCGAAGCTAGCATTTCTGTCCTTAATAAACTACTTTCCACATACATATTAATCAAATCCAAGCGAATAACCAAAATTTCTGTGTTATGTGCCGCGGTTATAATATGGTTCAAGATGACACACGGGTTGATGACGTCAGTTACACGAATCGCTTGAACGCGTTGGTTTTAACCACGGTTTTGTTGCAAGTTGTTTATTTTAGAAAAGCCCGTATATAATCTCTGATTATTTTTATTATCACTTAATAATCGGGGCTTTTCCGTCTACAACTGTGTATGGCAGGTTTAAATAAGAAACCTTTCATAATATTCATGGGAGAAATGTTTCTTTCAGATTTTTTTTTTAATGATGGAACCATGGCTTTGTAGCTATGATAACTTTCAATTCTCTAAATTTTTCCGCATGTCAAAGAAAACATTTATTGATTCAGCAGAAATGAGGAAAAAAGAAATTAGGAAAACCGTATACAGGTGGATATCATCTAGTGACTTTATATGGCCATATTTTAATATTCTTGTGGTATATGGCTACACAGGATACTTTGTTAAGCATAGGAACTACATTTAAAGTGTCCCCAACAACCGTAATGAGTATAACTAATAAGGTGCTCCACTTTATGGTAAAACTGAAGTCAGCCTGTATCATTTTTCTCAAAAATGAAGCTGAAGTGCAATAACAATAATCAAATTCAAGCGGATAACCAAATGGAAATGGTATTTACCATTTTGGGTTGGTATTTGCCAATCCGTTCAAGCGAGTGTAGTTATCAGTTTGGTTATAAGATCCGTGACGTCACGAATCAGCTGTTATATGTCATAGTTATCACCGCAAAATTGTGGTATTTACCCAACTCAAGAGTAGTTTTGTATTTCTGGTTATTATTTGAAATGTGACAAGTTAGAATTTTGCCGGGTATTGAATATTGTTATTGTACTTCAGCTTCATTTTTGAGAAAAATGATACAGGCTGACTTCAGTTTTACCATAAAGTGGAGCACCTTATTAGTTATACTCATTACGGTTGTTGGGGACACTTTAAATGTAGTTCCTATGCTTAACAAAGTATCCTGTGTAGCCATATACCACAAGAATATTAAAATATACATACATACGGTTTTGCTAATTTCTTTTTTCATCATTTCTGTTGAATCAATAAATGTTTTCTTTGACAAGCGGAAAAATTTAGAGAATTGAAAGTTTATCATAGCTACAAAGTCATGGTTCCATCATTAAAAAAAAACTGAAAAAAACATTTCTCCCATGAATATTATGAAAGGTTTCTTATTTAAACTTTCCATATACAGTTGTAGACGAAAAAGCACCGATTATTAAGTGATAATAAAAATAATCAGAGATTATATACGCGCTTTTCTAAAATAAACAACTTGCAACAAAACCGCGGTTAAAACCAACGCGTTCAAGCGATTCGTGTAACTGATGTCATCAACCCGTGTGTCATCTTGAACCATATTATAACCGCGGCACATAACACAGAAATTTTGGTTATTCGCTTGGATTTGATTTATATCGTCGGTGCTTCGGGCACTCATTAGTGGTGTTGATTATCGTTACTTTCGAGTACTCGTTACTAATTGTTACTCTTCTACAAAGTAATCGTTTATTGTATTCGTTACTTTGATTACTATGAGTAGTATGAGTATAACGATGGCAATGTGCGTCGTGTGATTAATGTCGAATTTAAACAAGTGGAATGGAACCGAACCTTGTAAGAAAATAAACGACCTTAAAATTTGCAAAATGTTATAAGCATAGTTTATTCAAGACTATCGTGTTTAATGCAAACATTGTATCTTCAAACTGTATGCTTATCGAGATGAGTGTCATATGACATATGAGCCTACAAACTGAAAATACTTTGTATTTACTAGAAATATTTAAAAACATGTCTTTTAGTCAGAAAGATGATCTGTATAAGGGCTTAAGGAAATTCGAAATGGCATGTGACTTTTCGAAGCATTTCAATTAAGCATAATATACCAGTATAAAAAATTCTACGTTGAGCTTGGTCTACATATACTATAATCAAATTCAAGCGGATAACCAAATGGAAATGGTATTTACCATTTTGGATTGGTATTTACCGATCCGTTCAAGCGAGTGTGGTTATCAGTTTGGTTATAACATCCGTGACGTCATGAATCAGCTGTTATATGTCATAGTTATCACCGCAAAATTGTGGTATTTACCCAACTCCGGAGTAGTTTTATATTTCTGGTTATTATTTGACATGTGACAAGTTAGAATTTTGCCGGGTATTGGATATTTTTATTGTACTTCAGCTTCATTTTTGGGAAACTTGATATAGGCTGACTTAAGTTTTAGCATAAGAGAGCACCTTATTATTTATAATCATCACTGTTGTTGGGGACACTTTAAATCTAGTTCTACACTTAAAAAAGTATCCTGTATAGCCATATACCACAAGAATATTAAAATATGGCCGTATAAACTCACTGGATGATGTCCACCTGTATACGGTTTTGTTAATATCTTTTTTCATCGCTTTTTCATCATTTCTGCTAAATCAATACAGATTTTCTTTGACATGCGGAAAAGTTTAGAGAATTGAAAGTTATTATAGCTACAAAGCCATGGTTCCATCAGTAAAAATTTTTTTCGGAAAAAAACATTCCTCCCATTAATATTATGAACGTTTTCTTTTTTTCAACTTTCCATATCCCATTGTAGACGAAAAAGCACCGATTATTAAGTGATAATAAAAATAATCAGAAATTATATACGCGCTTTTCTAAAATAAACAACTTGCAACAAACCGCGGTTAAAACCAACGCGATCAAGCGATTCGAGTAACTGACGTCACCATCCCGTGTGTCATCTTGAACCATATTATAACCGCGGTTCATAATACGGAAATTTTGGTTATCCGCTTGGATTTGATTAATATCCAATACCCTGCAAAATTCTAACTTGTCACATTTCAAATAATAACCAGAAATATCTTGAGTTGGGTAAATACCACAATTTTGCGGTGATAACTATGACATATAACAGCTGATTCGTGACGTCACGGATCTTATAACCAAACTGATAACTACACTCGCTTGAACGGATCGGTAAATACCAACCCAAAATGGTAAATACTATTTCCATTTGGTTATCCGCTTGAATTTGATTATTGAGACGCTATATTAAGCATTAAAAAAGATTTGATCCCAATAATTTTATTTAAAGTAATTCATTCCAACTGCTGAAGCCTTACAAAATAGTATTGAAACGGCATTGCTTTGAAAAGGGAGATTATCTTTGCGTTATGCTGCCATAATACAAAAATACAAACTATGCTAAAAAGGCCAAGTTCTTGATGAAATGAGCATTCACGCTTAACAGTAGCTTGATAAATACAAAAACTGTGGATTGGCTCACTTAATTTTATAAGCATCTTCTGCGGCTCCAATAGGTACCTAATTTGACGGCGTATCGAAAACTTGAGCATATTATCACAAACAAAATTTCGAATGTCATTCATTATTGTTGGTTAATAATTTACACATCTAAGATGTATGATTTCAAAAATTATCTGCTATGATCCGACATAGTATTTCTGAAATTTCATTAAAATAATATAAAAAAATATAAACAATCATAAGAATACAGCTGGTTTCCTGTTTGCAAGCTTACATTCTCTTCAGAGGCGCTCGCAGGATTTCAGTCTGGGAGGGGTAAAAGCATGGACATATGCAGACATATGAATTTGTTACAGTAATTTCTGTAGAAAATACATAAATTTTTTTTAATTTTGAATCATACGAAATCAAAGTGTAAATAAAGTAAACCAAGCTCGAGCAATCTTCATATATTAAAACAAAAATGTAAAATAATATAATCTAACAGAGACTTTTCTACATAACAATGTCAGACAAAACAACAAAAAATACATCTTCATGAAAAAAATAACAATAACAGATATGTTACGACTTCTATAAAGTATAAAACTGATGTAAATCAAAATAAAATTCTTAATCATGAGAAAAAACAAAAAAATATTCATTGCATGAGTACATTATCTTAGCCAGTCTCAAAAATCAAAAATATATAAACTACGAAACTACATCAGTTCACAGTCTCAAAATAAAACAATCATTACATTAGCTTAGAAAGTGATTTGAACAGACTTTTATATCAATCTGCTGGTCAATAAATAAAACCACATATCTTGATTGGATACTTTGGAAAAGATCACTGTGGTGGTTTAAACGTAAGTAAACCCTTAACTACATCTGCTTTTTTATTTATTGGCCGACCGAAGGAAGCGATGGATTTGAGAGATAAAGTTAGGCAAAGTTCAGGTGTTATCATATTACAAAGTCAAGGTGCCTATTCTTTTTGCTGGCGAACCGATCTATGATTGTATCCACATCTATTTTAATATCCCTATGCATATACATAAGAGCTAAACCCACTAATCGCTCTTGTAAAATCGTGGAGCGCAGCCAAGTTTTTATCCTCTTTAGATGGGAGAAACTTCTTTCAGATGTCGCAACATTTACCGGCAATGAAATCAATAATTGTAGGCATCTATTAATTTAAGAAAAAATGTTTTCATCACATGATAAATACAGTGACATTCCACTGTCTATAATATCTTACGTACGTGACTTCCAAAGGTCAAATTCTGCTTTTAATCTGGTACTTATTAAATTTTTGTTTCCGTTACTATTTAGTCCATGCAAATATTTAGAGATTGTTTGTAATATGTCCATTACCTCGGCTTCAGTTTTTGAATTAAGTACTGACGCAAAGAAAATATTAAAATTGTAGATCTTCAAAGATTCTTCATTGAACCAAATCCTGCATTATACGAGTATTATCTAGCTAAGGGACATACTTATAGGTTGTCTGTAATGATTTTCCTTGTCAGACGTACCTATGTTTGGTCTGTTCCTTTGTCTGCTATTCTTGGCACAGTCAGTTCAATACCTATGGTTCCATGTGATTTCATTATAGATGCGAATAGTAATCTATAGTGTTTTTCGGAATTTGCGCGTCTTTCTTGTACAACTGAAATAATATTTCCTATGAGTTTGACAGCGTATTGTTTGTCAATTGTTTTTTATTGTAAAATCTTAATCAGGTTGACTGTTAATGCTAATATATCACACAAATATTTTAGTGATACGATAAATTGGATGGAAGTAATGGCAGTCTTCAAAGACTCCGCTTTTGAAGAAGCTTCGCGGTATTTCCAATATAATATTTGGTACCTCTACAATTTTCTCGAATTTGCTTTCAAATTGGAGCACAGAACCATGTCTCGCGGTCCATCTTGTTTCGCACATACTATGAATTTGATATCCGTCTAGTTTTATTTTAAATACTGTATTTCTTTTAGCGGATGCTTTGAAGAACTCAATTATTTCTTTCATTATACCTACCGTATTTATTTCTGCTTGGACAGTGCTGCTTTTTGAAATCGAAAGATTCAAGGCATGATTTGCGTATGGGCTTTTCAGAGCATCTGGCAAACATTTATGCAATTCCATTACAGCGCCCTTTTGTTCACCTAACATTAGGTTACACGTATCAGTACCAATGCCCACACATAGTTTTGAGTCTAAGTTTTTGGTTTTAATGAAATGCTTGACTGTTTGAGCAAGAGTTTGACCTGTGATTTTGGGCTTCATTGTATCTTCATCAAAATTTGAGTAGCAATCCACAAAACCCGTGAAGTTCTCGTAAATATGTTTTTGATAACAATACCGCAATACGATTGACATTTGTGATTTATTGCTATTCGCCGAATATAATACTGTAATACTGACTTTGCCTAACGCGACTTAAAGCCATGTCCAAGATTTTTTCGCCACAACATTCTATAATTTCATTTTTTTCAAATAAATTGTCGCCGCTCTCGACTCTAAACCATATTAGTTCTCTAAAATTCCCTTCATTATTAAGGACATCCTCGTCATTCGTGCTGTCATTAGAAAAAAGTCGTCCCCTATCTCTACGTCCTCTAAGTGGTATATTTTGGCTCCTAAAAAACAAATAGATTCTATTATAGGAGTCAATCTTTGTCAAGTTTGTCGCATCTGAAACTGCTTCTGTATGATATATTGAGTTCTCAGGGAAGAAGATTTCTTATTTGGATGAGACATGGTTTCTAAATATTCTCAAGATTTAAAAATCACATCTCGAGGACAAGCGCATTGTGATGGATTAAGTACAGGTTTTTTAACGCCCTACAGGTAAGGGTCGTCGTTTAATTATTACTCATATTGGTAGCGATTGTGACTGTGTCGATGGGGATTGAGCGTTTTCGAATCACGAAGAACGGAGATTATCATGAACATATGAACGTATAAGTTTTTGAAGATCGGTTCAAAGCAACCTTACCAAAATTAGAACCAGATTCTGTGATTGTCCTGGATAATGCTTCATATCACAGTCGGCGAACAGAAAATCTTTCCACTTTAAAATGGAGAAAGGTAGAAATGTATAATTGGCTAGTGTCAAAAAATATACCATGCGACCTATTGATGCTCAAAGCAGAGCTGATACAAATCGCTCGTCAGCACAAGAAATTAGTGGTAGACAGTGATGGGCATTTACGCGTATACATTATTTGTCTACGTCTCGATGTATTCAATGCGTATACAATGTATACATTGCGTATACAATGTATACATTGCGTATACAATGTATACATTGCGTATACAATGAATACGTCAGAAAGTTGGTGAACAGTGAACCGGCAACTTGCAAAAATATGGTTGGACGCCCCAAGAACAAAGAATAATTTGATGAACTAGGGCTCATTTTGTTTGAAAATGGAAAGACATATTCCGTAGAGCGTAGCGTCTGCAAAAAAAGTTGTCCAATTCCGCTGAGTGAAATCAGTCCTTTGGCTGACTTCACTCACAGCGTGGATTTTGTTTAAAGAAAGTATTTTGTTTTATTTTACTTAAGAAATGTTCCAAATTTATTTAAAACTGTCTCTTTGTATACGTATATAAATAAATATTATATATTTATAACCTTCCTCAATATTTATAAACTGCTTTCACAGTAAACCCAATAATGCAATGTTGCAAAATTTGTAGCGAACCTGATCGATCCGGAATTGAATCTAAACAGATCGACAGAAATGTGTACTTGGGCGTAGACAACAGCAAATTACAGCCGTGTTCTGAGGCCTTCATCACTGTTGTGCCAGGCAACGTGGTGTGAGGCGCACTCCTACACAAGGGGTGCCCTCTTCTCCCCCTCTCTCTCTTCCTCGTACACAAAGAAATCTAAAGAGGAAAGGGACTTTCGCCAGCACTGTATGCAAGTAGTTGATTTGCTATTATATACATTGTATACATTATATACATTGTATACATGAATATCGAGACGTATATATATCACCATTGTATACGCGTATACAATGGTGTATTATACATTATGTATACAATGCGCCCATCACTGATGGTAGATGAAATAGCAAAGGAAAAAGAATGTATGGTTTTGAAATTGCCTCCGTACGACTGCGAATTGAACCCAATCGAGCTGATATGGGCTCAAATAAAAAACAAGGTAGCGCGTAAGAATATTAAGATGGCGGATGTCTTATTCTTTTGGAAGAGGCCATTAAGGGTGTAACAATGATTTGCATAAGGTATGTAGTCAAAAGAGAGACAAATTTCTAGAAATGGACCATTCCATAGAGTGGATAGCCGAACCTATGATAATTAACTTAAACGACGACAGTGATAGCGACAGCACTGACAATGACAGTTCCTGCTCGAACAATGGTGAGTCATAAAACCGCAGCGCAGCTGACTACCATTTGTTCAATTGAATATTTAGTTATTAATTTATTAATATTTGATTTTTGATTAATCAGAATTTATCGATAAATTTTTGTGCGTCTTTCGTTTTCAGAACTTTTTATTTTTGTGATTTGTATTTTTAAGTTTCAGAGATTGATCGTATTTATTTTTCACTTTGTTGAAACTGAAATACGGGTGGAGGGAGGGACGAGACTCGATATGCAGACACCTCTCCGTGGTGAGTCCTGGGTAGCCCGAACATGGGCTAGTTGAGAGCTGCATTAACGTTCTGACAAATTAATCCATTTTTTCTTATATTAATCAGTTACAGTAGGTCACTGCTCCCGCTATTTCTGTTTAATGATGACAAGTACTGCAAAATGTTGAAGTTGTAAATTCTACTTTTTACCCTTTCCAAACTGGAAATCGGCGCGCCACTGTGGCGGTCTCTCTTCAAAGAAGTCGGCAATACCTACAATACTCCTGGCAATCCATTCCTGTGAACAGGTTTGGTAATGAACTTTATTTACACTAGAATATGATCATACGATTGCAACGAATATCTGTGGCCGCTGCCATGGTACGCGGCAACACTGGCTAGGACCGCTGAACACGGAATACTACAACCTCTGGTGTTTTTAACAGTGAAAATTCAATGGATTGACTATCTCAGCAGTGAGAATACATAGCAAAAGTAAATATTTTTACATTCAATTATAATTACCGTGCATATATTTCGTGGCTAGGACCAACTCGGACCGCTAAACACGGAACAATAAAACCTCTTTCATCATAGTACTAGGATAATTTACATGAGATTTTCTCCGCCGAAACGGTGGCCGTTTTTGACACTTACAGAAGATTTGTATAGTTGTATCGGCCGGCTGCGCCTGTGTGCTCCGTCTCCGTGTAACGTTCAAGAACTAAATTTAATTTTGGAAAAGAGGACAGTTCGATTCAATACAAATCATCTGAATATGAAATAGGTCTAAAAAATTTAAAAATACGAAATAATCGTGATATATATGAGTCGCTAATGCAGTTAACCTAATTAAAAGTATTTAGTTTACGTTTCTTTTTTGTCAGCACACTGTGTTCCAACAGCCCAGCTTGGAAATGTGGAGTTACCTGTTTGTTTTTAATACATTTACTTTCAGTTTTACTGTTATTTTTCAATTTTACATAATCATTCAAAATTATGTTTAAAAAAATAGACAAAAGCTTAGATAAAATATCTGCATAATTGCGGCCACAGATGCAAGTTAAAGAAAATTCACTGTAAATAAAGTCAGACTGAATGCTGAGCAAGGTTAACTGACAAAATAAATTTTTGATTATTGCTTTTCAAGAAGAAAATTTCCAATATATCTACATTAATAATAGATTCAAAAATGGCATACATATGGTAGAATATGATTGGTACATAACTGGTTGGAATTGACAGTCCTCCTCTTTGCAAATAATCAAAATAAACATTTGTTGTTAATGAACCTTTTTCTTTAACTATTAGCGATTTGCTTATCTCGCAGTTTAGGTTTTTAGAGATAGCGTGTGAAGCATATCCAGATATATAAGTCTTAGTACTATCCTCTATGTCACAATTGGCTAAGTAATTTGTCTCAAATAATTCATTGAATATATCCAAAACTTCAGGATTTTGTTTGGTATCCAAGAAATCAAAATTTTCTTGAGTTTCTAAGCAGTTTTGGAACCTTGTTCTAATTTCTGCTAAAGAAAATGACGATTTCTTTTCATTGAAAATATGCTTCAGCCGTATTTTCTTTTCAGCATTTAAAATTTCATCATATGACACATTGTAATTGCAGCCACATAAAAGTCTATAATTGCCAAATCGTTTTTCTAAATTATCAGTGGTGAATTTTCCAGGCAATACATACTCAATGTCAAATTGATTAAATGAATATTCAATTATATTAAGTAGAGTCAGCGTGCTTTGATATAGAGCTGTATACATTTCTGGTGTCAGGTGTCCATTATTATTCTCTAGATTATGCCATTTTTCTAACCATATCAGGAATTTTTTAAAAAATTGTACTCTATAATCATATTTATTGGTAATAGGCTTACAAAATTCATTTCGCTTCAATTCTCCTTTTATTACACTTGTATTACTGACAATATCCCACCAATTCCTGATTATTTCCAAAAAGTGTGCAGCATCATTAAACTTTAATTCCTTCATAGCAGCTATTGTTGAGTGATGGAATAAATTATCTACAAAATTTACATTTTGCCTTTCAAATGAATTTGGATGCAATGTTTTATAATTTAATTTATATGCTTTCTTAACTACAGCTTCTTTTTCCAATTGATATACAGCACGAATGTTTTCAAATTTAGCATACTGAATAATATCAGTATTGTCAAAATTAGGATATACAAAAGTTTTGTCTAGGTTTTTTAAATTAATCCAATTATTTCTGATTCTGAAAATATGCACAACATCATAAGTTAAATATATGTTCTTATCAGGATTATGTGGATTTGGAATAGAATAATTTTCTGATGAATCCTTTGCTAATTTCCTGAACATTGCTCTATTAATTCGGTGATTATCAGTAACAACACAAATAACTTCAAATCCACATTTTTTAACTAAATTTATCACATGTTCAACCAAAGGTGTCATTTCATCACCTGTTAGATTTGAAACTGTTAGTAATTTGATAATTTCTGTTATGTTTCCAAATGCTGAAGGCTAAAACAGTTTTAGCCATGTCATTTTTATTTGAAATTGGAAAAATACAACCAGAATTTGCACGTTTTCAATAGTTGAAATCCTTAGCGTCCTGAGGCGCGAACAGCCACAGTCACACTTCTTAGTTTATTTTTAAAGCACAGAAGCACTACAACTGGAGTCTATTTCTCTTGACACATACACAACTTTGAGGTTCTTATATTTTTGCTTGACTAAGGGCTCTTGCTACCAAACTTTGTTTCAGACTGTTGTATCTATCGGTCTTATATGTTTTGTGATCTAAGCTATTGCAAAACTTTCAGACTGGATTTCCAATATAACAGTGGTTTATTTTTAAAGAGATCTGTGCCAGAGAAATGCGTGTGTGGATACAGTGCTGCCACCTATGCGTGGTGGTCGTAAGCTGTAGAAAAATCAATGGGCAATACGTCAACTGTGATAGACGTTTGACGCATGCTCATTTAAAAAACTCGCAGTATGAGTATGAAACGAAGTGCATATAGTTGTAATTGTAGGAAAAATGAAATGGTAATACCTAACTTTCGGTTTAATTTTCAGATATTATGTGACGATTAAGCGCTATCCTGCTAACTTGTTGATTTTTCTAAGGTAACTCATCCCCATACCTCTCATCTGCGATACTTTTAAAGTGTCAACCCATTGTTGGCAAGATATCAAATTATATTGATTTCTACAATTTCACCGAAAACCTCAAATACCTAGCGTACAATTGGCTCTATTTTTAGGACGATGGAAGCTACTCTAGAAGATGTAAATTCCAATTTGAAATTCTACAATGATACTCCCAAAAAGCTCCATGATATTCAAGATACAACCATGACATCCAGCACAGCCTCCAGCTTGTCTTCACCCATGGATTCTGGGATTCAGCTGCTGGACAGCGAAAGCGAGATTAACTCTCTGATGTCAGGAAGTGGGTATGGAGATATTGATGGTCTCCTAGGGTGCGAAAAGGATATGAATGGAAAGAATGGTACCGTGGTAGTTGATATATGCAAGATTGACAATAAAAATATTCTGCTCATTGAGAATGGTGATAATAAGGTGGAGGATCCTTGTATGTCAGAAGTTGAAGAAGTAGGTGAGTTGAATGAAAAATTTAAGTTAATGGAACAGAATCCATATTAAGGTCAACCTTCACTGACCTGATGGTCAGATGAAAAGTATTTTTTTATGAAATGAAATATGTTAAAAAATATTTTAAAATCTTCTCAAGTAACATCTCTGTGATATTGGTCTGAGAGGATTGATAAAAAATGCAGTCTATTTTGTACAGCAGTCTTGACCAGTCAAGTTCTAGTAGTTACCACTGTTGCGAACTATCTGAGGATGCCAGATTTCAACTATCATTATATTGTGCCCTAAAAGTTATATTGACAAATATCTGACAAAGGATCTAACCTTTGCTTTGATACTGGAGCATCTAAATGAGCAATATTTGTCTGTAACTATGACCACTATAGCCCTGTCATTGTGATCATTTTGCAGAATTATTGTTTGCAATGTATATACTTATAAACATATACACATCAGAATTTTTCATCAGAGGGCTACAAAATCAGGCAAAAATGACTGATAAATGCTGCTAATCTAACAGCAATATATGAAAAATCAGGTCATACTAAAAGCACTTTTAAATAGAACAAAACAAACATGAAACTAGTATAATTCAGAGTGACACATAGGTCCCTTAACATTTTTTGGTAGGTCGCAGTAAAACTACAGGAATTACATCCATCTCCCTCACACATACATATTTATGCAATGAGACTGTATGCCTGGATTTTTCCCATTAACATACAAGTCTTCCACATTTATGCTTGTCACTGTTAGTATGATTCCTTGCTTGACATGGGTGTGCAATTTGAGATTATGTTTTGTCTTCTATTCACCAATTCATCCATGTCTGCAAGAATGAGTAGCAGATGGATTAAGGATTGCCTTGCACAATGTGCAATTTCCTTTAGCCAACTTGATCTCCAGACATGGTACAGTTAATCCATTCAAAATTGTGAAAATAACTATAGTGAATTGTGCTTTGGTATCTGTACATGGTGTTAAGGCACTTATATTTCACAATACCTCGTTTTTCATTTGACTTCAAGGTTCTGAAATTTCAGAAATGTTGCTGCTTGTCTCTAAATTTTTATTGCAATTCATTGCCGTTTAATCAAAGATAGTTTACTCTGCATTTCTTTAGGCAACCTATTACAAACACCTTTTATTCTATCTATATTATTTCCAATATCAATGATTTAATAAGTTTAAACATAAATGGTGAATACATAATTTTTGCTGATGATACCACAATACTTTGGCAAGACAAAGATGTAAATGAAATTAGGGAAAAAGTTGATAGTGGGGAACAGTGGTGGCTCATGGCAAAATAAAACAGGTGTTCTGCAAATCCAAACTTACCTATTTTTTATATGTCAGTTCGATCCTGTGCTCCTTCTTGGCAGCAAATTTGTCGATCACCTTCCCGTTGAAATTTTCCATGGTCGAAATAAATTCCTTTTCAATCCTTTTCAATGGACAGCATCGACAACGCTGTAAGGCGATCCTGAGTCATAGTATTACGAAGAAAAGTATTGATTCTTTTCAATGTTGAGAAATTTCGATCAGCCTCTGATGTTGACATAGGAGTTGTAACAATAATTTCTAATAGCTTTTTTGTTTCTTTTTGTGTTTCCTCCAAACTAGTTTCTATCAAAAATTTAAAAGATACAGAGTTCCATGTAAATCTCGGTAATCATTCCTTGCATAAATAACAGATAACTCTGTATTTAAACGACTTTTTTCTTATTCTGGATAAGCCAAGCAGGTAGTTTCCAACTTGTCATCAGGAAACTTACCACAGTATTCTCAAAAGTGTTCAGGGAAAAACAGGGATGCGGCTACCAAATGATCTTTGAATTGAAATCTGTCATTTGCAGAATTCACTATATTGTCGCATACTTCTAATGCGGCAACTCGGTGATCGTGACTGCTATTATTACGTCGTCTCCTTTTGTTGCCTTGGGGTTCAGTGCAAATTCTTTTGGCTTCATTTATTATGTCATCAATTTTATTTCTCGCATCGACAATACATTTTGCAAAATTATCGATGGCCGTTATAACTTGCGCTGGCTCGGTTTTTCTCTTCTGCAACTGGTTGAACAAGTTGTCGACGTGAGGCATGACATGATGAAAAAATGTCAACCAAAACACGAAAACAGAATCGTTTAACATACGGCGAACACCGCAAGCTGCCTTACAAACGGTTTCATTAGTGAAATTTTCTTCTATTTCTTCCATGCATTCAATGAGTGATTCTCTGTTCTCAAACACTACATTTATTGTTCGAGTATTAAGATTCCAATGAGTTGTTGCTCCTTGGGGAATTGTTTTCCCCACAATTCTGTTCAGTACCTCTACGCGTTGAGGAGAATTATTAAAAAATCCCGGAATTTCTTTCAAATCCCCAAAGAACACCCGAACTCGAGTATTTGCGGAAGCAGCTTGGGACATAATCAGGTTTAACTGATGCGCATAGCAATGCACATAGTGAGCAAATGGATATCTTTGTTTAATTCTTGCCTGTACTCCAGCGTTATGTTCGCTCATTACCGCGGCTCCATCATAGCTTTATGAAATCAGTTTGTTAGGGAAATTTCCTATTGATGGATCTACGACGCTCAAAATATGTCTTGCGAGAGTATCAGTGTCACATTTTTCGGGATTCATATAATTCCAAAAACGTTCTACTGGTTCGCCGTTAAATACGTATCTGAAAATTGTTACCAGTTGGGTTTTCCCCTAAATGTCCGTTTTTTCATCTGCTATTATCGCCAAATACGAGGCTCTGTTGATCTGTTTTATTATTTCTTCATGACAAACTTCAAGAATACAATCCAGTAGATCGTTTTGTATTTCTTTCGAAGTTCCTTTAAATATTGAAGAGAAATCAAAAAAGTAGAAAAATGTTAGATGCTAATGAAATCACCATCTAGACCCCCACTCCCCCATGCCATCAAAAATAAAGAAACAAAGACCTCAAACAGACACCATCAAATTTATGAGACCATTGATCATAAATGAGTTTTTACTTATCATGTAGACAAATAATTTACACAACTAGAAAAGGACTCCTTATAAAAGGATACAATTAGGTACAGTGTAAGGAAAATCACAGCCTTTTGTTGTGTCAGTTCCTAAAATTGTTTTAAAAAATTCATTTACTTAAGCAATCTATAACCTATTTAAAAAAATAAAAATACTTTACATCCGAACATCATATAGGTGAATCGATTCATTAAAATCTTGTACTATCTGCACTCAATTTTCAATGTACATATCCAGGTAAGAAGATAGCGGAGCCTAATGAGCAAGAAGAAAAATCTGACTCGGAAAAGCCTGTGCAAGAAGATACTATCACCACCCCAAAGCAAAACATTTCTGAATCAAACCGCCTGTCAAAATCTGTCCCAAGTTATTTTGACAAATTCGAGCCTAAACCATCAAATGCTATTCGTACTACGAAACTCGAGACGCAGAGTTTCAGCGATGACGTTTTCGAAATGGAACATCCGATAAAAAACGCAGAAGTTGATTTGATGAACGTGTCATTGACTAGCTATGAATTGCTAGATTATACATTGCAAAATAAAAAAATTGATGCTGAGAATCCTGACATGCATGTCAGTCTGTCTGAGGAAGTAAATGAAAACCTGAAAGTAATTTTGAATGGTACTCCTGAGAAAGCTAGGCCTGAGCCGGTGACAGAAAATGTTCCGATTACCGAAAATAAAGAAAAGCAAGATGATCAGATCGTTTTTAGGAGACAGCGCAAGAAAAAGTCGAAGTCTGATACTCCGAAAAAACGTGTGTCTTTCCATGAAGATATTTTGAATAGCACGAAGATTGATGATATTCATATCAATCATGGATTCATCACACATGAAGATGACGTTGCCTTTAGCTTTTATCAGCGAGGTTTTATCAGAAAGTCTGATGTTGTGAAAGGTAAGTTCAAAAAAAGTATCTAATTCTGGATTCATGCAAACTTGTAGGTAGGGGACCATTTAGAGACTTTTTACAGGGCTTGGGGCAATAAGGTACCTAAGCCACATTTAAACAACTACATCGTCGATTTACCAGATCCATTTTATAAATATATGTCGTTCTACAGGCAGATACAGTTGGGCAGCAGAAGGTGATGCGCCCTACTACGAAAAAGCCGGCCCTCAAAGGGAAACCAAATCAGACATCTACGTGAACCCCAGATATTCCTCCACCTCGTCCAGTTCCAGCGCCAGCGTTTCCAGTTCTATAGATGAAGAGGATAGCGAGGAAAATTATGATAGAAAAGAACCGGATTTGAAGTCAAAACCGAAGTCTAGTTGTCTCAAAAAGACCAAATGTCATAGAAAGTATATTGACACTAATATTGTAGAGGTGAGAATTACCTACAACCTAGAAACCTAGCTTAGACCATCTGATGATTCGCAATAAGCATGTAACAGCTATACACGGTTGACCATCTGTGGCCAGCAGTATGACTAATTTCTAACTGTCATGTTGTTTTCAGGAGGAGACGAATTTGAAGAAGAAAAAATCCGAAACAAACCTGCTGGATAGCAATATCTTTGGCAGCCTGAAGAACATTCTGAATTTCTCTTCTTCTGTTCCTTTGGCAGAAAGGGGGGTGCCTGAAGGGCAGGAAGACATAACCATTTATTCTTCATCACATGACGCAACAGTGACCAATAAGAGAAAGACTTTTGGAAGTTTGCAATTGAAAAATTTCGAAGTGAAACCCGTACCCGTCAGCAAAATTGATCAGGTTAGTTTAGCTAAGTAGTAAAACTCGACTCTAAAGCAATTTTTAACCACTTACTAATAAGATGACGAATTTAAATTTTCTATTTTGGTTCTTAATAGGCCTTATCTAAAGAAAAAGCACATAAGTAACATACTTCATGAATAAAATCTAGGTAAATTGATCAATTATCATATAATGTAGAAATTTTTTTATTTACAAAAAACTCAATACATTAATGTATAGTGTTTATCAAAAAGGTCCCCTCACTCTACTGATAAACCAAGAGCCCACGGCGGCCAGACCTTCGTTAAATTTGGATAGTGGTTACTTTGACAGGTAACTGGTAGCAAAGGTGTATAGATCAGCACCTCAGAGTCACATTCTTCTCAATGAATTGACCCTAAAGTGTTTTCTAATATACTCGAAATTGGCAACGTCATGATTTGACAAATTTAAATCAAATTTCTGTTAACCTATTTGATGGTTGTGTTTGAAGTTATACAGATCAAAATGACCGAAGAACAAAAATACTATCCAGAGTCTGAAAAATTCCTATTGTGCAGCCTAATTGAAGAATACAAAGATATTGTCGAATCATAAAAACCAATGGTGTATCATATGAAAGAAGCGAGAAGCCAAAGAAAAAATAAGCAATTTGTACACCTCCCAAGGAGTGATCCAAAGGAATTCCAAGGAACTGACGAAGCTCTCTGAAAATATGAAACAAGTGTGCTCTAGGGTTTGAGCAGTCAACTTACTTGTACATTTTTCACATCTTATAGGACAAGCGTGAGATTGATCACTGTGAATTCCAAAGTTTACTTGTTTTGTCTGTTCTAATGTCAATCATTTGTCTACTGCTAAAAAAATGGTTCAGAAGTGTTTAGATTTTCGTTATAGTGTAAATATAAAAGCTGAAATTTATATAATGTTACTTGGGCGACTGCCAAAAGTAGTCAGACAGTTTTATTAGTTCTTACATTGTGCCAGACACATCGCAAGTAAGTGTGGTCTATTGCAATCTTTTACTACGCATCTTTGATTTACTCAATATTGTTTTTGTAGTTATCAAATAATATCATTGCATAAAATTATCAATGACTAAACAATAGATTTTCAAAAAATTATCTAATGAATGAATTTATAGTAGTTTAGGATTGGGTTAACTGTTTTTTGAAAACATTCATTTGTTTACTATAGAGGGGCGTACTGTTTATAGTAAGAAAATCAATGAGAAAGTTTTATTACGTTCATAGCCATATTATTAAATGAAGCCTTATCAGTTGGTGCGGTTGGTGACAATTTTGTCTGTCAAATATAACCATTTGGTCAAGAACTTTTAATGCTATTGGTACTACTTTGTAATATTGATTCTGTTAAAACTATATTAACACCGACGATTTCTTTCTTGATATAGTTGCAGCAATACTTCTGCATCAGTAAAAATGTATGTGCTGGAAACAACTCACGTTTGCTCAACTCGGACCAGCTCTATTAGCGTTAGCGTAGTCAAAGATCGCAATAGACTAAACTCCCTATCTCATTCGCATCCGCTTGAATATGCACTCAGGTTCAAAATAAACGCAACAAGCAAAATTTTGGTCAAATTCGGAACGTCATAACTTTTTTTTACTTTTAGCTGATTTTTGCATGGAGTCATTCAGAATGTCAAACCGAGCTCTGGGGAATTGGGGAGAATGTGATTGGTACGGATACATCTGTAAGTTCCTCTTTGACATAAGACGCGAAGATTATCATTGATGTGTTAGCGCAACAATTGTATAGCTTTAAAGCCATAGTGCTGTATTTTAGCCGTCGAGAATATAACTTAGCAAGAACAGGTCTCGTCATTCGAGGCAGCAGATGAGAAAAAAAAACTAAGACATCCGTATGTCTTTTCATCTTGAAATATTTTTGCCACTCAGTACCCCAGGTGAGGCCTGATGTGCAGTATCTGGGATGTTTCCGCTCTGAGTACAAAGACCATTCCTAACGCTGGACTGCCGTCAACTGAATAGTGTTGAGTATGGATAAGCAGTGAGAGAGGAAATATCCCAGATACTATACAATGACTTGTATAAAATGGGAAAGATATTTCAAGATAAAAAGTCATATATGGATATCACAGGCCTTTTCCCAGTTGCTGTCTCGATTGAAGTGACGTGTGAAGTTATATTCTGGACCACGCCTCTTCTCATCTCCAACACTCCACAGTTCAGTTTGACATTCTGAAACCCGCAGTGCTGTCGTGCATGAGGATGTGGATCAGTATCTTTACCGAACAGAAACAGGATAGAGGTATATGCATATTATCATCGTCTGGTTGCGTTTTTCTAAATGTTATTCTACAAGTTGGTTATCCATCACCTTCAGTATGAAATTTGAGAATGAACAATTCTGGAGAATGTCTAAATCATGCTTCCACACATGTAAAGAATGAAACGTTATGTGGGAGCAATGTTCCACCAGAGACCGGCTGAAGAGTATAATACTGATTAAAATTTGAGAATTGTTGTGTTACATTCAGTCTGCTCCAAAAGAACAATACTCGCTCGAATTTTAATGAATCCATAATTAGAGGATGAGGGAGATATGGTTATTGCCCTGACACTGCATTTCAAAAGGGTAGAGCGTGAAATTATTATACAGCGCGCTCTTAAATTAAGTCAAAAGTTTTCATTTTCTTTGCCACTGTAGATAACCAAAATCAATGACGATTTAAAAAATGTGAACCTAACGCAGAATACAATTTGATGAAACACTTTTTGAACTCGTAGGGGAATTCAAAAGGTTATGAAAGGAAGGAAGAAAATTGGTCGTAAAATGTCTATTTGCCTGTAAAACCCCAACCACAGAATATATTGACGTGAATAAAAAACAAATTATAGAGAAAATATATTTCTTTATAATGGAAAGTATAACTGTCTAATTGATAACTGGGTACACACCACAGAGTGACTCAAAGTTTGTTTTTTTGTTTGTTTGTTTCAGATTTATTTAGCATTAATGATACAATGTCCATAATATCCATATTACACAGTATATCACAAAATATATTATGTCTTCAGGACTACATATTTTTATACAAAATTTCACTACTATGAATTCTGGTTTTCCATGAGATATTTTTTCAATTTCCCTTTGAACATTTTCAAACTGACACACATTTTGATATCATTACTTAATTTATTAAATTCGTACAATCCCTTTTGAAATACTGACTTGCTCGTTATATTGTTACTGCAGTTTTGTAAATAAATGAAACATCATTTTGATTTACCCGATACAACAAGTTAAACTGTAGCTTTAATCAAGAACTCATATCTACACATTAATACCAATGAGTGTAAAAACTAATTAAATTGAGGTGAAAGTAGAAAATTTATGACGTTGCGAATTCACCAAAATTATGCTTGTTGCGTATGTTTTGAACCTGAGTATATTTTACCTCGCACTCGCACTTGCAATGAGTTTGGCACAATGTGAAAAACATTAAAATTGTCTGGCTATTGGAGTAGCATCTTTTGATAGTGCTCCAAGTAACATATAAAATTCATCTTCTGGACTATTACAAAAGTTTAACTCTAATTTTTAGGGGTGTCTGGCATGGGCTTGAAACTGTATTATCTGGCCATGGATGACGTCATTTCTAATATCGTTCTGAAATATAAAAAAACTGGGCTTTATACCTTAACGAATTTTGGGTACTATTTTATACACCTTTGCTACCTTTCTCCTGCCAAAGTAACCACCACCCAAATTTCATAATGGCTGATTTTTCTTTTCTGTGTTGAGGACTTGCCCAGAGAAAATCGGGGGTCGTGTCATACCTCATTTTGGAGCCCCTTATGAACCTAAAATATAAAATACTGTTTTTCAAAATTGAGTTGCTTATAACTCAACAACCAGATATCAAAACGCGTTACATACACATATATATCAATCCTCTTCTCTTGGAATATGTAATAAAATATATGGAACATTCCATTTGAGACAAACCCTGTCAAAAGAAGATTGATATTTGAGGATTAGTTGTCGAGTTATAAGCAATTTAATCTACAAAAAGCTCAACTTTGATAGCATGCCAGCCCGCCATTCTGAAAGGTAGTGATTTTATATTTCAAATTCATAAAGATAAAAGGAACTTCAAAACAAAATATCATATGACCTCTATTCCATTTGACAAAATGTTACAATTTTGCACGAAGCCGCCATCTTGAAATATTTAACTGTTATTTTTATGTTAAAATATAGTATTCACGGATCAATTCCATCATCCGAAATTTCGACTTGCTAACTTGACCCGTTTAAAAAATAAGTGGGGGGATGGGGCTTTCTGAAAAGCACTGTATGTGCTATGAAGGATGTGTGGAATGCAACACTTTCTATGCAAATATTAGCGAAACTCAGAACTCGTAAAACCAACTGGAAAGACAAAAATTAAGACTCATAACTGCTCCTGGTATGCCATCGTTGGGGTACATGCCCTTTCACATTGAAGGTGAATATTTTATACGAACATTAAAATGTGATTTTATTCAGCCTAAACTGCTTTTTGCATTCCACAAACACGTTCACCGTTTTTGGCGATTGTCTGGGACACTAGAACAGTATGGAAACCAACGCAATTTTATCAATAACCGTTAAACTAGCGGCTTAAGCCTGATGAACTTCTAGTATAATTATTTTTCATTTATTCAAATCATTTATTTCCAACTACATTTATCAATACAAACTGTAAGAACAAATATAAAAGAAACTTCTTCAAATACGTACTTTTGACACACATCTGTATTAAATAACCGAACAACAGTATATTTTTTTTTATATCGAAGCAGCCGCGCAGGTAGATGCCTGAATGCCGGGACACCGCGGCTGATATGAGGATCCCAAATAAATTTTGTTACTCCGATTTTTGAACTGCCTAAGGTTAATAGAACTGGGAAACTCTTCCTCTTGTAGATCCCTGGGTACAAAGGAGCAGTCGTATCGGTCAGTTTTATAGAGTGAGAAGGTAATGCGGAGAAAAGTACTTCTTAGCCCTAAACAAATAGCCTAGCTTATTCCCAGCTGCAGTTGCTATTGGCGAGATGTGTTCGTGCCAGATCAAGTCCTCAGTGACCTGGGCTCCAACCAGACGCAGTGAACGGCTCTTTAGCAGAACTCGGCTATCCATCGTAACGGGATGAGAGCTAGGACGCTTTTTGTTCAAGGTACAGTACTGTGTTTTTGAAGCATTAAACTGTACAAGACTTTGCGTCCCCACGCAATGATAACCTCCAGATCTCACGTTAGAGAGTAAGTCGTCGCTAGTCTTCTTTTTTCCAGCTCAGCGGCAGAGATGGCTTGTCGCTCTCGATTCCTGTATGACGAGTGCTGTCATCAGCAAAGCTGTGGATTGGGTTGATCGTACAGGAAGGGAGGTCGTTGATATATAAGGGGAACAGTGTCGGAGCCAAGACCGATCCCTGGGGACACTCGCTTTGGCGTTGTGGGCTGAAGAGGAGAACCCGTCAATTTCGACGGATATCTTGCGGCCAGAGAGAAAGTCAGCCACCCATCTGCAAAACTTCTATGGGAGGTCATAGGATGGAAGTTTGCATAAGAGAGCAGCGTGCCACAGCTGATCGAACGTTTCGTGAGATACCATGAGCAAGAACATGAGTCTCACCATAAGACTGGATGAGTTTACTCCACAATTGCGTGACGTAAGCTAGGAGGTCCCCTGTGGATCGCTGGTGCCAAAAACCATACTGCCTGTCGCTAATCAAGCCGTGACGTTCAAGGTAGTCCAGAACAGAAGGCAGAGCTGTAGTTGTACGGGTCGGTCTTAGATCCTTTTCTTGGGATGGGTTGGACATGAACAAATTTCCAGTTTTCTGGGAAGGTGCGGGATTCATAAGATATCTGGAAGAGACGCGAAAGAACTGGAGTAAGCTCCGATGCGCACCTCTTCAGTACAATGGCAGGAATCAAGTCCGGACCAGAAGCTTTGTTGATATCGAGCGACAAGAGCACCCGACTTACGGACTTATGCCTGAATGTTACTTCTCGGATAGTGTAGGGAACCCTTTGAATCGACGGCACTTGGGCGTTGGAATGGACGTCCATGGTGGAGTTGGCAGCAAAGATCTTGGCAAGCACTTCCGCCTTGGCCTTTGAGTCGAATACAATAGTTCCATCCTGACACGTAAGTGGTGGCAGGCTACTGTGTGAGAAGTTCTTTTCAATCTGCTTGTCCAGCGTCCAGAAAGGCTGACTGCCATTGCGCTGCGACATTACCCTGTGCCTAACTTTTATATCGTGCTGATATTTGGCTGTGCTAAAACCGCTTCGTTTTATTTGTTTCTGGACTCGACGTTAGCTTGTCTGTTCTCTGCAAAGGGGTTTTGTAAGAAGGTTCTATGTGCCTTGATCTTCTGCTGGCGAGCAGTGTCACACGATTTGTTGAACCAGCTGTTGGACCCTGGTTTAGGCACTTTCACTGTATGAGGGATGTACTCCTCCATCCCGACGTGGATAATTTCGGTTATCGAAGCACAGACAGCTGACGCACCCGCGTCAGCGAAACAAACATCTCTCCAAGGAAAGGTAGAGAAGAAGTATTTGAGCCTCTCCCAGTCGGCATGTCCGTAATGCCATATAACATTATAACAGACTTTACACAAATAACAATTGTTTTTGAACACACTTCAAAAACTCTATTAGGTTATCCGATTTGTTGTAAAGTTTAATTCCCATGTAGTAGGGGACCTTCTGATAGAAGGCTAATCTGTGTTTTGAGAAAGAGATATCATTTTTTCAGTATTATTACTATGCCTAGTGATTTCAAAAAAAAGTCCTATTATTAAAAGCAAATAAAATAATTTCACAGATGTATACTGCATACATGGTTAATAGTTTCTTTGATTTGAAGACATTTCGATATGACTACAAGGAAGGCATAAGTCTTGCACTTCTGCGTTTTGAAAAAAAGTTGAGCCTTGAGCCCAAAAAATTATACGATACCTTATAATACTTTCAAAGTTTGCAAAAATTATTTAGCTCTGCATTCAAATATTCTATAATTCTAAATATGGATGACCAAAAATTTAGTGCTGTTTCTTATTTTTATTTGATAGTGGTTAATTAACACCGATTCTAGTTCTCTTCTAACTTGAATACTTTCTGTGCGTGTTATGCGTTCTTGGAAATATTTGATACTTTTACTAATAAATTAGTAGTGCAAATTGAGTGATATTCAAATTTGGATGGCCTAATGTTGAACTGTTTAATTAATGAATATTATAAATAAAACGGGTCTGAATATAGTACCCACTTTACTATGACATATATCAGATTTGTGGGATACACAATCTCTCCGAATCACAACTCTGAAGCCTGTAATTCAAATAAGATTTGAATTTGTCTCTTGGCTGTGAATGTTAAGATTACTACCCGACGGACCTCTAAGGTGTGGCCAGAATTTGTGCATGTTGTATGCACACGTGTTTTCTCGCTGGAGTCCGTGTAGCATCCACGTGTCCCCCGTATCCTCCTATAACCCTACAGCACTCATCAGTGTTTAGGCCTTCGTGGTGGTTCAAGTATAAAAAAACAAGCGCTTATATATTTTGGTACTTTTTGCCTGTGTTAATATGACGATTGTCTAGATTCCTCATATCTGTACCGCTTTTGTCCATCATCAATTTTGTTTTCCTTATGAGGCGTTCTGGGCATCACATTCTAGGACCCAAAGTCTTCCGTGTAATCGTTTGCTTCTGACCTAATGTAATTTTGCACATCGTTTTACTTTGTTCAGAAAAACCCATTATATATCTTGTTTCTCTCTGCTTATGCGAGATCAATTGATACAGTTTAAAAGCTACTTGTTTTATTTGATGTCTTTTTCCCTTACATTGTTTCTTATACCATTACTAGAATTACTCATGGTATTTTTATAATTTCAATAATACGATTAATATTGTTTTTTCGCTAGATGTAGGAGCGCGATTAAAACATGTTCGTCTCGTACGATCGTTGTCCCAGAGACCAAGCCGAGATCATGCTGATGAGTTGCCAAAAAGCACGAAACAGCTGTCTAAGGTTGGCTGTCTTTGTCGGACGAAAGCAGCTCAATTAGTCGTTCAATTGCGAGTAGACCACATCGACTATCCTACCAGATCATCAACCACTAGCAGTGACAGTGGTGTCTGGGAACTGAGATCTTTACAGTTCCAACCGACAGCTGCTGTACACTCTCGCAGTGGTCGATTTTGGTAATATTTGTCTTATTTCAATTGCTGATTTATGATGATTTTTCGCAGGCAAAGAGCAACATGAAGCTGACAAGGAGCGAAGGTTTTTACCCTACCTATCCAAACGTCCAGGAGAACTTGCCCTCCAATATAATAATCTGCGACAGCAACGTTTATGAACATAAGGGCATTAGTTATTCCTACGAGTACGACAACTTTCAAAAAACTTTTGAACAGGAAAATAAGCCGAAGAGCTCTACTTTGTATCAAACTATTCTGAAGGAGTTCAATTTTTTCCGTCGAAAGGCTAGAGATGATAGTGCCGGGTGTGCAGACTTAGGGGTTGTCAACAATGATGCTGCTACTCCTGACACTGTCGTAGAAGAGAAACCTGAGAAGGTATGCTTAAAAAAATGTCTAATACTAAAGAATCCGAATTAATATGAAGCGCGCAAGGGCGTACCCAGGGGAGGCAGCTGTCTCCTTTTTCCTAGCTGGGCAAACATCTAATGGAGAGAACATTTTTTACAAAAAATAAATTATTCGTGTACGGGGTTCTCCACAAGCTGAATCAATATCTATTAGATGAGTTATTAGGATTAGTTGAAATGTTAGAATTATTTAATTTTGCTGAAAGCACGATATTTGTTACGTATGTTTCAAATTCGAACTTCGCCGTTGGGATCTCGGAAACTGTAAAGAGAATGTCACACGGTCAGGATTTACTGTGGTCCTGCATGGGTATCATGTAAAAAACCTATAAAACGTCAAAAAGAACCTATAAGATGTCATATTGCAAACTAGGTAGTTTTTAGGGCGCAGTCATTCCACGTTTGCTCACTAGGATCGTTGTGAACTTCCATCTAAGGAGGAATCACTCAACTAAACTAAACGCATTATTGGTTGCATATGTTTTGTGAGGCCAAATGGTCCGAGTCTGTAGTTTTTATCTCTGAGAAGAAAGTTGGTTGAATAGCAAGACCGCATCTGGATGATTATGTGTATTGGTCTGCATGTGTATAAAATCAGTGATATTTGCTGTGTGAGAAAATCATTACTGAATATGCTGCCAATGAGGTATATCTATTGGCTGTGCCCGACGGGTTATTTTTATGTTGTGCTTTCTGAAGAGAGGTTATGTTACGAAAAACTGAGTAGAATTACGGGAAATCATCACCGCGCCCTCGTTGTGTGTAATTACTGTTAGCATATACAGGGTGTTTCAATTTATTGTTGCATAACTTTAAGATTCGATAGAACTTTTAAAATTAATGCATAAAGTCTATATAAACATGGGTCGAAAAATGCGTGGCTTCCGAAATACAGGGTATTTAAATTTACTTTCTAAAATAGTTTTTTTTAAATATTTCGAACAATATTTGATGTATAACAGTGAACATTGGTATACAAGGGTTTTTTTGGTACGACAAAACGAACCATGGGCATAGTTTTACTGTAGCCGCTAGAGGGCGCTCTCTACTGTACCTGTAGTGTATTAAAATGACCGAAAATTTTTTCTTATTAATTACAAGCCATATATATGGCTTGTAATTCGACAGTGTACAGTGAATATAATTATTTCTTATCTTTCTCATTTTTGAAATCCAGCAAATTTGTATATGTAATTTCAAGAAGGGATAAGGAAAAAGTGCATGCGCAACTAATTCCTAGCTTTGAGTCTCAATTAAGTGTATTTGAGACAAGAACCCAATGTAATTATCATCAACACATACAACTGACAGCTTAGACCTCCAGTAATGCCATCTCAGAAGCAGATTTTACGTCACATCAGAGCCAACGATTGATAACAAGCCTCATGACGTTTAGGCAACACGTACAACTAAGTGCTAAGTTAATATCTTGTAGAAAAACCTACATAATGTCAAAAAAATCCAGCATGTCAAAAAAATCGGTATAACGTCACTTTTCAAGATACGTGATACCCGTACCGACCATCAGTGGATTTCTACGTAACATTTTGCATCAGTAATTACTGATGTCCAGGCTACCCGGTCACTAAATATCTCATCTCATGATAAATGTATTGACGGGTCATAGTAAATACTGATCTTCTGACATTAGCGTAAACGACACAGAGTACGTTATGGGAAAGTTGTACAGGTAAATAAAAACTGGAACTTGACAGTTTGGAAATTCTGAGTATTTCCGAATTTACACTAAGTCGTTTTCATTTTTCACTGGCTTTAGTCCGAAACAAAACTTTTCATACATCCACATTATCTACAAATTACACAATCACATTTTTTCTCACTTTTTCTCTTCTACATGGTGGCATAATTAAAATTTCGATCTAACGTTTCAGCTCTCAGTTTTTGAAATTATACCGTTTATACAGGGTGATTCACAAGTCCTGAGCAAAAATAAAACATACACAGGACTGCATTTTAAGGGGCGTCTTCTATATAACATTTATTCCTCGAGGGCTCCATTAAAAAGATACGGGGTTTTTAAGTTTAAAAATAAAACACCTTTTTTTAATATCTTCGTAATCGTCAACTGGAATGAACTAAAATTTGGTATGTGGATTTACCTAAGTATTGCCCACATTCAGAAGTCTACCTAAAATTAACGTGGACCAGTAGCGGAGATACAGAGGTTAGTGGCATTATTTTTCCAAATAAAAATAGTACGCCGATGTTTTTTAAACGCGCAATTTTTCGAATCTTACCCTCAATTTGCTTGTGTTTTTTCCTAGAGTGCACTGTTTTCGTAAAAATAAAAATAAAACAAAGTAGATCATTCATGAAGAGCCTAGATATAATTATTTTCAAAATAAAATATGCCTTGGTACCAACAACGTTTTTTGGGGGATAGTTTGTCAAAGTTGTTAACGTTACTACTACCATTTTTTTTTCTTTGTTGAAGTCAAGTCAGAAGTTTCTTTTTCCCATTTTTGAGTGTTGTGAAATGGAATTTAACAATGATGAGTATGCCGATACTATTTTTGTGTACGGGTTCTGTAATGGAAATGCTTTAGCTGCTTCTCGGAAGTATCAACAGACGCTAACTTACCCCAAAGGTTTTTACGCGTTCATTTCTAAGACTTCGGCAATATGGATTACCAAACTTCCCGGAGTTGGAGGCCATGGTATCCGGCATACTGTTCAAGAGGAACTGGAGGTGATTAATTTGGTGTTGGATTATCCTAGTACAAGTACTAGGCGGATTGCAGCCCAGTTACCATGTTTCCAAACTCTTGCGTGGAGAATTTTAAATCGGAAAGTTTTACATCCTTATCATTGGAAAAATGTGCAATGTCTGCAACCCGGCGACGAAGTGCAACGGCGAAATGCATAATGAAAATGCAGATTTTATTTGTTTGGTTTTGTGCTCAGATGAATCGCTTTTTACGAGGAGTGGAACTGAATATTGGCACAACGTTTGAATGCAAAGTCATACTTAGCTTTTCTAGAGAATTACATAGAAAATGTGTCAGATGTTGTTCCGTTAGCAACGAGAGTACGAATGTGGTATCCCACCGCATGTTCGTTGTGACACAACCGCATGGTTAAATAATCATTTCAGACAACGATGGATTGGCAGAAACGGACCGCTACATTGGCCTGCAAGGTCTCCTGATCTGAACCTCCTGAATTTCTTTTTGTGGGGCGCTTTTTAACAACTAGTGTATGCTGAACAAATTAATACTGTTGATTAGTGATCAGGTGTCGCACTTCTATCTGGCAGAATGGTGGTCTATTTGACAGGGTTGAACAAAAACATGTTTTAAAAAAAACTAAAATTATGTTTTTTTTGTTTAAAACATTTAAATTTACCTGAAAAAAATTTTTTTTTAAAACACTTAATACATGTTTAAAACATAAAAAACAATTAAAAAACTATTGCCTGTATAATCTAGCAACGTTAATGAAGTTCCTTGAAAGTGTTTACTATTTTTGATCCAGCTCTATCAGAGCACATCTCTAACTTAAAAGCGGACGTCGGGAAACTACCGTGCGGATGTCGGGGAAGTACCGTTTGCCTTTGGGTAATTTTTCGCGTTGCGATCTCCAGCAGTCAAATGTGCGAAGTCTAATTTGTTTTTTTTACGAAAACAATGCACTCTAGGAAAAACAGACAAGAGTAATTATTTGTTGCAAATTGAAGGTAAAATTCGAAAAATTGCGCGTTTAAAAAAAACAGTGGCGTACTATTTTTATTTGGAAAAATAATTCCACTAATCCCCTGTATATCCGCCACTGGTGCAAGTTAATTTTAAGTAAATAATGTGGACAATACTTGGGTAAATCCACACAAAATTTTAGTTCATTCCAGTGGACGGTTTTAAAGATATTAAAAAAATGTTTTTTATTTTTAAACTTCAACACCCCACCAAGTATCTTTTTAATGAAGCCCTGGAGGACATAATGTTGCATAGAAGACCCCCCTTGAAATGCGGTCCTGTGTATGATGTATTATTTTTGGTCACGACTTGTGAATCACCCTGTATAAAAGTGACTGGATGATTAGAAGACAAGTTTTCCGGATTTCACAATCTATGAATCTTTCAAATAAACTCTTGACTACGTCTTAAAATATATGGACAGCTTAATTGTTTCTGAATTTTGTCTGAAACATAACTTTTATGGAATAAAATATGTAAAAGAAGGATCTGTGAGAGACTTCATTTAACGGCGATGGGAGATTTTAAATGATTTTTGGCATCAGTAACTTAGTAAAACAGCTTAAAATAACTTGCAATCAATAGCGAGTTAGAGTCATAACGTTTTTGAGATTACATATTTTCTACATAAGTGATTATATCCAGACAAGTTTCGACTCCATTTGAGTATTTAAAATGGACTTGACCCATCCTTTGTTGTTATACATGTGCGTAGTTAACTTTTTTTGTAAAAGGGGCTAATTTGGCCCACCTTTGTTTTAGTAGCACATTATATCATTATATGAGCAAAAAAAAACAGGCCGACAGGACTTTTCCCAGAAAACAGTGAGCCTTCCCGAAGGTTTTTGTTATGCTGAATCCGTTTTTGAGTTTTCTCAAATATTTTTTTATGGCTGAGATATGGCACTTTGGAATTTTCGTTACTTTGAATTTCATTAATTTGATACTTTACACATTATTTCACTAAAAAAAAAACATAAATCCTCAACGCTAAATCCATAAAATATCTGAAAATTACCCACACGGCAAGCCACTATAACCTATCAAGGACGAGTTTAACGTTCTTATTTTGAATTGCAAACTTTTTTTTTAAATTAAAAATTTCTTCTGATAAAACCTGAAACGATCTAGATCAGAAAAACGAAAATTTCAAAGTGCCATATCTCGGCGAAAGAAAAAGATATTTAAGTAAACTCAACGGCATCTGAAAGGGCAAAACTTGTACTTGAACTTATACTTGATAATGTCTATGCTTTAAAAAATCGACATACTACATATCCTTAAATATGTATATGCAAAAATCTGCACCTATAGGTTAAGCTATCTCGGAAGCTAGAGCCAATTGCGAGATTTGGATTCCGTGCATCAAAAACCATGGGGAAAGTATACTCTGGTTTCTGGGTAAGAGAGTCTGCTTACTTTTGTCGGCCTGTGTAATTCAATTATTGATAACCGAATTGGGTGGAAAGTACAGTTAATCTACTTGACGCCATCTTACGTAACAGGTTGAAGAAGCAAAATCGGCTCCGAAAACGCCTTTGAGTAAAATATCAAGCAGCAAAATGGATTGGTCAGACACCGATACTCAACTGTCAGAACTGTCAGAGGCGTACAATACCCGTCACCTGAGCTCTCCGAAACGAAGGGTGAACAAAAGTAACCATTATTCGGTTAGTCAGTCTTTTAAGGTGCCGTTGTCGGATAGGAGTGATGACAATGACGTAGCCAAATCACTAACTCAGCTTAGGCCAACCAGTTCTTCAGGATCTTCGCTGATAAACCGGTAAGTAAATATAGTGAAACGTGTTAATCAATTGCTAATACATACATAGTCCGAATTTTGCAATGCTATATATAAGGGCATGTTATCTGAGTTGCATATTTGACGTAATAAAGGAGACAATTTAAATTAACATTCGACACAACGGTCCGATTTTACTGAGCCGGTGTCGCAAAATTGCGCTCAGCACACAAACTCAACTAATAGGGAGGCGTTTTTCAGGTAATGGATCTATGAATAGTAGTAGTATATTTTTGTCTAATCATATTAGACGAAAATACCCCTGGTTTGCGAAATAATTGTAAAGTCTGGTTTTATTGCTGCAAGTTGTTCAAGGGGGTATTTAAAACATGGACGCATAAAATGAGTACACCAATTTTTGTCGGAAAAGTTTTTATTCCACAACACCGAATGAGAAAACGTGTTTTTTGGGATTCAGTCGAAAGTGTTGGCAGGAACGCAAAAAAAGTTAAATTTTTAGGTATTTATGAGACGTACAAAATGAGAACTTACGTAAAAAGATCCGACTAATAGCAAAAAAGTTATGGCCGAAAACCGAAGCAAACTGCAGGTTTTGACCCTTTTTGGGAATGCAACGATGGTTTTTCGCAGATACTTGAAATTCTTAAATTCGTAGGTTTCGTACTTCTAAATAACCACAACAAAATAGGAGTAGAATGGTCAACTAGTTTTTGAGTATTTCTATTTGTTTATCCCGAAACACCTGTTTTTTTCCGGCCGTCACTACTAGTTTATTGAGCAATATACAGGGTTAGTTCAAAAGGCATTTTATAGCAAAATACACTGGTTTATGCAAAAAATGATTGGTTAGATCATTTATGAAGAGCCGAGATACAATTAGTTTCAAAATAAAATAGGAGGCCTTGATACGAACTTAACGTTTCTTGAGGGATAGTTTGTCAAAGTTGTTACTACTACCATTTTTTTTTCTTATTGAATTTTGACCTCAATAAAAATAAAACAAAGTAGATCATTCATGAAGAGCCTAGATATAATTATTTTCAAAATAAAATAGGCCTTGATACCAACGACGTTTTTTGGGGGATAGTTTGTCAAAGTTGTTAACGTTACTACTACTATTTTTTTTTCTTTGTTGAAGTCAAGTCAAAAGTTTCTTTTTCCCATTTTTGAGTGTTGTGAAATGGAATTTAACAATGATGAGTATGCCGATACTATTTTTGTGTACGGGTTCTGTAATGGAAATGCTTTAGCTACTTCTCGGGAGTATCAACAGACGCTAATCTACCCCAAAGGTTTTTACGCGTTCATTTCTAAGACTTCGGCAATATGGATTACCAAACTTCCCGGACTTAGAGGCCATGGTGTCCGGCATACTGTTTAAGAGGAACTGGAGGTGATTAATTTGGTGTTGGATGATCCTAGTACAAGTACTAGGCGGATTGGTTTTGTGCTCATGAATCGCCTTTTACGAGGAGTGGAACTGTTTATGCTTGTGTTCAGCATAACGGTATCCCACACCAATTTTTGCGGGAAAACTTTTTATTCGACAACACAGAATGAGAAAACGTGTTTTTTGGGATTCTGTCAAAAGTGGGAAACGAAAAAAAAAATTAGAATTTAGGTATTTATGAGACGCATAAAATGAGATCACACGTAAAAAGATCCGACTAATAGCAAAAAAGTTATGACCGAAAATCGAAGCAAACTGCAGGTTTTGGCACTTGTTGGTAATTAAACGATGGTTTTTCGCAGAAACTTGAAATTCTTAAATTCGTAGGATTCGTACTTCTAAACAACCACAACAAAATAGGAGTAGAATGCTCAACTAGTTTTTGAGAATTTCTATTTGTTTACCTCGAAACATCTATTTTCCGGCCGTCACTACTAGTTTATTGAGCAATATACAAGGTTAGTTCAAAATGCATTTTATAGCAAAATACACTAGTTTACCTTACCGATGAGAATCGCAAACCATTTCGGAAGATAAATGTTATTTTTATGCAAAAAATGATTGGTTACGTTTTTTCTTCTAAACGAATTCAAATAGTTCTTTTTTGTGAGTAATTCGCAACAAAAGATGATAGACACATCTGCTTTGTTTTAAAATGTGTATAGTAGCGTATGTTTTTCGAATATCGTAGCGCATTTGTTCAATTACTCACAAATACGAAATTCTTGAATTTGTTTAGAAGAAAAAAGTAACCTTTGGCAAGGTAAACACGTGCATTTTGCTATTAAATGCTCTTTGAACGAACCCTGTATATTGCTCAATAAACTAGCAGTGATGGCCAGAAAACAGGTGTTTTGGGATAAACAATTAGAAATTCTCAAAAAATTACTTGACTACTATACTCCAGTTTTGTTGTTATTTAGAAGAATGAATCCTACGGATTTTAAGAATTTCAAGTAGTTCGGTGAAATTATCGTCGCATTACTAATAAGTGCCATAACCTGCATTTTGTCTCGTTTTTCGGCCATAACATTTTGGCTATAGTCGGATTTTTTACTCTCATTTTGTAGGTCTAATAAATACCTAAAAATCTTTTATGAAAAGTGTTTTCGTTCCTGTCAACACTTTCGATTGAATCCCAAAAAAACACGTTTTCTCATTCTTTATTGTCAAATAAAAAGTTTTCCCACAAAAATTGGTGTACCCATTTTATGCGTCCATATTTTAAATACCACCTTGAACCACTTGTACCAATAAAACCAGACTTTACAATTATTGCGGGGAGATTTGCTAATATAATAAGACTATTTAGCCAAATTTCAAACTGAAGTTCACCTGGCATTTCAAAAGAAAAGTAGTATAATAAAAATATCACAATAAATGTGAATATAATACAAAGAGAGTTAACAGTGCTTGTTACACCATATTGTAAACAAAACATGATTAAAAAAGACAAGTTCATTCAGTAAGATTATATAGGCAGTAAGCTAACTAATGCTTTTGTTATAGTAGTGTTTAAGGCCAAAACTAAAGTAAAATAGCAACTTGTTAAAACACTATATAAAAAATTTGAAAGAAAAACATATTTTGTTGTAACGAAAATACAATTTGATTTGATACTGAATGGTACAAGGTAACACCATGTTCTGGCCAAAAGAGTCGGCAAGTTTTTTATTGCATATATTAGAAAAGCTTTTGTTTGATATTATCTTATCATCGACTACAATGTGTTTAATTTCAGTTTTTCTTAACGGTCATAAATAATTTGCACTGATTTTCGCTGTGTACTGTCGATTTTCTTGTATCGTACAGATCAGCTAAGTTAGAAGTCTTGAATGTAGTGATATTAAAAAAAAAACGTCTAGCTCGGGCTTTAGTTGTTTTAACTCACTTCTATGCCACTGATTATGTACATGTTGTTCAGATCGAACTTTGAGATGTTGATAGGGACATGTTACGTCTAAACACCATTTAACGGTTTTTGCAAACTCTTCATACATTGTATCAATATTTGACTCACTACGTCAGACCAATCAGTCTTTTCCAAATAATATGGAAGATTCTATATATTTCCCTGAGACAATTTACGCAGAGTTATGGCCTTGATTTTCGGACTAATTTTTATTGCAGAAAGGTTTTTTAGTGTGAGAAGATGCGTCAGATGATCCCCAAGATTACAGATTAGCACGGAGGCTTCATAGAAATCTGGAGGAATATTTATAGTCAGATAGACTATTGATGAGATAGAAGTTTGGCCATTAATATTTGTGAAGATACGAGTTGGTTGATTGATTGCTAATTGAACGTTGAAACAATCTAAAATGTAATTAAAAAATTGAGTCTCAGGCGATCCTGCTAATTGATATCCGATATTAAAATCGCCTAATAGAATTACATATTTATATTTATTCATAGCATAACTTAGAACAAGAGTTACATTTTTTCAAAAGTCTGTAAATCTCCTTTACCTGGTCTGTATACAGCTAATATCGCTACATGAGATTTACCAGTATTGTACACAGCAACACATATTTCCAGGTGGCATGCAACAGAGAACTATTTTATAGATGACATTTCTACCGCAGTTGCACTATTTTTTGCATATATTAACGCACCACCATGTATATGACTCGACCTAGAGAAACGCCAGATTAAAGTGTAATTAGGAAGAATTGCATTTGGTAGTTCCAAATTTACAAACCAATCTTCAGAAATACAGATTATATCTAAGTTATTCGAGAGCAGCAGTTCGTAGAATATCTAATTTTTTGCACAAACATTCAATATTTAACTCGAGGGCTGTCTCCTGCATACAAGATCATACATATTAAAAAAGAATCAGGCTGTTGCGTCCTAGGTATTTCAGAATTTGAACTAGAATAATTTGAGTTAGAGCTATTACCGTTAATCACGTCTGGAATATGATACCTGTTATTGTCAAGCTTGAAATCAAACCTCCTACAACGTACACCTATCGGCCAAAAAAATGGGTCATAAAACAGATCCTTATACTTGCCACTAAGACTTGAACTTTTTGTTATCTGATACCTTTTTCACAATGAACTCTACTTCTTTTTTCCCGACTTCTTAGTGATGTAAGAGAGCACACCTGCTTCTTTTGTATCCAGCGCTACTTTATGAAGATAGAGAATATAGCCGATTTCTTGTAAAATATCTCTCAAACTAGAGAAAAATTATACGATTTGCATGACATCCCTTAATTACCAAGGAAAATAAAGACATACTCATAAATCACTTGCTTTAGCTACAAAAACCTATCATTCTATTTAAGCCCTGACACGCAGTTTGCGATTCTCTCCACCAGTTGAAGAGAAGGATTTGGGTCCTGCAAGGTACCGTGGAAAGGTACGGTAAGACGTCGCGAAGGTGTTCTCCGTCTAGTAGAGGGCGCGAGAGCTCAATGCAGCAAGTAGATGAATAGAAACAGGGTCTTTTGTACGGTAATTAAATAAATCGAAAAATTAGATGATGTTTGTTAAAGAATAAGTATTCTCTAGTGTTATTTATGTCTCCAAAGACTTTATTTGCAGAATGTTGTCCAACAAAGTAAACAATCTAGTTCGATTGACCTTATTCAAACCTATAATGATAAAAGATAGATTTTTGTAGCTAACCTTGATGGATTATTAAAATTATATCCTTTTTAAATTATCTCTCGAGTAATGGTACTGTTATTTTCAATATAATGCTCAGTAATTGCTGTAATATCAATCTATTGTATTGGGTTTGATCCATATTTCTAGCAGGCCGCAATTCCTTTTTTTTTTGGTAGAATTTCCGTTTGGTCGCAGATTTTGTGTCCGGGCAAATTTTAATTACCGCGGATCAATAGTAAAATCAGACCTAAGTGAAATGAACGTTGAATTTTACTTCTTTGATAATATTGAGAATGATGAAAGAATATTAATTCTAATAAATGCATCTAGATTTCTGAAGAATGTCACGGCAAAGAAACTAATGGACGTCAAATCTCGGAATAAAACAAGATCCTCCTCCAACATATTGGGCTTATTCGTGAAAGGCGTTCGACCACCTGCAGGTTCAGATGAACTAGATGGACAGTTGGAAGAGGAGATCGTGACTGGAAGGGAGACATTGAAAGCTCAAAAGGTTTGTTATGACAAGAAAATGATTGCGCAGTTCAGAAAGGAGCTGTTCAGGAACAGGCTAGAAAAAGTGGTGGGGGTGTTTTATGTGAGGAGCTCATATACAACCAATGGCGATACAAGGCCGCTTTTGACAGTTTTGACGGATATGACTGTTTATATTTCTGGTAAGTTGTTTCTTGTGCTTGAACCAGGAATTTTCAATAGACCCTGCTCTTGCAAGTCTATCTGCTATAAAATTAACACGCATTGCTACCAAATCTACACTTTTGATCCTTTGGACCCACTGTACAACATTTAATTTATACCGCTTTTGCTGCACAAGCTTCGGTCATAGTCTGTCCCCTAGAAATCCAGGCCTACCACTTTTCTACAGATAAATAGAGCAGTTTTCTTCATCTTGGTGGTAGTGATGATGCCCCTCCCTAAGCTGCATCTCTCTCGCGCTCAAAGGTTTACAATATCAGTGCCCCATAAAATACAGGGTGTCATGTAATGTACCATGTTTTGTTCAATAAAGACGATTATTATTATTATTAATATTATTACTATCAACATATTCGTAAATTCGGCGAGTTTTATTTCTTAAATATCATTTCGTCCAAATGCTTGCCATCCCTTCGGACACAGTCTTCTAATCGCGTGCGCCAATTCTGGCACACTCTCTTGCAAAGTTCCGGAGTGATGTTGTTTATTTCTCGTCGACTGTTGTCTTCAAGCTCCTCCAGTGGATTATTAGAATACACTTTTGACTTTAAATAACCCCACAAAAAATAATCGCAAGGGGGGGCGTAAGGTCGAGTGACATAGGAGGCCAATGAATGTCTGCAAACTTCCATATAACTTTTTGAGGAAAAAACGCTTTCACCGTATCCATCGCTTCTCTGGAAGTACGGGCAGTGGCCCCATCCTGTTGAAACCATGTGCTTCTGTTAAATCGACGTGCTGTTCTTACCATAGGAGCAAAAAAAGTGACAATCATGTCCTTGTATTGCTCGGAATTGACTTCCAATGCATGACCATTTTCATCTTCAAAGGAATCCGGCCCTATAATACCGCTAGAGGATATGGCGCACCAAACAGTCAAGCTTGGACTATGTAGCTGTTGTTGATGTTTCTCTTTTGGGTTCGTTGGTGCCCAATATCTACAATTTGCAATGACTTCGGTTGATACAGTAGGTGTAGGGCCATGAATGGGTTGACTAAGAGTACAGCCTGTTTCACGGAACCTCTTAATCCACTTTTTCAATAGGTTCTTACTTGGAGCATCTCTTGGTCGGCGAATGTTGTATCATGTACAAAATTTCCGTATGAATCACCACGCTTAAAGTAAGCCTCGACAGCAAAAGCACGTTGCACTCTGGTGCAACGTTCCATTGTGACTATTGAAGCCTCTCCCCACTTCCTCGCATATACGGTTGCCGCGTAATTAAAATTTAAAATGTGAACTTTCCCACAGGACACCCTGTACTTATGGATTTTGTTGTTGTTGTTGTTGTTGTGAACTGGGTTGAACGATGTTGTAGTATATTAATATTTTTGTTTCTTAGACATTTGCCATGCCTTATTTTAAGGCACCGAAGCTTCGATGTTAGCAACAGTTTAAGCCGGAAATTTAAGTAATAATGTCCTACTAAAACATACATTTTCATCCACTTACTTTCATATTTACACAATCTGAATATAAACTGCACACAATTATTTTGAATCACCTGAACAATATTTTTAGTAAAATAATCTAATGATGGGAAATAAACAATATTATAGTAATTTAAGATAGATACAATAATTAAAGTATCACGTAATTTGTAATTTACTAGGGAACGATGAGCTATTAAAGTACGTAATCGACGATATTTTTTCGACAGATACTATTTACATGTTTAATAAACCTCAATTTGGAATCAAAAATCACACCAAGAACTTTAGCGGATTCCGTGAACTCTAACATTTGGTTGTGTATAGTAATTTTTAAAATTTGTGTAATTTAAGTCTAAAATATGTATGTCTAATGGAGCCTCTAAACGGGAAATGTTTGTGACCCTGCCATATCTCTCTGATATATCAGATATCGATTAAACCTTGGCAGTATTGTCTGCAATGTGATGACACTTACCTGTTCAGAATTTATGATAAGAAAAGTCAAGCAGGAATGACTGATGGAATGTACGAATCGCGGAGATCTGAAAGCAATACATGAAAATAGTTTGGAAACGTCAAAAACTTCCGGTAGGGGAATTATGTAAAAAACCGAAAAAACGTCAAAAAAAAAAGACGACGAAATGTCATCTTGCATACTGGGTACTTTTTAGTGTGCAAATAGTTCATTCCACGTTGCTCGCTATGGTAGCTGTTCGCTGACCTTTAAGCAACACCTACAGCTACAAAACGAGTTCACAACAAGCGTACAATAGCTTGTGCTAAGTTAACATCTTGTAGACAAATCTTTGTTTTGACATAAAAACCTACGAAATGTAAAAAAACGACGAAATGTCACTTTTCAAGATATGTGCCGCCCAGAAAAATATTCCCCGCTTAAACGCGTCATAAAGGAACGTCTATGAATTATTTGTCAAAAGTTACTAAAGTCAAATTATAGCTCAGTAATACAAAAAGTAATTGCAGGAAGTATGTTTTATAAAGTTATGATTTCAGAAAGTGTAAAACTTTAATGGCATGCAAGCATGTGTAGTCCTTTCTAAATAAGATTATGCAAAAAAGACGAATCGGAATATTTTTTAGCTGGAGTATGTAATATTTTCAGGTACACGACCAAACGGCACATACTGCAACCACTTCGTCCTCCCATACACCGAACTAAACACCATCCTGATCGGTCCCAATGGTCAAACCATCCATCTGTCAAACTACGACAAGGACATGCAGTGCATTATCACCACGGGCTGCTCAAATATGACTAGAGAATTGGTGGGTCGGTTGGAAATAGCGATGCGACGAGATGGAAATCGGCCAAGATTGCCGGCAGTAAAACAGCTCAGCATGGCCGATATGGCCAATTTGAGGAGGAGCGTTTGCAAGCAGACGTCGGTGGATAAGGTAAATGGCAACACTAGCTAAGTACAGGGTGTGTACCGAGGCATCGCGGCTGCTTAAGGAACTTTAAGACAATTTGCTAATCTGATTTTTGATCCGGACAAAGGAGCGATCGTACCGACCGATTCAAGATGTACGATGTTTGAGACTGTTAGGATGGGAGGACTGTCTGTCAGGCTCATCGCGCGGCGGCATCGTGGAGAAGAGTTCTGAGAGTCCATTGGCATAGCGGTAAAAGAGTGCCAGATCCCCGACAGAGCGACGGTGCGAAATTGTGCCGAGAAAGACATTGATCAGTCGGGCAGCCCTCCTCTGAACAACATCGAACATGGTTGTGGTCGGGGAAGCAACGACCCAAATATGTGAGCAATACTCAAGCTAGATCTTATCTGGACCTTGAGCAGAGTGAGGAGGTTATGTGGAAAAAAGAACTGCTTATCTCTAAAGAAATAGTCTAGAATCAAGTCCTCGATGATCTCGACTCCGACTAGCCGAAATGAAGGGCTTTTTGTTAGTCATGGTACAGTTGTGCTTCGGTGTCATTGAGCTGAACGATATTGTCGCGTCCCCAAGCAGTGATAACCTCCATATTTCTTGACAGAAAGGATGTCGCTGCTAGTCTTCTTCTCTCCAGCTTACTGGTAGAGATCATCTTAGCATCTGGATTCATACAGGGACTTGGCTCCTATTATACCTACAGCAAAGGTTAAATGGGGAAAGTTTTAGAGCAGACTTGGCGCATTTGACAGCCGGCTTCAGATTTACGATCGGTCAATTGGTTTTGAAAATATCAGCGACAAACCGAAAATGACGGAATTTGTTTTTTGCCAGTAAATCCAAAACAATTTGACAGCTCTCAAAATGTGACATTATTCGGACATTTTTTATTTAAGAAAAATAAGATAGCATTTATGGCATGTTCCAATCGTCTTTTGTTTTCCAACAACCCACCTCAAAATTATTTTTCTTATGGCCGCCATATTGGATTTTTTGATTCTAGAGAAGAGTGTTAAATTTCAATCTAGTGATGTCTCACAAGTGCATAAAAGATTGAAGTATCACCGAAATATCATCACACATATTGGTATGTATTTTTTCTAAGGAGGCTATGACTTATTTGTCAGAAAATAACATTAATGAGTAAGACAAAAAACACATAAACGCCTTGAATATTAACGTTAATGTCGACTTCTCAACAAGCCATTTTTTTGACAAATTCCCAACTACGTCCATTTGCATCCATACATTTTTGTTAATGTTTCTAACTGTTCTCAAAATTCTTTGTCTAAGGATTTCTGTTGTCGCGGGAGGATCAAATTCATAGAGCTCATTCTTTATGTGACCTCAGAGGTAGAAATCCAAGGGTGAAAGGCCAGGGGATCTAGGAGGCCAAGATATTGAACCATTAAATGAAATTATTCTTTCATCTAACTGCTCTCTTAAGAAGTTCCTGACTCGAATGGTGTTGTGAGCCGGACATCCATCCTGTTAAAACCAGGTTCTTCTAAACTCATCTTCGGTTAGATTAGCTCGTAAAGCGGACACAACCTGGTTTCGCAAACGCTCTAGGTACCTCTGTCCGTTTAGGTTGAAGTCAAACAAAAATGGTCATTTAAGTCGATTTCCTGAAATGATTAATACCTAATTTCAAATAGGTGCCCAATTGAAAAAGGTAAGTTAGATTAAATTACTAATGACTTCATACCAAATGTTAGTTCCAAATCTGCTATGTAGACGTCTCTTTGCCACTTCGTGAGGGTTTTCCCCAGCCCAAGGATGAGTGTTGTGCTTATTTAAAACTCCACAATTCGTAAACCTACTGTCATCGGACCACAAGACACGATTTACAAAATCTGGATTTTCATTGGACTTCCTAGTATACCACTCGCAGAAGCGCATTCGCCTTGGAAAATCAGTAACCTTAACTCATTGAACTATTTGAATGGATGGTACTTATGCTTATTTAACACTCTCTGTTTTATTAATTTGGACACACCAATTTCTCTATAGTTCTTACTGATGCACTAGGGATTTCGTTGACAGCTTGTAAAATGTTTCTGTCGCGATTTTCATTTTCAATATAGTATCCGCGTCTAGGTTGTTCGAAGGCCCCACACGGTTTATTAAATTATGTACTATTTTTCTAAATTGGGTTTTGTGAAACTGTCATCGTTCGGAGTAGATCTCCAAGTACCTTGCTTAGGTAATGTCGGCCTTTCTGTGTGACTGCAAGTTCAGCGCTAACATGTTAAACTTTTCTTCATTTGAGTAGGGAATACCGGCCATTTTCAGCGGGTTTTGACAATTTTATTTGTCAGATTTATGATTTTAATGAGAGAAAACGTGCCTACTCCTGATTAAAACACAATTTTAATACTTTGAATTATTTAACGTCAAAGTCAGTGCCTCCTTAGATGAAAAAAATGCGTTATTTATTAATTTTATTTTCGGACAAATTCCTTAAAAAAAATTAATGCATACATTACGTGTGATGATATTTCAATGATACTCCAATCTTTTATGTTACTTGCGAGACATCACTAGGCTGGAAATTTTACGCTCTTTTCAAAAATTGAAAAATCCAATATGGCGGCCATAAGAAAAATGAAGGTCGAGGCAAGTTGCGGGAACACAAAAGACGTGTGAAATGTCATACATGCTATCTTATTTGCCTTGAAAAATGTTCGAATAACGTCACATTTAATTATTAATTAACCGCATGAGTTTATTCCACAATTGCGTGACGTATGCTGGGAGTTTCCACATCGATCGCTGGTGCTTCCTGTCGCTAATGAAGCCGTGATGATCAAGGTACTCCAGAAGATCCAGATTTATACATCTCTCCATCACCTTATAACAGAAAGCAGAGCTGTAGGTCTGTAGTTGTAAGGGTAGGTTTTAGATCTTCTTTTTGGGATGTACTGGACATGAGCAAATTTTCATTTTTCTGGGAAAGTACCGCACTCGTAAGATAACTGGAAGAGACGCGAAAGAACTGGAGCAAGCTCCACTGCACACCTCTTCAGTATAACAGCAGGAATCAAGTCCTTACCAGAAGTTTTCTTGATGTCGAGCGACAAGAGCACCCGTTTTACGGTCTTATGCCTGAAGGTTGCTTCCCGCATAGTGTAGGAAACCCTTTGAATCGACGGCATTTGGACCTTTGAGTCGGTAACAATCATTCCATCCTGGCAGGTAAGAGGTGGAAAGATACTTTTTGAGAAGTTCCCTCCAATAAAAATATAAATTGATTCTCCATTACCTTTCTTTTTCTGAATGTCTGTATGTTATGTAATTGTTTAGTTTTTTAGAAGAATGTAATTGTAGCAATCATGCTAAATAAATCTTAAACAAACAAACAATTTAGGAAAAAAAGTTTCACATTTAAGAGCAGATGCTTTTACTTTAGTTGCTTCATCTGGATCAGCTTTCCCTTTGTACATGTAGTTTAGCCAGTGAATCTGACCATTTTCTGGTGCATCTCCCAACTTGGTGGATCTTCTTTTTTTCGTGGTTGGAACCACAGTGGGGACCATCTGGTTTCTGTTAGTCAAGTTTTGAGATATAAAATATACTGAGAACTTTGAATAGTGCACTGCTGCTATCCCAATTTCCCGATCCAAATAGTCATATTGAATCACTTTATATTTGGTGCTGAAAAGATAATGGATTGGTATAATTTTCAGAATGAAGAGTATTTCTACTACAGTATTGTTAATGTACAAGATTTGGCATCTGAAGGGGACTCTACACCTCTTGGACCAAATAAGGAGGGACCTCTCATGTTCAAAACCTCAGAATCTGAAGCATCGAGGTGGGAAACGGCATATTTCATTTTAAAGTAAGTAGAAATATTGTAAATATGTTAGATTAATGCCTTCACCCCTATTTTAATGTTATAAATGAGAAAGTATGAATGTTTGTTATTCAATCACGCCGAAATGGCTGAACAGATCTGGATGAAATTTGGTACAGAAATAGATTATAGTCTAAAATAGCACATAGGCTACTTTTTATCCAGGGAAATAACTTTGAAATATCTATTTCACGGGCTACAGCCCAAATGGTTTAATGGAATTTGACATTTACGAAGCACATATATATATAAATATTTATTCGAACATAATTATGGTACATCTGGTATTTACTGATGACGAGATAAGTCAATACAATAGGCGGCTGCATTGTACTCTCCATAAGCTGTAATTTTGCCTGTAAAAATAATATAGACACGTGTTTCTGATTTATTGTCCGACATCAGTGTAGCGTAATTCGAAAACAGGTTAAGTATGAGCAGGACCTATCTTAAAAATTATTAATGAACTCTCTCACTCAAACAGTAAAATAAAAATGATAATAAAATTTACTTCCTGGAATTTCCCATTTCCTTGATATGTAATGATGGCATAGCATCAATTTGCTGACATGGTACATCCAAGTGAGTGTCTTACTCTCTTTGTATAAATGATTAACTACATTACTTATTGCTCTCTCACAAGCGCTATCAGCTTCCACGCAACGTTTCCGTTACATTTGGTGTCTTGGTGTCAACAGTTGACCCATGCATGTATTCACGAACACTGCAATGTCATAGATACATTTCATGACTTCCTGCAATAGTTGTACATTTTACTTACAAAGGGTACTATAAAAGTTTTGCACTACAGCTTTATTTATTGACTTCGTTCAAAGTAATTTCCACCGCATTCACTAGACTTCTCCATTCGCCAAAACCAGTCCTTAAACCATTTTGCCAAGTTTCACCCGGTAGTGCGCGCACTCGTTGTCCCAAGCCCTCAGAAGGTCCTCATCGCTAGAAAACCGTTTTCCTTTTAGCTTCATTTTCAAGTGCGGAAACAGTGTAAAGTCGCAGGGGAAGATCTGTAAGGAGGGTGTACCACTTAGCTGTGACGATCTTCTGTGTGTCCACAATCCCGCTTGATTTGAAAAATACAGCTATCATGTTTTTTTTCTTAACAGATCGAGATTTTCTGACAGCTACGGGTGTGTCCTCGTGATCAAACTTTGTTTTGAGCCTTGGTGGGCATATCGTAATAATAGAGCCAAGTCTCGTCACCTGTCACGATGCTGTTCTCATACCGAGATTGCCCCTTATCAAACATTTTCAGCGTCTTTCGGCACCAAGTCGTACGACGAGTCTTCGGCTCTTCCGTCAGACTATGAAGTACCTAGAGGGAACAAAGTTTCCTTACGTGTAAATGGTCATGCAGAATTGAATGAATTGCTGGTGCATGAAGGTGTAAGGTCTCCTCTATCTGTTGGTATGTCACTATCCGGTCTTCATCAAGCATTTTCCTCACATCAGTAATGTTTTCCTCTGTCACTGCCGTTCGCGGCCTTCCTTCCCTCTCAGAATCCTCCAGAGTAAAATTGCCCCATTGGAATTCTGTACCACCTGAATATAGTCGTACGATGAGGACAATCATTCTTTAATACAAGCGTCTATGCACTGGTCTATGCTTAAACCACTCGTAAAGTTATACCGTAAAACTGCCCTTATCTCACTACGTGACCACGATGCCATAGTCCGCACTTTGCACTGTCAATACGAATGAACGACTAAATCAGTAAACGTGCTGCTGGCGGCTACTATGCATTCGAGGACATGCCTCAACATGCAGTAACATGCAGCCTCCTGCGTCCGTTTGTGACGTCATATTGCAAAACTTTTATAGTACCCTTTGTAAATTTTTCTAATTTCTAACTTGTTAGAATTAACTGAGTAATGTTCAGACCTAATTCGGGGAATCGAACCTCAAATCGGTCATATACTACCACACAGTCTAAATTAATTGTATGGCTGATGCATTGCCCTTTAAAATCATATTCTAAGAAGTAGAGATGATTACGATAGTCAAAAACTGTTTATCTTATTTTATTCCTACCTGACTTGAGTTTTGCTTGTAGTGTTTTTATATGCAAAGAACTCTTCTAAATAAAATACTTGTTAGCAAAGACAAAATTAATCTGTAGCGAACAAAAAACCACAGTAAAATACGGATCTGTCTCCCTGGCGTTGACGGATCCCTCAGCTCTTATTCCACAGTGATGAATACTCGTGAAAAATATCGTATTTCAACCCGGCGGAGCCATGGGTTTAGGTTAGTATTGAATAAAGTGAAAATATCTCACTGATAAAGTCTCCAGAGATATGACATAACGTCTTAGGTAACCCTGTCACTTTTTTCAACCTACCTATGTATATTTTTATGAATGTTCGCAGCATTGTTTGTTGTAGATTCATTTCACTACTCTTAATAGGTGTATTTGCACAAATAACTTTGTATTTTACTTTTCAAGGGCTGGCGTCTTATACATGCTATCATCAGTATCCCAGAGGGTACCGATGCGAGTGTTTCCTTTGATAAACGGATCTTGCCAGGGTGCAAGGAGGGTATTTAATAGCGTGAGACCTCACACGTTCCAGCTCATTGTGGAAGGAAAGAGCTTGCTTCTGGCCGCTCCTGATGAATATGTTGCTAGTGAATGGTTGCAGGAATTGATACATGCTGCTAGTGGGGTGAGTAGAATTTATCATCAATAGGTATATTTCAGAAGATAAATATCGGTGGGTTGAATTGTGTCTACAGGCCGGTCCAGCGTCAGTTTTCTTTTCTTCTTTCCGTTGAGGCTTTGGTTGTGCGTGGGTCGTTTCGTTGGTAATAATTTTCAGATTCTGGGATGTTATCGCCCATTTGTGCCGTACGTTTAGTTGTTTTGGTTTGGGTGCTACCCCGTCCATTTTCTAATGTGATTTTAACCTTCAGCGGTAAGTTCTTTTTTGTATACCATCGGAACACGTCCAATAATGCATATCCTGAATAAGATTGTTCAATATCTGCTTCCTTTTAGTGGAAAGGCATTGCGGAGAACCACCATTCATACTCCTGCAGCTTTGTTTTGAGCTGCCATAACATTATTTTAGAACAAGGGATAACTTTCTGAGGGTATATCACTTTGGTACATTTTTATATTTTCTTGCCTTTGCTTTACTTTTCTTGTAAAAGAGAATGTACATGGTTTTTCTTCAAGTTTGGAAAACGAGGTAAACATCCCGCACTGATTTTTGACCTGAGCATTGATTGACCCTTAGCAAAAATTTACTATCACTACACCACAACACTAGATATGATATACAAATGCATATGACCATTAACGTATTCTCCAAGAACACGTTCAATCCTTTGTTATATTTGGACGTTCATATTCAATTTCCATCAAATGCTTCAATGTTTGAAGCACATGACATCACTTATTAAAAAATATCACCCATCAACTCCCCAACACCAATAGGGAATCTGAATATGGTTCAAATATCGTTTAATTATTCTTGTTTACGGTCCGCATTGCTACCGAAAGACCCCTTCAACCTTATTTATGCTTGAGTGCTATAAACTTACGAGTATTAATTAATAAAATAAATGGCGTTGAGTAGAGTGTCTGATTAATTCCCTGGAAATTCTGTCATCAGTTGGATTATGTTTAGTTTATTTTCAAACCAAACTTGTAAAAGGAGAACTCCAACTAGCAACAAATGTACGTTGCATAATTCTTAATACCAATATAGAATTTGTAAAACATACCCCAAAAATTAACAAAAAGTCATAAAATATACAGAAAACAATTCGAAGTTCTTGAAAATCATTGACCCCTTCAAAAAAACTATGACTGTGTCTAAAGATAACCAGGGAGTCGACAAATTTTGAAAAACATTCAAGTGGTGGTTTGAAACCATTCTATAAGTAACAGAATTTAATGGCGTTGATTGTTCTATCTAGATTTTAAACTCTACAGTTCCCCGCATATTTTAACAGAAATTTACTGGTGGCTATCTAGAAACGCTCCATAAGACTTTCACCTCTTCTCTACAAATTATTTGACTTTCTGCCAGAAAAGAGGTAATAGTCAAATCCATGAAGTCCTTACTACGGGCGACATGAGTAAAACTAAAAAAAAGGCTGAAATGAAGATGAAGATCAAGTTGTTGGAAACGGATCAGTGTTCAAAAGAAACAACTATGGAGATAATGAAGATGCAACTGCCAAATCACAAAAATTGAAGATAAAAAAATAATAGTTCAAGAGAAGAGTATTTTACTAGCTGGTAAAGCTGGATTAATAGAACGACTAGTAAATGAAAACTCGAGGGTAAAAGAAAACGGTTCAAAACAACAAGAAAAAAGACAGAATTATAAAAGTCTAAACAGGATCGAGTAAAATTTAGATGCTATAAAAATAAACTGAAAAGAAAACTGATAAAACTGATCAATTACTGGAGAAATCTTCAAAATTGATAGAATTAATGGAAATTAAAAAATGTGTGCATGATGTAAGAAAAAATAAAGTTGAGCAGTTGGTAGTTAAATCAAAACACAAGAAGAAAATTGGCACTGAAACAAAAAATTTCCATTCAATGTTAAATCCTTCTGACATAGGAATTTCTGTTAATAAAATTACACAAGTAAAACAAAGATGTTTAGCCATTCACGTAGAAGACGAAAATTCATTAGCAAAATTGAACAGTGAAAGGAAACCAGCTTTAAAAGAAAAGTATGGAATACAAATTGGCAGTATAATTAAAACGAAAATAAAAATAATTCATGTTTGCGATACTGAATTGAATGATGTAGAAATATTTGCGTCTGAATTTCAGAAGCAAAATATTCCTGAAGAATTAAGAAGTAGTGAAGTGAAAGTAATTCATAAATGCAAGACGAGTAAAAGTAGAATCCATGAGTGTAGTGTGATAATTATTGTCTAATAAAGAAAATAAGTACTTGCTAGATAAAAAGCAATCAATATATTTGGGAAGGAATATTCATAAATTCTACAAATTCTTCAATGTTACAAATATTGGCCATTAGCATTTCGGACTGAGAAGTGCAGTACTGTTGTAGTATGTATGGACTGCATTCAAAATCACATGAAGGAAGCTTGTAAAGTTAAAAAGTATACTTTGAGTAATTGTAAATATGCACACAAAGTATTAAAGATCTCAAATATTCCATAAGATCATGATGTACTTGGCAAAGACTGCCCCAGCTGTTTAAACAAAATCCAAATAGTCAAACAAAGAACATTTTAAGGAAAATAACTATTAGAGGAACTGAATAGTTTTAAAAAGATGGTTTCGTAATCTTCTACAAGGTCATGTCCAAAACCAAGCCATTGGGAAAATCTTATCTGAAGGATTAAGGGCTTTATATTTTAGAAGTTCCAAGTGATATGTGATCTTCATGTTCATCTTAATGTAATATTATAATTTATAGCTAAATTAACATTCGTTCTATTCTTCTCTATAAAAGGCTTATATTGATGAATTCTTTTTCTATTACTATGTATAATTTCCTAAATCACCGATAACAATTTTTGGGAGGAGTCATAAAACAGGAATCTACAATAGATTAGGTTACTGTCAAACCCAAGAAGGAGGTCTATTCGAACATTTAATTTGATATTTTGTTTTCATTTTGATTAGAATTATTTCAATTTTGATGCGACTTAAGTGTCTTTTTATTTTAGAATTATCTGTGATTTTCACCAATTATCACTGCCTGTGTGTACGCAGGTGAAAACCATTTCGAAGCATTACGACAGTCTCTAATGAGCGCTAGACTGGCCAAAATCACTCATCTATGATCATGGAGGTGGAAACCTTGTCTTGGAATGTACGAGATGCGGTGTTGCCAAGCGAACTAATGATGCAATATTGCAGAATTTGTGGCGACCGATCCGGAATCGATCCTAAACGGATTCGACACAATTCATAAATGAGCATGCTCAAAATAAAACCATTATTTGCGCGTTGAGAATAAACTAATGGACATTTTCAACATGGATCTTAATTCATTCGGCTTCTATATCTTTCTAACATGCGTGTCTATACACACTTCTCTCTCGTACACATTGAAATCAAATGAAAGGGAATTCAAGCCTCTGAAAAAACTATGAGAAAATATATAGGACATTATCATTTAAAAAATAGTTTTTCAAGTTGAATATTATGAAATTTGCGTGTCCATTTTAAGCAGGTTTTCTCTTATTACAATGACTCATTTTAAAGGAGAATGAATTTATCAGAAAATGAATCAAATAAAATATATCTTGAAAATCGAAAAATATCGTTTTTGTACAAATTGTATTGTAAATTATATGTAGAATCTGCAAACGGAATGAAAAATATGAAATGCTATTTAAAAAAATGAAGATGACGCTTACTCTGGCAAAACTAAACACCTTATATATATATATATATGATAAAATAAAACTTTGACCCAAACCAACAAACTTTTGTATTCACCATTTTTTTGTATAACTATCGGTTTGTGAGTTAAAGGCGATGGATCAAGTTATGTTGGCTACCCTGCGGCCTACCATCACTTCGTCAAAGCTCGGATAAGTCTGTTAACTCGTTAGCTGGATTGGGTAAGTCGTGGAGAACGGTTGAAAATCATGTTATGGTTCATATTCCGCTGACGGTCAGGCGAAAATCGAGCTTATCGTCCGATTACACAGCCTTCTAGACTGCCCGCGCTTCACATAGTGGACTCGTAAAGTCACTATTTTGATTGACAGTTCATCCGGCTTTTGGGTATTTCATTGTGAAAAGTTCGTAGGATGTGAGGTTATGTTTTGACTTTCTCAGGTATATTATGTATTGGAAAAAGTTTAGGGATTCTACTGGAATTATTTCTAGACGGAACAAAAATCTTGCACAAAAACCTCACAGATTCGTGAGAGAAATTTGCTAACCCTATGGTTTTCATAATCACGTTTGTATACAAACAAACGCTACAAGCAAGTTTTCAAAAAGATGTCACTTGCTGATCAGCTGTTCACCTCAGTAGACGTCAAAACGTGATGGACACACGTGAGAGGGGTTTATGTCAAAAACTCGACAACCAAATGTACAATTAAATGACAAATCATGAGGACGTCGCTGAGAAGCGCGCCAAGAATGCTGCGTTTAAATCAATGTCATTGGTATTTCAGTTTTGTATATTTCATTAAAAAAAACTTCAGACATTTCCATGAATGAAATATATGTTTACGGTATTATATTAACGTAAATAATCGACAAAGAATGAAAAACAGTCATGTACTACATATTCCCTAATTATGTATAGAAAAATATGAATAACCAACAGGGTGATAACTCATATATATCGGCTTTTATTCTGATTATTATTCTTAATTTCAGGCGTATACAAACAGAGAGAAACATCCGACTCAAGCATGTACGTTGCTGATGACCAGTGAACATATTTTGACAGTGAGGGAAGCATTTTCGTTTACAGTTACCTCTCTGTTACCGCCTAGAAGTAAGCATGATCCTATCAAAGGTGCTCAGGCTCTTTCATGCGCCTGTATCGTGGACCTTACTTCGTTCAGGCTACCTTCTGCTGAACAGAGTTGGTGTATTCTGGTAAGTAAATAATTGGTTATTATTAATCCGGGGCGCAATATTTACGCATATGGCACAAATTCAACCAATGAGAAGGTGTTTTTGAAGTAATGGATCTAATGAATATGGTCGACAAAATTATAGGATTTGTGAAGATGAGCCCCTAATTCACATATTAAATCAAGAAATACTTCACCGTGGCAAGGCACAGTTAGAGGTGGCGCAGTTGAATCCACGGTCCGGTAGAGGGCGCGCGAGCAGTTTGATTTTTAAGCCAGAAAAATTAGCTCTAAACACGTGCTGACCATAAACATAGAACACAGGATGATCGCAAGATAGTCAAGTACATGTAAATTGAATATGTACTCGATGTTTATTAAAGAATGAGCATTCTTTAATTTTATTTAGGTTTTCAAAGAATTTATTAAGCGGAATTTTATACACTAAGGGATAAAATTAATGATCCATTTTGACTGATCTGATACAAGCCTAAACAGAGGAAAAAAATAGGTTTCTGTAGCTAACCTCAATGGACATGATGGATTGTTAAAAATATATCCTTATTTAAATTATCTCAGGCAAGTAGTGACAAGAATCTGCCCTGATCATAACCGTTCAGAAAAACCGAATAGAATTCAAGCAAGGTGTACTACTATTTCCAATGGCAGGTACTTCGCCATTGTTGCTCTTTGATGAAGAGAATGATTCGTATAGTTCTCCTTCCAAAATCACGTTCATATGATGTACTGTTAATAAATATTCACTTTCGTTCCTTTGCCTTATTTAATTTATACAGGGTGACAGGTAAATAGGTGTTAAACATTTTAGGAGGTGATAGTACAGCCCCTTTGCTATCGAAATTAGTATATAATACCATACCCTATATTCAAAGGTTGAAAAGTTATTGAAGATTTAAGATTTTTTTAAAAATAATCCATATTTCAGAGTAAAAAAGTCGAGAGAGAAAAAAGTTGGCGATTAAACATTTGTTTTTTGGGTTATTATTTCAATAATTAACTATTATAAATTAAAAAAGATTCGAAAACAATACCAAACAACGTATTTATTTTCATTCAAAAATGTTTAACTAAGAAAAACAAATAACGTTTTACAGTAAGTAAGGTGTTTTACAAAAAAATCAGTATACAAAAAAACGTACAAACAATTTAAATAATATCCTTGTTTCATAAGGAATCTAAATTGGTATGATAAGTGCACAAAAACTGTGTGAAACTAAACATAATGTATTGTAATACAACAATAGGGAGTAAATTTACCAATGGTTTGTCTCCTATTTTTTTTTTGTGAAAATAATGTAACTGTGAGCTATGGGATAGTTATTATATTAAACTACGGTTAAGTTACACGATTAGATTATTTACACAGTTGTAATTGTACTACAGAATAATAAAAACTGACTAAAAGTTACTACAATTGGTAAGTAAAATACAATAATGAAATGAAGGTAAAATTCATTGAAATTGTTGTTCGAACTGACGCCCGCCGTTTCTTATGCAAGCCCGTAGTCTTTTTCTCATGTTGGTACGCGTGATGCGGCCAGTTAGTTGTCCTCTGATAGTGTCAGCAGCAGCAATATTCTTTCTTTCAACTGTGCAAGAGTGTCTATGGGCTCAGCGTACACCAGTGACTTCATGTCCTCCATAAATAATAGCCACACGGTGTTAAATCTGGGCTCCTCGCTGGCCACGGTGTCGGTCCACCTCGGCCAATCCAGCGACAAGGATATTGCTCGTCCAGCCACTGTCTAACACCCAGACGGAAATGCGCGGGACAGCCATCGTGTTGGTAGATCATCTGCATCCTGATATTCAGAGGCAGGTCTTCGAGATACTCCCAGAGTTCGGATCTCAAAAAGTTTTCATAGGACTCGCCATTCAGGTTGTCAGGCAAAAAAACTGGTCCAATTAGATACGTATGAATGATTCCCATCCACACGTTTGCCGAAAATCTTTGATGGGCTCTTGGCTTTGCCATGTGGGGATTTGCCTCTCGTGGGGCCCAATAATGTAAGTTGTGATAATTTGTTGTCCCCTCTCTGTCAAACTTAGACTCGTCGGTCCACAATATTTTAGTTAAATAGTCGTTTTCTTCTTCATCCCGATGAAGCATGTATCGACAAAAATCAATTCTTCTTGCGGGATCTCCTTCTTCTAATACTTGAACCGGTGTGTAATGGAAAGGGTAAAGTCTCGCCGAATGCAAAGCGAACCAAACTTTCCACTGAGTTAAACCAAGCTGCTTTGCTATAACTCGTGTAGACGTCGTCGGGTCTCTGCCGTAGCATTCCAGTATTGCCTCTCGATCTTCGTCGTCAAACAACCGAGGTCTACCAGCATCATGACGTCTCTCATGAACCTGTCCACTTTCCTTGACGCGTTGGTACAGAGAAGCAAATACTCGATGACTCGGTATTCGCCGATTCGGAAAACGGTTTTCGTATTCTCGCCTGGCTTCAACGGAATTTCCACCACTTAAACCATAACAAAACAGAATATCAGCGTATTCTTCGTTACGGTAACTCGCCATTATTAAAACTGATCAAAAAAGTAAAAGTACGTCCTACCGCGTTAAAGGTTGATATTCTACTAACTAACCTAAGCGTTAGTTCCCTTTCCTTGATCCGTCAGCTGTGTCAATTCATAACACACGCAGAGCTTGCTTCCGAAGAGCGACGACAGATTCCGAATACTTAAACCCGAATAACGGCACAGGGCACAAAAAATAACAAAAAGGGTCCAACCATGAAAGGCTCGGTTTACCTGCTCAGTACAATGAAATGCGCTTAGCGGCCTTTTCTAGCAAAGTAATATTGTTTTGTTAAATGGTTTACTTACTGATATGTTATTATACCATTTTAGAAAATTTTCATCTAACATTTAAATGAAAATAAATACGTTTTCAGTAGTGTTTTCATATATTTTTTAATGTATGAGAATTATTTATTTAACCAAAAAAAGAATGTTTAATCACCAACTTTTTTTTATCTCAACTATTTTACTCTGTAATCTGGGTTCTTTTTTAAAAAAAATAAATATTCCATAACTTTTTAACCTTTGAATATAGGGTATGGTATTATATACTAATTTTGATAGCAAAGGAGATGTACTATCACCTCCTAAAATGTTTTACACCTATTTACCTGTCACCCTATAACAGATTCACATCGTAACACAGTAAGCAATGGTAGTTAAATAAGCCAAAGGTATGTTCTAAAACTGCACCATTTTGGCGACAAACAATGCAGTCTAAACATATAGGCTCCTTCTAATCTATTCGAATTCGTTAGTTTGATCGGACTGATAATGGACATTGTTGCAATTTTTTTTATTTTGGATGTGATCCGGCCGTGAACATGTATGTATTTCCAGGAATTCGCATGTAGAGAAGTTCACGAGTATAGCGGAGATTGGATCCTATATTTCTCTACGAATGCAGAGCTAGAGAATTTCATATCTACTCTTGAGATGCTTTGGCATTATAATAATGAAAACGTAAGTATGTCAAAATATCAACCTTATTTGGTTTATTATACTGCAAATAAGCTCTGAAGTGATAATCAAATATTACTCACTTTTACAAAAGTTCGTTTTACTTCGGCGACAAAGTATTGTAACATATTTGTATAATTATTCTTTTCCACATTTTTTTTGAATCCATTTTCTGTAATTTTACATTCTTGTCTTTTTTATGGCATCACTGTGCATTTTGGGATTCATAAAGTGATTTTTTAATTACCACTTAAACATTTTTAAATTCGAATACTGTTTAATATCATTATTCAATTTATCAAATTCATATGCTCCCTTTTGAAATACAGATTTGCTAGTTATGCTATAATTACAATTTTGCAGATGAAAATCTATTCTGCCTCTAGTGTCTAAATAACATATGAACTTGTTTACACCCAACCACTGTAGTTCTAACACAGACTAAATCCTAGCATATTTGTTTTTATTTAAAAAGATTTATTTTGTAGAATTTCTAATTTTGAAAATATGTTTTCATTTGCTGAAAACAAGATGGTTGAACAATTTAAAAAGTGGGGAAGAATTTTAGTGTTATATACAATTTTCTTGGAATACATACTAAGATTATGGGAAACTCTATAGAAGTAATTTATCTTTTTTTTTGATATTGTTGAAATAATGTATATTCATAATGCTCATCAAACAGTAGTTTACTATCCACATACGGGGTCTCCCAGAAACACGTCAGAGTGACACGGGAGGTAGATTGGCTTCAGATCAATCAGATAAAATCAACTTGACCTTAGTAAAAATTTTCTAGTTTCCGAGATATTGCCACTTTTAGGTTTTTTCAATAAATACACTTGTACCACCTAAAGCTGTAAAAATCAATGGAAATAAAAAAATACAACCTAATGTTCTGTTCATTATTTTTATGTCTGCATACAACAATTAATAAAAAAGGATAATGGATAGCTGTTTTAGACATAGTTTTAATTTGGACACAAAAGATTTTTTATTTGTGGTATTTCGCAAGTATTACGACTTCAATGACAAAACTTGGAATTATTCAGTTTTTAGTAAGAAGAACCTACAATACATGTTATACTATTCTTGAAAGAGCATTAAATAGCTAATTTTTTGGGTGATTTGCCGATTCAGCATATTTTTTCACGGTGATTAGTAAAACTTTAGTAAAGGTTTTCGCATTGAAACCAATTGTAATACTTTTTTGTTTTTAGCATACGGTGCAGGTTTTCACTGAAATGAATACTCGGTTGTCTCAACCAACTATTAATGGTATTCCAGGGAAAAGAATCATGAGTTAGAAGTTCTTTATAGCCATAACAGGTCATCTTATGTTCATGATTTTATCTGATTGATCTGAAGCCAATCTACCTCCCGTGCCACTCTGGCGTGTTATTTCTGTATACAGGTGATTCACAAAAATGAAACATCATACACAGGCCCGCGTTTTAAGGTGGGTCTTCTATGTAACATTTTTTCCTCGAGGGCTTCATTAAAAAGATACGGGGTGTTGTTTAAAAATACAAAACAATTTCTTCTAATATCTTCAAAACCGATAACTGGAATGAACTAAAATTTATGTAGGTTTAGTATTGTCCACAATTAAAAGTCTTTACTTAAAATTAACGTGCACCAGTGGCTGAGATACAGGGGATAAATGGCATTATTTTTCAAATAAAAATAGTACGCCACTGTTTTTTTTTAAACGCGCAATTTTTTGAATTTTACCTTCCATTTGCTACAAATAATTTCCTAGAGTGCACTGATTTTATAAAAATAAAACAAAACAAATTTGTAGATCATTCATGAAGAGCTGAGATACAATTAGTTTCAAAATAAAATAGTAGATAGTGTGTAAAAGTTATGTGTTATACGCTTGTTATCGTTACTACTACCATTTTCTTTTTTGTAAAATCAAGTCAAAAGTTCCTTTCTTTCATTTTTGAGTGTTGTGAAATGGAATTTAGCAATGTTGAGTACGCCGATATTATTTTTGTGTACGGGTTCTGTAATAGAAATGCTTTAGCGGCTTCTCGGGAGTATCAACGTAGATTTCCTAACAGACGCCAACCTACCCCAAAGGTTTTTACGCGTTCGTTTCTAAGACTTCGGCAATATGGAATTGCCAAACTTCCCGGAGTTTGAGGCCATGGTGTCCAGCATACTGTTCAAGAGGAACTGGAAGTGATGTGGATGATACTAGTACTAGGTGGATTGCAGCCCAGTTACCATGCTCCCAAAATCTTGCGTGGAGAATTTTAAATCGGGAAGTTTTACATCCTTACTATCGGCAAAATGTGCAATGTCTGCAACCCGGCGACGAAGTGCAACGGCGAAATTTTTGTGTGTGGTTACTGCAAATGCATAATCAAAATGCATATTTTATTGATTTGGTTTTGTGGTCAGATGAAACGCATTTTACGAGGGAGGGGAACCTTTAGTTCTCATAATAAACATATTTGGTTGTTAGAAAATCCCCGTTCTGTACGAATCCACTCGTTTCAACACAGATTTTCTAGAAATGTCTGCTGCGGCATTTTCAATGGCCAACTGTTTATGCACGTATTGCCACAACGTTTAAACGCAAACTCATACGATGGATTGGCAGAAACGGACCCGTAGATTGGCCTGCCAGGTCTCCTGATTTGAATCCCTTGGAGTTCTTTTTGTGTGGGCTTTCAAACAACCAGTGTATGCTGAAGAAATTAATACTGTTGATCAGTTACAAGAAAGAATAGATAATGCGTTTCATCAAATTCGAGCCACAACAAAGTTTGCGGAAATAAGTTTTTCTTTATTAAAAAGATGCCGCACTTGTATCCGTCTTTTTGAACATTTATTGAAATAAAGCTTTAGTTATCTAATTTGTTTTTTTATTTTTACGAAAACAATGCACTCTAGGAAAAAGCACAAGAGTAATTATTTGTAGCAAATTGAAGGTAAAATTCGAAAAATTGCGCGTTGCGAAAAAAAACTGGCCTACTATTTTTATTTGGAAAAATAATGCCATTAATCCCCTGTTTCTCCGTCACTGGTGCCCGTTAATTTTAAGTAAAAACTTTTGAATGTGGACAATACTTAGATAAATCCACATACCAAATTTTAGTTCATTCCAGTTGACGGTTTTGAAGGAAAAAAAATTGTGTTTTATTTTTGAACTTCAACACCTTCTATCTTTTTAATGAAGCACTCGAGGAAAAAATGTTACATAGAAGACCTCCTTTAAAATACGGTGCTGTGTATGATGTTTCATTTTTGGTCACTACTCGTGAATCACCCTGTATTTAAATGATTCGACTAATTCAATTTGTTCGTCATTAATCATGAGCCTAATTGATTGTCACATATTTCCCTATTGACATACATTTCGTTTTATTAGTGTTTAAGGTTTATTAACATTTAAGCAATATGAACTAAAAACATGATTGGACCTGGGTTTGATCCCTGGTGTCCCCTGCGTTTATATTTAATTTATTTGGGATCCATTCTTTAAATATGTTTTAAACCAATTTAGTGAAGTTCCAGTACAACCATAGTTGTTTAATTTCTTCAATATCATGATTTACAAAATCAAAAGCTTGGGAAAATCACAAAAAAGAGCAATTGAAATTTGTTTAACAATTAAAGTGTAAGTGTTGGAGTAATGTGAAAATAGCGTACATTTTTTTGATTTGAAATCCAATTTGTAATTTTGTTGATTTTTAAGAAGCCTCTCCAATTTGAGCTATTTTTTTCTATTAGATACAATACATGCTGTCATATGCAAAATCCATTTGTCCAGAATTGTCTGGAAAGTACAGAGTCAATCTATGTTAGGTATTTTTTGCTATAACAGGCCAAATACAAACTTTATTTCCTTGTAGGGTGACAGTTTCCCGTTGAGTACCATACCAGAAACTGATCCGTTGAGCAAAAAATGTGTCGACTTCTACACGTCTCTCATTGGTGTGTGGCCGGCAAATACGGTGCTACTACAGTTTTTGTAATGATCCAACGATCGAGAAGCAACATTTCATCATCCCATGCTTTAGCTTTCACTCAACATTTTACACTTAGGTTGTGCCCTTAACGAGTTATATTGCTGAGCAATAAATCCTGTTTATTTTCCTTGCCGATATTTTATGAATAATAATTTAAGTGAACTGAAACTGTATGAATCTGAGTTTAGTCCCTGCATTGTAGACCTATGCGCGTGTATCATGCAACGCGGCAGTTAGGCCCCGTTCTATATGGAGATGTTACTGACTGTGAAGTGTGTCAGCAGCTGTTTGACGACAGGGGATAAGAAACTCAAGGTGAAGGAGTACTTTGTTTAGTAGGACATTTTTTATATTCGTCTTCTAATGGCCTGTATTTATTTGAATTTCTTGTATTTAATTTTAGTTAAGACCCAAAATATTGTAACGAAAACACCGCCTAAAGTCTAATTTAGTACTTTTACTTTAATTTATAATACTTGTACTAATTTACGAGAATTTATAACCATGTTTGACTAAGTCATTGCCCGTTGTCGACTGCTAGACTGTCTTTCGCCGTCAGCGCAGCAGCTTTTATTTTTGAAATGGGCCAGTTGAGAAGCTTTTCAGCGCCTTCGTCGAAATTCCAGACGATGTCAATCGATACCTCTCGACCAATTCGACACCTGTATTACGTAACTTAAAAAGTGCTATATTGATTTTTGACATTACATAGGTTTTTTCGACATTATGTAGGTTTTGAACTAGCCGAACACACTAGCGGGTACCTAGTGCACAAGTTAACATTTTTCTGATTTTTGTGACAATGTTTCAAAATTAATGCTCATCATTGGGATCTCGGAAACGGTAAGAGATACGAAGTGGCTTAAATGGGATCAAAGTTGCGTATTTAGGTAATTAACAAGATGAGAGAGATGATGAAAGTTTGAAATTCAAAGGTACTTGCGGAGAGGGACGGAAAATACTAAAATTTCCCAAAAACTTTTTAATTTTTTTCCAGACTTTATTGTGGCGAGATTTTAAAATAAATTGCACATTAACATTGCAACTTACTACTATAAGGCGACGCCTCGCTATTCAATGTTCCAGTTATGCGGGCGTTACAATATATACACATAAAAAACTAAACAAAAATAACATGATTTAGATAAATATTCGAAGGAACGAAGAATTTTGATTTATTACAAAAAAAAGGTAAATTATAACAAACTCACCCCTTTAGTTAGAAACTGTGGTCAGATATTAATTCAGTGACATGCGCATCTTAATTATGGTATCCTATACTAATCCCAGTAAGATCTAGAAGGATATTTTAGTAATTCTTCGTCATGTCGATATAAATTCAAGAGAAGAATATTTATTTCAAGAAATGTGAATATGGCAAGAAGGAAAATAAACGGTATTTATTATATTTTTATACCTAGATGATTTGTATATACTTGACTTTATTTAGTTTGACCTTAGAAAAATTATGAACAAAACTATAAAGCTTAACTAATGAATTTGAAGGAATGCTGGTTGATATTTATTAGCTGGATTAGATTAGAAATCACCTTCAAACAAACTTGCTATATGGAATTTTTAGCAAACTGCATTCACGGGTAGATTTCTATAAATTTTCTAATTATTTTATTTCCTGACTGACAATCCCTCAAATTAAATATCACATGATGCCTCAAATTAAATGTCATATGATGCCTGCCAAGTGTCAGAGTGTGCAATTATTGTTTTGTAGCATACACTTCTATAAAATGATCTATGTGCTACATTTGTTACTTTCACAATAAAATTCATTTGTCACTTGATAAAAGGTGGCATTTTGTTTTAAAAGCTCCCAGTTATTTCAGTCAAAATTTAATTTTTATAAAATACTTTTAATCTGTGTGTGCATTTGGTCATTTGTTGAGCCATATTGTTTTGTTCATAGGTGTATATTTCTTTTTACATTACTCTAAGGTGTAGATATTGAGAATTTTTTATCCAATTGTATTGATTTCTAGTCTTTTTTAACTACCATTCAATGAGAAATGTGATAGTAACTGGAAGGGAGCTGAAGGTATTACTAATAATATTTATATACTATGCTAATATACGCTTTATGTGAATTTAAAAAGATGCACATGTAGAGAATGCACATTAATAATTGTAGTTTCTATACTATAATGTTATAATAATAATCTAATCTATTTAAGCTCTCTAACTGTTATAGTTTCAAGGTAGCTCACAACCTGACACATCAACAGGTATTTTCTGGTTGTGTTGTTTTGTTTGTAAATGATGCGAATTCTTGATTTAGGTGAAATTTCCATGAGAGCGTCGAACGTCGATCGTCAAGGGATATTACGTCTTTCATGAATTTACACATTTATAATTGATAATGCAATCAAGCTATACAGCCAAGGGTATGCGCAGAAGAAGGCTTAGTTATATTGTTATGTTAAAATTGTGCTTTCAGGAGTTTATTTAATGTCTTTGGAATAATTTTTTAATTTCTAAATATTGTGAAATTACCCTTTTGGAGGTTTACTCAAGTTTTATATTATTTGGTAGAAAAATTATTTTGGCCACAAAGATAGGCGGCGAAAATATTTGTGGTTGTAAAAAGGCTCTATCATCTTTCATTCATCATTGCTTGCTAACTTAACTGTTTTCTACGAAATGTTAGGATTTTACATCAAATGTTCAAACCAATGATAGGTTCTAGACAAATCTGACAAGGCTTTGTCAAGAAACGATTCAAGGCCGAAGGGGCTATTTAGATTTTGAAAAAAGTCCAGAACGCGTCCAAACTTCGTGTTTAAATGTTTTTAGATTACTGAATATTTCGACTTCAAGCCACATCATACTAAAAAATTCTGGATCAGAAGTACTACTACCTATACATATTTAGTCAGTACCTCACTACTGTTTTCTGTATGTATATAGAAAAGTTAGGAAAGTGATGAATAGGCGCAAATATATGAAAAAGACTGGCAACAGATAATGAGTGTAAAATGGTCCACGAGCTAAGATAGAAGACTCAAGCTGCAATTTAAAAAATACTCATATCAGATTTTTTGGATAATTTTGATTGTTATATCAATTGGTGCTTTGAATCTTTGTTTTTTGTTGCATGTTGAAAAATTGTTTTCTCTCACAATCAGAATGAAAAATAATCATGTACAATATTGGGTCAGTAACTGAATACAATATTTATATGTAATCAAAAAACAATATTATATCTGTATTTCAGTTTTTTATTATATAAACAATAATTATACTTAATATTGTAGTTACCAATAAACAACAGGTAAATAATACGTGTTTTTATGTTGGCGCATAATGTCCTCTGGCCTTTCTACTTCTTTTTGCCTTCTCAATGTCTACATCAGGATATTGTTGCTGAAGAGCATTCATGTCCATGTTTGGGAACCTTTTCAACAATTGCACCACATGGTTGAAGTCTCGGCTAAAAAAATATTTTGGTATTGGAAATGTCAAAATTACACAGTGCGTTCCAGAAAAACCCCCCACTTATTTTTTGAAAGGGTCAAGTTAGAATATAAGTTATATATTTTAGCGTTTTAAGTGGTGGTTGAGAACTTAGGTTGGGCGCCATATTGTTTTTTTTTGCGTCATGTGATACCTCTCGTACTGAAGCTCTTTATGTCTTCTTTATAGTCCTGGTATAAAAAATATCTTTCAAAATGGCCGACTCGTAGGCGGTCGTTTTGGTACATTGAATTACTTATAACCATAACAATCGATCATCACAAAACTATAGTATGTCAGTCATATCAATCTTTTTGGAAAGATCTACTTGTATCTGAATATTTACTAAAACATGGAACATTCCAATAAAAAATTACCAAATCGTGTTAATTTTTTACGTAGTGTTGAAGATTTTATTTCACATTCAGATATACCTTTCTAAAAAAAATGTTGATAAACCTATGCCTTAGGACTGATAAGGAGTTTTAAAATGACATTTATAGTAACTGTTTACACTTTTTCTGCTTGTTTATGGTTTCGACACGCGTATGGTATAGTGATTATATAATAATAATAGCGTTTATTTAGAGAAAAAAAATACAAAAAGAAAAAATTAAAAATGAAGAAACAATAGGGACTAGTAAACAGGCGAGCTGATCAAAGTACTAGCCAACAAACAAAATTACAACAGAGAGTTCTTAACCAAATTATATAAGTTAATATTAATTAATAAATAATAATTACAAACGACAAAAAAATATATGTATATAAAGAAATTATATAAAAAAATATAATTTAACGAAAAAGGTCAAATCATTTTAGGCAGATTTAACAAAAAAAACATTTGAAATATAAAAAGGACAGAAGCAATATAAAGTAAACACTACAATTCATCTAATAGAAATTTTCTGTAACTTCTTTTGAAAGCTGACACAGACATAGACTTAAGGTTTGTGGGGACGTGATTGTACAAGTGGTAGATAAAATTAGAAAAACATCTGTTAAACATAGATGTACGTGACGTGGTTGGGAAATCAGCTTCCGATATCAAACATTGATATTGCGAACATCACTTCGAAATGTAATCTTATTATATAAATAAGGCGGAGTTTTATAGAGAATAATTTTATGAACCAAAACTGCAGAGTGCAGCTTTCTCCTAGCTTCCATATTTAGCCATCCTATTACAGGTAACTTATAAGAAATATGTTCATTTTTTCACTCCAAAACTAAACCTAAGACAAGAGTTTTGGACGCGCTGTATACGATCAACATCATACCTTGTTATACAAGGCCCATAAACTGAGTCGCAGTAATTGAATAATGACAGAACAAGGGTGTCAAAAAGCAAAGCCTTAAGTTCGGTAGAAAAGATATGACGATGTGGAAATAACATTTTAAGCCGATCATAAGCATGGCACTTATCAACATGCTTTGAAAACCTCAGGTCACTATCCATAATCCAACCTAAATTAGTAGTAGCGGATGTATGAGGAATAACATTATTATTAATTGAAAGATGGAATGAATCTTCTAAGCTCATTTTGTATTTCCCGAACAATAAAACATTTGACTTGGTTGGATTTACAGATAACTGATGTGCCACGCTTTCATTTGTCAAATTACTAAGATCTTCATTTAATAATGTAACCGCAGTTGCTGTATCTGTTTGAGAGAACGAAAATTTTATCAGGGTATCATCAGTATATAAATAAGGCTTTGAATATATCAAACTACTAGTAATATTTGCAGAGTATACTGAAAAATGTAATGGACCCAAGATAGAGCTATGAGGTACCCCACACAGAACAGGATTGGAAACAGACACCCCGGAAGAGGTTATGACAAACTGCGTCCTCTTCGAGAAATAACTTTTGAATAGTTTAATAGCATTAACGGAACAACCCATGTATTTTGCAATAGAAAACATTAACTGGTGATTAATTGTATCAAATGCCTTTGTGTAATCAAGTAATACAAGAGCCGCGCTGTATTGCCGTTATCAATATCCCTGATAATTTCTTCCGTAACATCTAGAAGCGCTGTCGTGCAACTAAAACCCTTTCGAAACCCTGACTGAAATGAAGGCAGCAAATCATAATTATCTATATGAAGCATTAATTGAAATTTTATAATTTTTTCCAGAACTTTAGACAGTACCGGTAATATAGAAATTGGACGAAGATCCGAAAAGCTAGATATAGTGCCTTTCTTTGGCAGAGGATAAACTTTTGCAACTTTCCAACAGTCTGGAAAAGTATATTTTCTATTAGGCAACAATTAATAATATGCGTTATGGCTGGTAAAATGTGCGGTCAGCATAAAAGTAGTATTTCTATATTAATACCATCCGCCCCAGTTGCAAGAGTTTTTATTTCATAAAGATATTTGTAAAAAATGGCTTCAGAAACAGGTTCAAATGAAAATAACCGATCAAAATCCTTACGGAAATTGCTATTGTAAAAGTGAAATTTTTCAGGATCAGGATCAACATTGTTTGATGGCGGAATCAGAAAATGCTTATTTATCTCATTCGGATCATCAAACTCTGCAGGTATATTTGGCGTTTTAGACTTGGCAGCAATATCTACGCTTTGCAACTTCTTCATAGCCTTTGAATTCCCTCGGCAGCTGTTAAACGAATACTTAAAATAAGATTTTTGTTCAGCCCTAACAGCATTGGTGGTGAGATTCCTCATTTGTTTATAATAATCCCAATGTTCCCGTAAACCGGTCCCTTTAAATTTTCGAAACGCCTTGTCACGAAGAGAACATCATTAATTTAACATTGGCGGTTAACCATGGCGGCTTAAAATGTTTAATTTAATAACCCGTATCCGGATGTATGGGCATGTGTATCTACTTTTGTGGTTGCATAAATGTATAAATCTGACAGATGAAAATTATTGTAGAAAATGCCAATAACCTAGTCTTCATTTGTTCACCAAATTTATCTTTATCTTAAGTTTATGGTAAGTTCTAAAATGCAGGAACCTGCCTGATGCCATGGGCTTTCTGTACCAGTCTACCAATAAGATATTATTGTTTCGGATGATTTTAGAGTCCAGGAATGGAATTGATTGATTATAATCCTCTTTTTCTATCGTGAATTGAATATAGGGATCATGGCTGTTGAAATCGTCCACAATACTGTCCAAACCTTCAGTGGGGAGACAAACAATGATGTCGTCTACATATGTTTTTATAAAGAATATGTTATAGGGCAATACCTGAATAACAATATCAAGCAGGTCATCCATTACGTATTCTGATAGAATTGGTGATAACACTGATACCATTGGACAACCATGTGTTTGTGAATAGGTTTTGTTGTTAAAAGTGAAATAATTATTATCAAAAAGATATTCTAAGATGGTGACAAAAGATTACAGAGCTAGACTGCAGCACTGAGATATTTGATCACAATGTTTGTGAATGGTTCTGATGCAAGCTTCTAAGTAGACACTGTTGAAAAGTAACATAACATCTTGACTTGCAAAAGCATGTCCGGGTGGTATCTGCAACCTATTAAATTGTCGAGATACATCAAAGGAATCTTTAATGTAGTATTCACCTTTGATGTGGGCTGACTTTAATATATCCGAGATTAATGAGGATAGAACCTGCGTAGCTAAACCAATAGATGCCACTATAGGTCTTACTGAAAGTATTGGTTTATGTATTTTTGGAAGGGAATACAATTTTGGTGAGACTGAGTTGTAAGTAGTTAAAGATTTCTTTTGGTCCTGATTTATTTGTCCAGGGTTAAACAATCTATTATCCATGTCATTGCAACCTTTTTCCGCTCTTGGTGTGGGGTCTCTATTGTAGGAAGGGTCACTGTCAATTAAATTCTTGTATAAATCAAAATATTGTTGCCTGAGCATTATTACAGTGACATTTCCTTTGTCGGAACGAGTAACAATTAATTCAGAACATCCTGAATCCTAAAATAGTGAGGAAAGTGAGGATTTTCAACGAAAAGTGAGTCGAAAAAAGTGAGAAAAACCGAGAAATGGGTGGCCAGCATCCCTGCAATAAGCAAAAAGTTGAAGAAAAACAGTGCAAATGCGGTTTTTCCTATTTTCGAAACAAATAAAAATGTTGAATGTGAAACCCGAAGGACTGGATAAAACACGTGAATACACTGGGTTTTCCAGTTAGCTAAATTCGTTTGAAATATCAAAAATTGAAAAAAATGCGGTTTATCCAATTCATGTCGATTTTTCGCGCAAAAATTTATGATTTTCTTAGTGGATCTGCAGTGGATTTTAAAGTTTGCGAAATTTGCACTACTAACCAAAAATTCGAAAATTTTGTTTGTCATACCTGTACGTTGCACAAATCTATAAAAAAGCACGGCTATGCAGCGTACCACAATATAGCAAATTTTTCAAGAAATGTTTAACCCTTTTTGAGGTTAGGGGCCCTAGAATCTTCCAAAATGAGGCTAAGATGATTTGACCCAATATAACTTAATTGGCTTGATATGGATACCCTCGGGGCAATTTTCTTATATGGTTTCATCTGTAGCCGTTTGTAGAAAGATATAGCCTAGAATAGCATATAGGCTATATCTAAATATCTATTTCAAGCGCTACAGTCCAAAGGGCTGAATTTGACATGAGGTGTTTGGCGACGAGGCGGTCAGCTGCTGATTCTATCGAATTAGGGCATTTGCATGTATTATATATATATATATATACAGGGTGGCGCATCGAAAACGAAACCGACGCATTTACTGGCAGGTAAGTTTTTTTGTGGAAAAACGCTCAGACCCGTCGATTTTGTTTTCGAGGAGGACACAAGTTTGGCAAAAAATCACGTTAGCACGTGCAGCCCCCTAAGCGGGGGTGACACCACCCCCAAAATCTTAAATGGAAAGGGGGGTCGAGTGATACCTTATTTTAAAGGTCTTTCAATTTCCTTTATAATGATATAAAATTAATGTACTTCAGTTCGGTAGTTTTGAAGATTTATTGATTTAAATAAAGCTTAAATAAAACTAATACATCACCATTAGTGGAGATCAATACATTTGGCAGCAAAGTAATTTAAAAATGAAGAATGAACTGACCCGTTAGGCAAGTAAATGTTGAAAATGGCCACCATGACTCTCCATGCAATAATAAAGACTTTGGTAAAAACGTTGCCGCACATTTTGCAATATTTGAGGAGGAATTTGAAGGGACTCATTTACAATTCTTTGTTGCAGGTCTTCTAATGATGTTGGCTGAGTAGCATAGATTTTACTTTTTAAATGACCCCACATAAAGAAATCCAAAGGTGATAAATCTGGCGATCGTGGGGGCCATTCAATGGCACCTCTTCTACCAATCCATCGATCTGGAAACGTCTGATCTAAATATTGTCGAACACGTAATGCGTAATGTGGTGGGGCACCATCCTGTTGGAACAACAACCTATTCGCAATGTACCACCGATCATTCTGATTTTCAATTATGGCTGTTAATGCAGGATCTATGGCGTTTTCCAGTAATTCCAAATACATTTCACCGGTCAAATTTCCAGGTAAGAAAAAAGGACCAACTAAATCATCGCCAAAAATACCAGTCCAAACATTTAATTTCGGGAAACTGGGCCAGTCGCCAATAAAAAACGCAACACTGAAAATCCCGTAAGGAACGAAGCAATAGAAGTGGGGGTTTTAGGGCAAGTTTATGTAGATCCTACGTTAAGTACCCGCAAATTGGAGACTGTGTGTGGTGTTAGTCGACGTACTGTCCAACGGATTCTAAAGGCCCATAGTTTTCTTCCGTATAAAATTCACCTGGTACAAGAACTTAATGAAGACGATTTTGATCGGCGATTACAATTTTGTGAAGATATGAGTGAACGAATTATAAACGATGAACAGTTTCTATTCAACACTTGCTTTTCCGACGAATGTTCATTTTTCTTAAATGGCGTAGTAAATCGTCATAACTGCCGATATTGGTACGATTCTAATCCCAGAATTTATCATGAGGTTCATACACAGCAGCCACAAAAATTAAATGTTTGGGCTGGTATTTTTGGCGATCATTTAGTTGGTCCTTTTTTCTTACCTGGAAATTTGACCGGTGAAATGTATTTGGAATTACTGGAAGACGCCATAGATCCTGCATTAACAGCCATAATTGAAAATCAGAATGATCGGCGGTACATTGCGAATAGGTTGATGTTCAAACAGGATGGTGCCCCACCACATTACGCATTACGTGTTCGACTATATTTAGATCAGACGTTTCCAGATCGATGGATTGGTAGAAGAGGTGCCATTGAATGACCCCCAAGATCGCCAGATTTATCACCTTCGGATTTCTTTAGGTGGGGTCATTTAAAAAGCAAAATCTATGCTACTCAGCCAACATCATTAGAAGACCTGCGACAAAGAATTGTGAATGAGTGCCTTCCAATTACTCCTCAAATATTGCAGAATGTGTAGCAACGTTTTGACCAAAATCTTTATTATTGCATGGAGAGTCATGGTGGACATTTTCAACATTTACTTGCCTAACGGGTCAGTTCATTCTTCATTTTTAAATTACTTTGCTGCCAAATGTATTGATCTCCACTAATGATGATGTATTAGTTTTATTTAAGCTTTAAATCAATAAATCTTCAAAACTACTGAACTGAAGTACATTACTTTTATATCATTATAAAGGGAATTGAAATACCTTTAAAATAAGGTATCACTCGACCTCCTTTCTATTTCAGATTTTGAGGGTGGTGTCACCCCCGCTTAGGGGGCTCCACGTGCTAACGTGATTTTTTGACAAACTTCTGTCCCCCTCGAAAACAAAATCGACGGGTCTGACCGTTTTTCAAAAAAAAAAACTGAGCTGCCAGTATATGCGTCTGTTTCGTTTTCGATGCGCCACCCTGTATATATATATTGGCTATCACGTCTAAACCACAAAATGGAGAGATGTAAAAATCTGTACACTCACTGATTGATACCCCATGTTATAGGCAGCTGTTACACGCAAACTTCTGACCACGTTTTGTATCTTTGATGGGGTTAGATTATTGACAGAAAATTTGCATGCTTAGGGAATTTGGCTACTTTATTAGCGACGCAACCTACACGTTCCGCGGGTAAATCCGCAGGACAGAAAGCTAGTAGTTCCATATAATTGCTCTGAATGTAGCGAATCAAATAAATCGCATTCTTTCAATGTGGGCATAGCAAAAAATTTATATAATTTGACTATGCTATAATTCCGACTGAACACTGATAGACCCCACCTCCTTTTCGTGCCCGCACCGCCACAAGCAAATAGGTGCATCCAGACGAGCTGCCCAAGTCGCCTTTTCGGTTTAATCGCTCTTAAACGACCGTCAATAAAAAATAGAAACAGATACCATAACTTTGTTGTGAACTATAACACATGACCTCTCACTAGATTTTTGAAATGTTCCAAGATGACGCCCATTTTTCCAAGGTTACCACCTGTCAAATAATGACATAACACATATCACAATATTCTTCTAACTATAAAAGCTATTTGTAGTTGAGAAATCATTTATAAACTCCTAAATATCTTTAGATTGTGGAAATTCTTCATCTCCCAAGACAATTAGTTGAAAATGCTTAGGCCTGTTATATTTGGAGACCTCAGATAATTTGATGTACTGTAAATAATAGACAAAGATATCATACCTTTTTTGTTTCCTTTTTGAAAGATACAACTTTTCTCTATACTTCACCAAGAAGTCTTCTACATCTCTATCAGCTCCATCTGTGTAGAATTTATGTTTCTCATGCCATTTTTTGTTCATGTGTTTTGGGATTGGATATTCAGACATCCTAAAAAAAAAAAAAATTCAATGCACTGTTACCAAACATACTTGCAGCATGCTGGTAACCTAAATGTTGTGGAGCCAAAGAGGAAGAGATAGGTTGCTTGGAACCAAATCAACAATGGATTTGCGATCTACACACATTCAAAAAAGTGAGATTTTGGAAAAATATTTACTGGCAGTCAAAATATTATTGTTCTTCATAGGACAACTTTCCATCTTCATATCCTGTAGTTTGGTACACAATTTTTGATACTGTATTTAAATATGACTCTTAATAATTGTTTTTATAGTATTGGCAGGGATAAATAACAAGAAAATATGGGTGAATATAGATTATTTGGGATTTCAACGTTCTGTCAAAAAAATAAAGCAAATCAAATTATGGAAATAAACCATCCTAATAGTGTAAAATACCATGCTTCATTTGAACCATATGAAATTAAATTTACCATCCAGATTTAGATGCAATATGCTTGAAAATTAACAAAATGTATACTCCCCTAGCATGCTCCATTCCCAACTTACACTGCAAACATCTGTATATGTATCTGACAATCATAAACATATACTGTTTGTATCGCATTATAATGCATAAAAAATACCTTCTTAGAGGTTCCTGAACATTGTGTCACCCTCACCTTGCACAATTCATATGGGACATGTAAATGTGACAATCTCACGATGTGACCTTGATTAATTCATAGCAAATCAAGAAATTATAGTTTAAAACTAGGGCAATTTGTCCTACTGAAACCATATATGCATCAGTTGCTCATATTGTGTTGGCAGATACCCTGTTACCAGTAAATCCAGTATTTACGCTGGTAAGTATATGTTTGTGAATTTCAATGGTACATTACTGCAACTAGGTAAAACGCAATGATTCTTGAATACAAAAGTCATGAATCAATATACACTAATACAGTTACTGGTGTCACTTCTCTGGCAGTGATCATATGAAATTGTTTTTTCTACTCTTCTTTTTGTATCTACTTTTTTGTCATTTCTTTACAATAAAACATGTTACAAAGAATTAATTCGCGAAAATCCAGGAAAAAGACGTATAATAAGATGGAAACATATCCTGAGCTGCTTTCCAGTACTTTTGAATTGAGAGTTGTATGCACCCGGAGTGTGACGCTGCCGAACTGCTCTAGAAAATATGCGACGAGAAAAACCTAACGTGTTTTTTGATGTTTTGCTTTGACGTTGACACAATGAAAATGCAAACACATTTTGCCTTTATTTTCAGAAGCATTGTCAAACTATCCAATTGATGCCTGATCATGCTTTTAGAATGATGGTGCAACACGCCACAGGTCTGCATTTTTATTGTAAAGCGTTTGGACAAATGTGTCGGATTCATATTTTAGTGAAGACATTCAATATTATTTTCCTAAGTGTCTAGTTATAGATGAAGCCCACTACAAGTCGCTATGAACCTGCATTCTTGCACTCTCTTGTGATTTTTATTACTCAGGAACATCTGAAATGTACGTTGTGACTAAGGGTCATAACATTACCAGTTTTTTACCATCCTTCATTGTCTGGTATCGGTTTAATGTGAGATTAATGCAAAAAAACGTTGAAAATACATAGACTAACAATCTTGACACATTGTCATTTTCGTTATCCCCACTATTTCGGAGCGTATAATACCGAATAAAAAGGTGGTGGATGAGAGGGCAGCGGATTTCAAAAATGAGTAGCTCAGGTCCGTGACACTCTGGAGTTGGAACGAGACGAGTATTATTCATTCCTCCATAGATGGACGCTTTGGATCGCGCTCACAACGATCCAACTGAGCAAACAGCTTGCACCCTAAAGCCTACCTAGTTTGCAAGATAACATCTTATAGGTTTTTTTAACGTTTTATACGTTTTTACATAATACAGTGCCGGTCCGCACGGGTATCACGTATCTTGAAAAGTGACATTATGCCGATTTTTTTTGACATTATGCTGTTTTTTTGACATTATGTAGGTTATTCTACAAGATGTTAACCTAGCACTTAGTTGTACGTGTTGCCTAAACGTCATGAGGCTTGTTATCAATCTTTGGCTCTGATGTGATGTAAAATCTGCTTCTGAGATGGCATTACTGGAAGTCTAAGCTGTAAGTTGTATGTTGATGATAATTACATTGGGTTCTTGTCTCAAATACACTTAATTAAGATTCAAAGCTATAAATTAGTTGCGCATCCACTTTTTCTTATCCATTCTGGAAATTACATATACAAATTTGCTGAATTTCAAAAATGAGAGCGTTAAGAAATAATTATATTCACTGTACACTATCGAATTACAAGCCATATATAGTACATGCTAACAATAATTACACACAACGCGGATGCGGTGATGATTTCCCGTAATTCTCCTCAGTTTTTCGTAATTTATAACTTTGAACATAACTTCTCTTCAGAGATCACAACATATAAATAACCCGTCATATTCAGTAATGAGTTTCTCACACAGCAAATATCACTGATTTTATACACATGCAGACCAATAGACATAATGATCCAGATGCGATCTTGCTATTCAACCAACTTTCTTCTCAGAGATAAAAACTACAGACCCGGATCACTCAGCCTGACAAAACTATGCAACCAATAATGTGTAGTTTAGTTGAGTGATTCCTCCATAGATGGACGTTAACAATGATCCTAGTAGCAAACGTGGAATGACTGTTTGCGCCCTAAAAACTACCTAGCCTGCAAGTAGACATCTTAAAGTTTTTTTTTACTTTTTTAGGTTTTTTACATGAACACTGGTCATGGAATGCAAGGCTCAACACATCTAGCGGTGTTCGCTTGTATAATTATGTCATACAACATGGATGCCTCATACACCCCACTGAGGAGCTGTTAACACCAAACGTGATTGATTATGCTATATCCAGAAATTGCTACTTTAATATTAATTCTCGAGTCCTGTATGACATTCAGAGTGACCATCTTCCAGTCATCTTAGAGGTAGGAACCGAACAAAACTAAGCAGAATCTCCTCCGTCACAGCGCATTGATTGGGAACTCTGTAAGTCTATACTTGCTACCTTTCCCAATATTCCGGTTATAGGTATTGAGGGCCAAATTATATTCTGCTTTGTCGGAGTGGACAAGGGTCGTGCAAGAAGCACTTGCAAGAGCAGCTACCTTAAGAAGAAGGTGCCCCGACTCCTTTTCTCCCTGCTGATATTCAACAAAAGATCAGGGATAAAAGATCAGCCATTAAGATCGCTAAATGCACTCGTCGCCCTGAAGCCATTAGAAGGGTCACGAATCTTGCCCGTTCCGTTAGGGACGCTTTATTTGAATTCAGAAATGAAGAACGGAATAGCTTCCTCGAAGGAATGTAAACTACTCAATCTCTCTTTGGCGCGTTGCAAGGTTTTTAAGAAATGATAAGAGAGAACAACTGCCACCAATTTACGGTCCTGGTGGCATGATTTTTACCAGCGAGGAGAAAGCGGCAGTTTTTGTATTAACCATGGAGAGACAGTTCTCTCCGAATTACGACTTGGATAACGACCTTGATGAAAAAGAACACATTCAAAGATTTGTTAGGAATATTTCAGAGCCAACGGGGCACAAGTAGCAGCGTAGAACCCGTCATAGAAGTTCCGCATTGCACTCCTGCGGAAATTCACGGTCATATCAAACACCTTAAGGTACGCAAAGCACCGGGAAGGGATCACCAACAAGGCATTGAAACTTTTGTCTCCGAGGGCTTTGACATATCTCCTAACAATAATTAATGCGATGCTTAGGCTCCCATATTTTCCAAGAGACGGGAAAATCGCTGAAGTTGCGATGATCTCGAAAAAGGCGGGATTCATTTTTTCACAGGATATAAGTCTATTGTCTTCTCCGTCTAAATTGGCCAAAAAGATTATTCATACTCATCTAGAGAATTACTGTTTTGATCTCCAAGCAATTCCCGATGTACAATTCGGATTTCGCGCCGAGCACAGTACTGCGCAACAGGTAATGATACTTGTGGAGACTATAACCTCTGGATTCACTCAAAATCAAAATAGTGGAGTTCTTTTTTGGATATTTCAACGGGGTGTAAGGTGTATTGTCGCGCAAGATATAGCCTCTCATACACAACTGCCAACCTCACCTTCTCGGTGGTGCACCCCGTTGTTATTATACAGGGTGGTCCATAAGTCCTTTGAAATTTCAAATTTGAATAAAATTTAACGGGTGAGCGTGAGCGGCACGGGCGAGGTGGGGGCAGTATCTTCAGTATCTGGGAATTCAGTCGCCATGGAGTGTTTCATTGGAGCGGATCGTGCTTTTTGTGTGCGCGCGTTTTATCAAAATAATGATTCGGCAACCATTGCGCTGCGTAAATATCGAGAATACCACAATTTACACAATTTTACAAAGTGTCCAACAGCTCAAACGATTAAGAACTGGGTTGCTAAGTTCGAAGAGACTGGTTCGACGTTAGATAAACAGCGGTGGGGTCGACCAAGGACAACTCGTATTGAAGAAAATATCAACATTGTGGCACAGTCTGTTCGTCAAAATCCTACCCAGTCTACTCGTAAGCGTTCCACTGCACTAAACGTACCCAGAACATCTTTACAGCGGATTTTAAGGAAAGATTTACGTCTGCACGCTTACAAAATTCAGTTAGTGCAGGAATTAAAAGATAATGACGCTTTGCAGAGACTAAACTTTGCGAATGAAATGTTGAATCGATTTTCTTCGCTCAATAATGTGTTGTTCTCGGACGAGGCTCACTTCCATTTAAACGGGCATGTAAATAAACAAAATTGCCGTTATTGGAGCCCCGAAAATCCAAGGCGTAAGCATCAGAAGCCCTTACACAGCCCTAAAGTTACAGTTTGGGCTGCTATGTCAGCGCATGGCATCGTAGGCCCTTATTTTTTTGAGGACGACAGAGGTCGCGCATTAACTGTTACTTCGGAGCGGTATGTAGCAATGATAGAAGAGTTTTTGACACCAGCGTTGCAGAATTTTCCAGGCTATAATACGCAGACCTGGTTTCAACAGGACGGAGCAACTGCCCACACCTCCAACACTTCTATGCCCGTCGTCTGTCAACTTTTTCCCAGCAAAGTAATTTCTCGAAGAGGAGACATTTCCTGGCCACCACATACTCCAGATTTGACCCCAATGGACTTCTTTTTATGGGGCTACCTCAAGAGTAAAGTGTACGACACCACTCCGCGATCAGTTGATGTCCTGAAAGAAAATATCCGAAGAGAAATGGCAAGCATTACAGTGTTGACTTGCCGCGCAGTCATCGACAATTTTAGACGTCGTTTATATGAGTGCCGTGATCGTAATGGATTGCATTTAGACGATGTGATTTTTAAAACATAATTCCCATTCAATAAAGATGATAACAAAATATAATAATTCTTCATAATGTAACTAGTTTGGTTTTATTCCTTTTTTTCCAGCTCAAAGGACTTATGGGCCACCCTGTATAACTGACGAGGAAATGGCGACCGACGACTACCGGTATAAGTAGTCAGGTCTCTCCGGGATGACTGACCAAAATAGGGTAAACAATCCCGATGGCGGGAATCATCCTGCGAGAGGGTTTTGCTAGCGTCTGTCCCAAGGTGGGCGGCTCTCAAGGGATAGACCGGGCTCCTTGAGCCGTGGCGAATGCAGCCGGTCTAGGGGCGCTGACCCGAACAAGACAGAACGACCCCAAGGGGGCCACTTCAGGTCTATTTAACATCATCAAGACGCAAAAAGCAGGTGGTGGACAAGGACCAGTCAACCGAGGCGGTACCACCCGCTAGCTTATCCCAGGGTGTCTTATAAGTGTCCGCATGTTTCCACACCTAAGCTATGCAGTCGGTTATCTTCCCCAACAAAGAAATTAATGATGATGGATCCCTCTAGTACTAAGAATTCCGGACGTAAACTCACTCCACTCTCGGAATATCTGGGTGGATGGTGGACTCGAGGGAACAACATCGAAGATAAAATTTGTTTCACGAACATCTGCGGGATTAACAGCAACATTGATGCTGTTCATCACTTCGTCCCGCCATGCTTTTCTTGACGGAGACAAAAATCTCAGAGTCTGCACCGATTAACCATCTTAGCTTCCCAAATTACGAGGTGCACTCCAATCTGAGAATAAACGGAGGAGTTGTGGCTTTTGTCCGCAGCTGTCTTTCCTGCTCCAGAGATGTCTCTTCGGAATCAGACCGGAAGGATATTCTGTGGCTTCGCCTCAACTCCAAAATATCCCCCAAATTTATTTGCTGCCTTTATCGCTCTCCCTCGGACCATAAATGGGATGGCCTACTTGAATACCTCGCCGTCAAGATCGACTTCCTGAACATCAATCACCCCGTTTCAGAGGTACTTCTCCTCGGTGATTTCAATGCCCATAATGAGCTTTGGTTGGGTTCAAACAAGACCGATGCACCAGGTCGTGCAGTTGAAGTGTTCGCTCTTACTCAAGGGCTGACCCAGCTAGTGACTAGCCCTACTTTTCTCCCCGCGTCACAGGGTAATGTCGCAGCACAAAGGCTGTTGATCGTTTTGGACGCTGACCAAGCAGAATGAAAAGAACTTCTCACACAGTAGCATTCCAACCACTTACGTGTCAGGATGGAATGATTGTAACCGACTCAAAGGCCAAGGCAGAAGTGCTTGCCAAGATCTTTGCTGCCAACTCCACCATGGATATCCCCCCAAAGCGCAAGTGCCGTCGATCCAAAGGGTTCCCCCTACACTATGCGGGAAGTAACATTCAGGCATAAGACCGTAAGACAGGTGTTCTTGTCGCTCAACATCAACAAAGCTTCTGGTCCGGACTTGATTCTTGCCATTGGGGTGTGCAGCGGAGCTGGTTCTAGTTCTTTCGAATCTCTTCCAGATATCTTATGAATCCGGCACCTTCCCAGAAAACTGGAAATTTGCTCATGTCCAAACTACCAAAAAAAAAAAAGGATCTAAGACCAACCCTCAAAACTATAGGCCTATGCTTTCCGTTATAAGTAAGGTGATGGAGAGGTGCATAAATCGCGAGCTTCTGGACTACCTTGAACGTCACGTCTTGATTAGCGATAGCAATATGGTTTCCGGCATCAGCGATCCACAGGAGACCTCCTAGCTTACGTTACGCAATTGTGGAGTAAACTCATCCAGTCTATTGCTCTTGATATCACGAAAGCTTTCGATCAACTGTGGCACGCTGCCCTCCTTTACATACTTCCATCCTATGGCCTCCCAGAAAAGCTTTGCAGATGGGTGGCTGACTTTCTCTCTGGTCGCAAGATATCCATCATAAATGGATTCTCCTCTTCATCCCACAACGTCAACGCGGATGTTCCCAGAGATCGGTTTTGGCACCGACACAGTTCCTCTTACATACAACGACCTCCTTTCATGTATGATGAATCCAATCCATGATGACAGCACTCTACATGAAGACTAATGGACGGGTTCTTCTCTTCATCCCACAATGTCAACGTGGGTGTTCCCCAGGGATCGGTCTTGGCTCCGACACTGTTCCTCTTACATATCAACGACCTCCTTTCCTGAACGATCAACCCAATCCACAGCTTCGCTGATGACAGTACTCTACATGCAGTTATTCGGAGTGACAGGACAATCTCTGGCGCTGAGCTGGAAAAAAGAAGAACGGCGACGACTTCCTCTCTGACGAGAGACCTGGAGGTTATCACTACTTGGGGACGCAACAATCTTCTACAGTTTGATGCTTCCAAAACACAGTACTGTTCCTTGACGAACAAAAAGCGCACTAGCGCTCAACCGGTTTCGATGGAAGGCCGAGTTCTGCCAAAGAACCGTTCATTTCGGCTGGAGGAGGATTTGATCTGGCACGAACACATCTCGTCAATAGCGACACCTGCTGGGAAAAATGTAGGCTATTTGTTTAGGGCTAAGAAGTACTTTCGTCTGTCTGTATGACATTCTCACGCTATACAAGACTCAGATAAGACCTAGCCTCGAGTATTGGTCACATGTTTGGGATGCTGCCGCCCCATCTAGATTATTTATGCTCGATGCTGTTCAGAGGAGGCCTGTCCGACTAATCAATGACTCTTCTCTAACAGTCTCGGGACTCATTCGCACCGGCGGGCTGTCGGCGATCTAGCTCTCTTCTACCGCTACACCAATGGGCTTTGCTCGTCCGAGGTCTCTTTCATGATGCCGCCGCGCGATGTGCCTGCCAGACAGACCCGCCTGATTTTGGCCTCGCATCCTAACCGAGTCGAGCTTCGTACGACAAGAACTGGCCGATACGACCGCTCTTTTGTCCCGAGGGTGTCACAAGACAAGACGAAGCTTTTCCCAGTTATATTAACCTTGGGCAGTTCAAAAATCAGATTAATAAAATTTCTTTGGGGCGCTCATAGCAGCCGCGGTGCTTCGGCATTTAAGCTTCTGCCTGCGAGGCTGCTTCAGTATAAAAAAATGCTTTTGATGGCTGCTTTATATATTGATCAATAAGGGATTTTCCTCTAGGGTGTCAAAATTGCATAAATCCTTCTTGGAAGGAGGAAAGTACAGGATCAATATTAAGGATACTTATTCTAGATATTATCCTATGGGTGTCCCCCAGGGCTCGGTCCTGGCTTCTAGTTTCTATTCTTTATATACTTATGAATCCCTTGTCCCACCCACTGTGAGGTACTTCTTTATGCGGATGACATGACTCTGGTAGTCTCTTCACACTCGCCTGATTGGGTGAGTGAGAGACTACCCATGGTACATCTCCAATAACACCATTCACAGAGACCTGCAAATATGTATGATCTTTGAGCAGATCAAGTTACTGGCTAGGAGGTGTTATGAAAGAGCAGACCCTTTATTGCATGCCCCTGTGGACTATACTTTGGCTCAAGTACCAAAACATAGAAGACCCCATCTGGCTCTCTAACTTATAAATCTTTTTACAATACTCTAACCAAATCAAGCACCTTTCGATCATATTGCCCTGTTTTCTCTCCTTTCTCCTTTTCTTCGTCTTCCTCTATCTTATAAAAAAAATTCCCCTGAGTGGGCTCAGGAAGATTTTGAAGAAAGAAAACAGCATTCTGCCAGTCACGAGCGAACGTCCTTTAGACCACTCAAATAACAATCAAAGAGACGAAAAAGAATGAAAGCAACAGCTGCACCCACTATCAAAAAATGTTCTAGCTTCTACCCATAAAAGCTGTCTAAATCAAAATGTTATCTGTTGCCATCATATATGCATCACATATAATATAGTCTAGTGATATAATGAAACAAAATAAGGCCATATACTCACTTATAATAATATCTAATTCCAAAGTAACCAGTTTCCATCTTTCCAGGTCTTTCACCTGTCTCCCCAGTCTCAAGCATATGATATGCTTTATTCCTTTCCCTAACCACAGACTCTAAATTTTCCATGGACTCTTCTACTTTATCCAGTCGTTCAGGGCTTGGAAAAAGCCTGACTCTATCTTTAGCCTCCTGCTCCATAGTCAGCAGCATATTCCGTTCTTTCAAAAGAACATACCATAATTGATGCAAGTCCGTGTTTGATTTCAGTCTGAGTTCTTCTATTTTCCATGATCTGCCGCTTTTTACTTCTTGTGCGCCCCAGTTTTTCTCGTCGTCGAAAAATTCCATCAGACTGCTTTTGGGGGCCGAAGTGGTTTTTGCGCGAGAACTGAAAACAGGTTATCTAAAGTTATTTGAATTGATGTTTTAATTCTCATCCTTACCTAATCCATTTAGACGCATGGTTTGCAGATAAATTATGTAGGGTTTTTATAATATTTGATATTTTCGTCAGTGACATTTTGAAAAGTTAGATCACTCCACAAAACATATACAACACAAAACATATACAATATACAATACACTAAAGAAGGTTTAATTCGTAGAATTCCATGATTTTCAAGTGCAACACGATTGACTTATGCCAATGTCAAGCGCCATTTTTGATGGTGCGTTATGGTTGCCAGATTGGGCATTAACCCTTAACAAGAAACATACACGGTACACAAAAGGAAACATACCGATTTATTATATAAATCTAATACATGTTTCTACAAACAAATCAGTATTAACATCATTATGGTTCAGATGTTTTCATTCCTCAGCCTCTGTTGGCACCTGCGTTATTCAAAAATTAGGAAAATATTGAATTTTGTAGATATGTTACTATATTTCACAGATTTCATGCTAAATACGCAACTTTAAGATCCAAGCGGATTCTCAGAAGAGGCCACGGCCCCCTAATACATCCCAGTGAGCGCCCATGTTATAGTCCAGAAGAGGTGCCACACACAATTTTTACACTTTTATTATTTTTTATTTTTAAGCATCTAATAATTTTTTCACAGTAAAGGTAGTATCAGACACAGCTACTTTTACTGTGCAGTTTGCTGTAGCTACCTCCAAAAGTTGCAGGTCGAGAATATAGCTGCGCGGGTGTTCAGACCGAAGCGCTACTTTTGCAGCATTCGTTTGCAGCCGCAGTTTTCCTTGTAGGGCACAGACTATTCTTGGCGTAGTGAAGATTGTGAAGAAGGAAAGCAATTGATCCTGTAGTGCAAGCAGCGGCATGTTTATACTCGTATGTGATTTTGGCAGAAAGGCAAAGACGTAGACAAGACAAGAAAAACAGAATCTGGGTAAAAGACTGGATAAGGAAGCGCGAACAATACGGGACAGTTAATAACTTTTATTGACTGAACTGCGCGAACAAGACGAGTGGCACTATAAAATTTTTTGCGAATGGAAAAATCGGATTTTGATTATCTCTTAGAAAAAGTGACTCAACGAATTAGGAAACAGGATGCTCGAATGAGACAAGCTATTACACCAAAGGAGTGTATAATTATAGCTTTACGATATTTGGCAACAGGTAAGTTAATTTTCAGATATTAAGTATAGTACAGGGTCCGGCAATGAAACGGGAAGATTTGGGGTGGGGCTTGCAGCGGGCGGTGAAGTGGTAGGGAGGACAGTCACAGACCTGTCGGGACCCGAGTGGCTTGCCATATCTCTGCTTGCCATTTAGTCTACAATGGAGCGTTGGACGGGTGAGCATCGCGGTTACGCAATTAAGGCTTATTACCAAAATGGCGAGAGTTCAGTGCAAACGCGTCGAGATTTTAGACGGCATTTTAACATACCGCGTAACCAACCGGTTCCGTCAGACCATTCGATTCGAATGTGGCTAATCAACCTAGAGCAAACTGGATCGACGTCTAGAGAAAGAGGTGGTAGTGCCAGAACGATTCGAACCCCTGAAAATATTGAACGTGTTCGACAAGCCATTTTAAGAAGTCCACGTCGATCGGCCATCCGTCACGCCACACGCCTTCGATTAAGTGACAGATCGGTGAGAAGGATTCTCCATCAAGATCTTCGATATCACCCGTATAAAATACAGGTTGTTCAATCTCTCTCACCCGGATGATTATCAACAGCGTCTCAGATTTTGTGAGGTTATGCTTGCAAGGCTGGAAGAAATTGATGACCAGGTTAACAACTTGTGGATGAGCGATGAGGCACATTTTCACCTCTCCGGTTTTGTTAACAGACAAAATTTTAGATACTGGGCGGAGGCTAACCCTCGTATGCTTCATGAATCACCTCTTCATGCTCAGAAAGTGACAGTGTGGTGTGCAACGTCTGCAAATGGAATCATCGGTCCGTATTTTTTTGAGGATGAGGCTGAAAATGCCGTTAATTCTGAGAGATACGTTTCAATGATTCGGAACTTCCTCACACCTGAACTCTACCGCTTTCCAGTTAATGAACACACACTTTTTCAACAAGACGGTGCAACAAGCCACACTGCAAGAATTTCGATGAATGCGGTGAATGCTTTGTTCCCAGGGCATGTCGTTTCTCGAAAAGGGGATATTGCTTGGCCCCCTCCGTCTCCCGACCTTACTTCTGCGACTCCTTTTCATGGGGTTATCTGAAAATGAAAGTGATTGAAACTGATCCACCCATGACAATCCCGGCCCTCAAACAACGAATTCGTGACGAGATTGCAGCAATACCTGTTGATATGCTGCGAAGAGTTATGCAGAACTTCCAGGCTCGACTCCATGAATGCATACGTGTCAACGGAGGCCATTTGACAGATGTGATTTTCAAAAAATAATGTTTTTTAACATTGTATATCAAATGGCTACTCTTTTATTTCCCAGTATGGTATTACTAATTACAAAAAAAAATATTTTTTCGATAATAAAATTATTTACGAAATCTTCCCGTTTCATTGCCGAACCCTGTATTTCCAATTGGCATTGCTACAGGGCGAGAAAGTTCAGAGCTGCAAAAATATGTTAAATCACATATAAACAAGTAAGAAATCATAAAAATGCATGATGGAATATCGAAGCGTAAATGAGTCATCAAAATACTTGTTATGGTTTCTTCACGTTATTGCTATAATAATCGTCTCGAAACAATTGGTCACCTGTAATTTTTTATGTATGTCTATGATGAGAGATTCAGCAGTCTTTAAGCCACTTTCACACGTTGGGCTAACATACGCCCATTTTTTTGGTGCGACTGACTTGATTCGTGCTTGTTTTCTTCCCAAAAAAACTGTAAAGGTTATTATATCTACTCTAAAAGGAGCTCTATCAATAAAATCACATCAGCTATTTTCCATGCTCTCTGATTCCACTATCCTCACAAAAACTGCACCGGCTGCCGCTGCAAAAGTTTCAACTGATTTGATATCTTTTGCTCCACGTGCAACCTACAAATATCGCTTGGCTACATCTAAACTGCACGCAGCAAGAAAATACTGCGCGTAATCAGAGTTGCACACGCAACTTTTCAGGTTGCGGGTGTTCAGATTTATTGCCTCAGGCTGCGTAGGTTTCTACTATGCTGCGCAGCAAAAGTAGCTGTGTCTGCTACTAGCCTAACAGCATTCTCATCGAATACATGCCTTATACAAGATTCAAAATAACTCGTGTGTTTTGTTAACTTAAATCTATATTTTATGTTGGCTAGAAATTATCAAAATATATCTCAATGTCAATTGTTTATTTTCATTCTCAGTAAATTGTCTTACAAAATTTTGATTTCAATTTATTGTTACCGGTATCTCTATAAGTTGTTAATATTGACACTATCAAATAAATCCAAAATAATGACCAATAAATTGATGTACATCTCAGCCGTTTTCGATCTTCAGCATAGCTCCGATTTCATTAAGATTAGCGTGAGCTCTGCATATCAACCCTGCTGTTCTGAAAATAGCTGATTTAAAACGAATTATGTAAACTAGCTTGAATAAAGAGCAGTACAAATCATCAATGGCAATTGAATCATATAAAAACTTACAAACGTTATGATCTGCAATCTGCAAATATCATCCTTCAAAGGTGTGCCTTTTGGTTGGATCACGTTCAGTTTTCATTCAAATTGTTTATAACCGATTTGATGTGCCGTCAAACGTTATTCGCTTGACATTTGTCAGTGTCTAGTATAGTGGTATGAATATCTAGTAGAGGCGTCGTGATGTAGTAGAGAGGAGAAAGGGTGGCATTTTCTTTTAAAATTAGGTAAAATAAATGCTGTGTACTTTTATCGTGATCAACCTTTTCGCACGCCATAGAAAATGTAAAAGTATGCAAATAGGCAATATCGGTATAAGTATGACTCTATATATTTTTTTACATTATTTCGACAAAATTTTAGAAACAATATTGAAACATCCGAAATTTGTTTGTGATAGTATGCTCAAGTATTTAATACGCGGTCAAGGTAGGTACCTCTTGGAGCCGCAGATGCTGCTCATAAAATTAAATGGGCTAACTCACAGTTTTTATATTTATCAAATTACTGTTGAAAGTAGATGCTCATTTCATCAACAGTGAAGCCATTTTTGCATAGTTTGTATTATATCAGCATAAATCAAAGGTTTTCAAATCAATGCCATTTCAATAATATTTTCAACAAATGAAATCAAATAGAATTTAAATAAAACCATTGTGATCAAGCATTTTTTAATACGGAATCATGCTAATATCGTTTCTCAGTATGTATCTGGAAAAGTGTTATTTTATCAAAAGAATTACTAACGTCGATCAAGATTAGCTAGCTGTCGTTTGAGGAAAACGTAGAATCTGTCTACAAGAGTGTCAAGGTTACTCTATTTACTCATTATGTAAAAAATAATATTGCTTTTACAAGAAGAAGGAATGTTACGTAAAAAAACAATAATACTTTTACAAGAAGAATGAACGTTTGGGAAATTTTATTTGTTCCCAAAGCCCCACCGCTTTACGTTGTCGCTAAATCAACGATTGGTTCTAGTTTACTCAAAAACTCGCAATTCATTTATCTTCAATTCAAATAATCACTGTTCAGCATTCTCGAAATTTTTGTCGCTCTCCGAATTTTTTTCGGGTTTCTTGCGTCTACTGTGTTTTACTGAAATCAAATATGCAGTCAGTTTCTTCCCATCACCCACAAATTTTGGAGAAGGGAGAATATAAAATATGAAAATCCCAAATTACAAGCGAATTTTCAAAAATTAAAAAAATATAAAATCCACTTTTTTAGAAAACATACTTCTTATTGTATAAAAACAACACTCAAACAATTTTTTTCTTTTCTCCTTTCTCGAAAGTTTAGTTTTAAAATTTTGGTCCTCAAAAAGTTCTCGTATTTGAGTTCCAACGAAAATTCCTTCTTTAAGTTTTGCTTCACTTATACACGGGAATTTCCGTTTCAAATAAACAAATGCATTTCCTTCTCTATCTAAGGCTTTCACGAAAATTTGTATAAGCCCTAGTTTTATGTGCAGAGGATGCAAATGAGCTATCTGCTGATCTACTAAGGGTTCATTAAGGCGATGGGCGCAACGTTCTCACGTAACGGCCAATGTTTAACTAAATAGTTGTGCTGCCCCATTCACATAAAAAACAACAATACTTTGTGAAGCCACTCAGCAGTCATGTGAGCAATGAAATAACTTTGAGATCGGCACAGATATTACACTTATGATCTTCGTATTTTATGGTTTGTAGTAATATGAGCATGTTCTGGTATGTTTCTTTCATATTTACAGCATGACCAATGGTAACTAATGGCCGTTCGTTTCCATTGAACAACAAAACTGCCTTTAGACTTGTGTTCGAAGAGTCAATAAATAGTCGAAACTCGGTAGGTACATAGGAAATGCCATGTTCATTCAGTAAACCTGGAATATCAATCAAGCGGAATCGCACAGCAACCCTTTGGTGCGTGATTCAGTAGACTACACAGTCGAGCAAATTTGCACATTCCAGGCCGCGCCTCGCACTGAGATCAAAATTAAATTGTAAATTCAGACCAGCCAAAACTATTTCAGTATACAAAACCGATCAAAATTATTTTTTGCAGTTACAAAATAATTCGAGTAGTCAAAGCAATAATGCTTAAGCTATTTCAAATGATTTACTTCTTTTCTTTGCTCTATTTCTTCCTTCCTTTCTTTCCTTCTTTCCCTTTTCCCCTTAAACATGTTTGGTATCTGGGTAGCCAGACCTGACAGACTAACAGACCGACGAGACTTTCAACTAAAAGCAAAGATCCACCGGACCGCTCTGACGAATAGTACCTGGAATATCATGACAGTAAACTAAGTCATTGTCATTTTTTTGATAGATCTAAATCACGAACTAGATCATTGAACTCTTCCTGAGATATAAAATGTGGCTGTTTGCTGCTATACTACATTCGAAAACGACTTCCTCTTCATAACTTGGACTGGCTTCTGGCTCCTGTGTGTCAGAATTATCTGGTTCATCATATTTCTTTGGAGGCTTGGGAACAGGTGTATGCTAGAAGAGTCATGAGGTACAGGTCTACTGGATGAGGGCAACTTTGAACCCGAAATATAACTCGTTGGCTTTACCTACAATTGGGCTCAAGGTCTTTCGCTGAGCTTTAAATGTCACCCTACCACAAATATAACAGAAACTGTTTGGATGGTTCACACAGGATCGCAACGGCATTGCTTCGCTCATATATATCCACTACTGAATACTGTAACGCTGATCTTCCGACAAGTGGCTAGCTGCTTATATACCCCTTTAGAACATCTGGTATTTTCTAGAAACAGCGGGAATCAAGAGATCGTAAACGATTTTTGTATACAGGGACCATTCAATAAGTAACTGTCCGACGACTGTAGGGTACGGTGAAATCAGGAAGTACATGGGATTCAATGGGTATCTCCTTTACTTGAAGCCTAGGGGGTTGAGACTTCGTACTTCGTAGACACATTCCCAGATATCCCCCCATGCGGTGTTGCCAGATTGTACATTCTTTCCCTAGACATTCTTACACCGGCTGAAGTTGATACTCCCTGGACTCCGTTACGTGATACGACAATTTAAAGGTCGGCGTAAGGGTTAAATATGTAGAACTTATCGATGTAACGTATTTGTTTGGCGGAGAGGATTTTCGTGCAGGACAGTGTTATTAGCATAGAAATCCTCACTATGCACCTATGCGTGGCAATTTTATTCCAGCTCAGACCTCGAATAATGCTATCTCTGAAGCAGATGTTATATCACATCAGAGTCAAACATGACAGCTAAAGCGTCATGATGTTTAGGCAACACGTTCTCGTTACAGAATGAGTACACATCAAGTGAACAACAGATAGTTCTAAGTTGACATCTCGTGGAAATACCTACATGCCACAAAAAATCTATATAATGTCACTTTTCAAGATACGTAATACCTTTGCCGGTTTCCTATTTGCTAACTTACATCTCCTATGGTGTGCGAAAATCTTTTTGATCACAATTAAAGCACACATAATGTGAAAAAGCATTTATTTTACCAAATTTAAGAACACAAATAGTAAAAAAAGGAAGTTTTGTGGATTCGAACCCACACTCTGTGGTTCTGCAACCCTTTCTCCTTTCTACTAGACCACGAGGGCTCTTGTTCTACTGGATATTTATACCACTACTACACTTGACACTGACAAATGGTAAGCGAACGTTGACGACACATCAAATCTATTATAAACAATTCGAATAATCTTGAAAACCATACAATATACAATACTGAAATTATAAAATTACGAATTAAGGAGTAATACCGAGCATTTTGCACTAATTTTTCATACGATCAGTTGTCTTCTAGAAAAAAGGTCCAGGGAGTTATATTTCTTCAAAAAGAAACTGGATTAAGTTACCATAATGCCCATAATGAGCTCAAACAAGACATGCAGCAGGTCGTGCAGTTGAAGCGTTCGCTATTATTCAGCTGGTGACGAGCCCTACTTTTTTAACCCGCGTTTCGTCACCCGCAGTAGCCTGCGGAATCTCTTTCTAACCACAAATCCTGTCTCTTCCAGCACTGCTGTCCTGAGTAACTCGACTATAGTGTTGTGGAGGTTAGGTTTCGGTCAGAACCTGCTGTGGCAGCAGAAAATCGCTCAGGCCGCAAAAGTTGGCATTACGAACATGCCGACTGGGAAGGGCTGAGATACTTCTCCACCTCTGCAAACCATGGTCCAACAAATCATGCTACTCTGCTCGTCAGCTGCAGATCAAGGTACAAAACATCACTGTGGAGAACAGACAAGCCGACGTCGAGTCTAAAAACAAATATTACGAAGGGGTCCTCAATGCCAGAGACCAGCACAATATGAAAGTTAGGTACAGTGTAATGTCGCAGTACAATAGCAGTCGGTCTTTCTGGACGCTGGCCAAGCAGATTAGAAGAAAATTCTCACACAGTAGCCTTCCACCACTGACGTGTCAGGATGGAAAGATTGTAACCTACTCAAAGGTTAAGGTGGAAGTGCTTGCCAAGACCTTTGCTGCCAACTCTACCATGGACGCCTCCCTTAACGACCGAGTATCGTCGATTCAGAAGGTTTCCTACACTATGCGGGAAGTAAGATTTAGGCTTCAGACTTCTGTTCCTTCGCGTCTCTTTCAAATATCTTTCGAATCTGGCACCTTCTTAGAAAACTGGAAATTTGCTATGTCCATCCCACCCCAAAAAAGGGATCTAAGACAGACTCTTACAACTACAGGCCTAAAGACCTGCTTTCTGTTATAAGTAAGGTTATGGAGAGGTGCATAAATCGCGAGCTTCTGGACTACCTAGAACGACACGACCTTCTAGTTTACGTCACGCAATTGTGGAGTAAACTGAGGCTCATGTCGTTCGCTCTTGATATCATGAAAACGTTCGTTCAGCTGTGCCACGCTGCCGTCTTATGCACACTTCCATCATATGGCCTCCCAGAGAATCCTTGCAGATGGGTGGTCGACTTTCTTTCTGGCCGTAAGTTATCCATCATAAATGAGTTCTTCTCTTCATCCCACAACGTCAACGCAGGTGTTCCCAGAGATCGGTTTTGGCCCCGACACAGTTCCTCTTACATACAACGACCTCCTTTCCTGTATGATCAATCCAATCCATGATGACAGCACTCTACATGAAGGCTGGCAGCGACTTCCTCTCTGACGAGAGACCTGGAGGTTATCACTACTTGCGGTCGCAACAATCTTGTACAGTTTAATGTTTCCAAATCAGTACTGTACCAGCTGCTGGGAGAAAGTTAGGCTATTTGTTTAGGGCTAACAAGTATTTTTCTCCACATGACCATCGCTCTCTATACTACGCCCAGATAAGATCTAGTCTCGAGTTTTGCTCACACGTTGGGGTGTTGCCGTCCCGACTACATTATTCATGCTCGATGACTCTTCTGTAACAGACAATCTTTCGCACCAGCGATCTAGCTCTTTTACCGCTACACCAACGGGCTTTGCTTCCAAGAGCTCTCCTCCATGAAGCCGCCGCGCAATGTACCTGCCAGACAGACCCGCGTGCCTTCGACGTCTCATCCTAACCGTGTCGAGCTTCGTATATCCAGAACTGGCTGATACGACCGCTCCTTTATCCCTAGACTGTCGAACAATCTACAACAGTAGGCTTTTCCCAGTACTACTAACCTTAGGAAAATCAAAAATCGGATTAACATTTTTTGGAACCTCATAGTAGGCTACTTAACGGACAAGGTCATGCAGCCACCAATAATATAGCCATGTAGCACATGCGACATACTAACTAGGCTAAGACAGTTTGAAACATAATTGTGTCTTCAGTTTGCGTGCTACCTTATAAACAGTTCAGTGCATTTACGTATGAACTTATTTTATTTTATAAACTTCAAGGCTCATCTGTGATGTGCAAAAAGTTTAGCTCTAAATAAACATATACACAAGAGTGTGAAGGAATCTTGAACATTTTTTTTCTTCGCAACAAAAGGTGATACACACCCGCTTTGTTTTAGAATATGTTTAATGTATGTTTTCCGAATATTGTAGCACATCTGTTCATTTACTCACAAATACGAAATGTTTGACTTTGTTTATAGAAGAAAAACGTAACCCTTTGTTCTTCGCATAAAATTAGCATTCATTCGTTTCTACCAAAAAACAAGTTTTCTCATTCTTTGTTGAATAAAAAGTGCCCCATAAAAATTGGTGTACTCATTTTATGTGTCCCTGAACAACTTGCTTGCATCAATAAAACCAAACTTTACAATTATTTCGCTAACAAAGAGAATTTTCATATAACGTGACTATTAGTGAATCTGTTAATGTTAAACTTATTTGTGATTTTGACTATTAAAGTGTCAAGCAAAAGTAAGTAATACAAAGATTACATGATGTTTTCAAATGAAACACCATTTAACAAAAAAGTTTACTTTTACAGTTTTAAATTATGATTTTCTAGATAAAGACACAACTACTAGCGTAAACATTTAATGGTGGTGTTCTGCAGCCTCTTTGCGACGAATTTCTGCCCATTTTGCGACATTCTCAGGGGAGTTAGCTGTAAATAAAAAAAGTATTGGAAAAAATTGAATGTTTGAGGTAAAATATATCGAAATCACAACCTGTTCTACTTTGAAAATATGTACGAGTATAAGTTAGTATAACATTTATTTCAACAATTTGTGCAGGATGACCTTAGGAAAAAAATTGGAGTTTTTTGATATAAATACCTAGGATCATCCTCTTAACAGGATAATCGAAATAACTGAGATTGGCTAAGATTTGTCTTTACCGATATACTGTAGATAACCTCTCACTCAAGCAAATGTCACTACTCAAGTATTGATAGTTACAGCAGATACGAGGGATGTCTTTTAAGTTTGCATATGGAAATAAAACAACACGGTAGGTAGTTTTAAATGACTTTATTGTTTTTCGAAGTATTCTCCACGTAGATTAATACATCTGCATGCGCTCGAACCAATTTTCAAAGAACTTATTCCACTCGTTTGCTGGCGGATCCAAAACGGCATTTTTGAATGCGTCAGCTGTTTCTTTTAGTGACTGGAACCTTTGACCACGCAGTCAGTTTTTAATTTTCGGTAAAGTAAAGAAATCATTAGAATTTAGATCGAGACTATATGGAGGATGGTCCAATAATTCCACGTTTTCTTCCGTTAAATACTGCCTTGTGTTTTGGGCTGGTGCGAGCTTGCATTGTCTTGGTGGAGGATGATTCTTCTTTCGGGGTTGATTTTTTGAAGCTCGGTGATGACTTTTGGCAAACAAATGGTGGTATACCAATCTGCAGTAACAGTTCTTTGCTCGTTAAGAGGAATTGTTGCAATATGACTCGCTTTTGACACAAATGTCGCGACCATCTTTTTCGAAACACTTCGAGAACGAATGACTTTCGTTGGATTTTCTTCACCTTGGAACATCCAAACAGCCGACTCTCGTTTATTTTCTGGTCCATAACAGTAAATCCACGATTCATCACCACTAACAATGCTGTACACATTTTTTGAGTTTCCGGAATTGAAACGGTCAAGCGTTTTTTGACACCTATTAACCCTGGCTGCTTTCTGCTCTTCAGTCAACAGGTGGGGTATCCAAAGAGAAACTAATTTTCTTACTCCTAATTCTTCATGTCAAATTTTTTTAATTTAGGTCTTTGGGATCTTCAAGGACACCTCAATCTCGCGATATGTCACATGCCTATCTTCAATGATGAGTTTGCGCACAGCATCGACGTTTTCTTGGGATCGTCGCTAAGACTCACCCGTCCACGTTTGAATTCTCGATACCAACGGGAAATTGTCGAATGATGTGGCGCTTCGTTGCCGAAAACAGACAGTAACTCAGCAAGGCATTCTTGTTACGATAATTGTCTCTGAAAGTTGTAATAAATTATGGCGCGAAAATGTTCTCGATTGAGTGCCATCTTTCTAATGACTTGGTGACACTTAAAAATTAACTGTAGTGAGAATACTGCACATATTTTTGTGAAACTAGGAATATAAGTTTACTAAGGAGTGAGGTTAAGATTCAGTACTGACGTTCGATCCGCACGGCGTACTATGTTTCTATATGCAAAACTTAAAAGACATCCCTCATAGTGACTTGACCCGATAAAGGATATGGTTCGTTACTTGCTGGAAAGCTGGATATCTGGCCGTCAGTTAACCGACCCGATCCAACAGGCTCGTATGTGCAATTTCCTTGTAGTGAAGATTCTTCCAGCAGTGGAGAAGAACGCCCCTAGCAAGACTTTTTCAAAATGGTTCAATAATTTCTCCCAAAAAATGCTGATGATAAAGATCTTGGCATTTAAAACACCTTGAATTAAGCAAAGTAACAATCCATATGCATTATGGGAAGTTCATAGTCAAATGTAAGTAATAGCCATGTTCTTGCAACAATTTGCAAATGGTCTGCAACCATCAAATTTAGTTAATAAATAGAAAAGGGCATATTAATCTGTGATTTACTTTGATCCCAAACCTTTATTAGTTAGTTCTTTTATATAGAAAAAGCATTTTAGTTAATATTCTTCCTTATCTTTAATATAGTTATAGCTAAGAAGCATTTGCTGTTTTACTTTTACTAAGTGAAAAAAAAAATACAAAAAGTTGGCATATGGGTGTACTCCATACAAGCTACAGTGGTCCATATCTAATCTTAAAATGAACCTGACCTCTGGCTCGAGAGACTGTTGAATTAAATACAATGCAGCCCATATGCGCATCAGTGTCGTGATAGGCCCATTGTCAAGTGGTCCCATGGAACCATTATGCCATTTACCATGTTAAGCATCATTTGATCTAGACTACTTCTTGTTTTACAGACTGTACACTCCACTTTGATGATATTTCCACTGTTCTCCGAGTCACCCTGAATATACAAGTCTTATAAGAAGTAATGTTAGGTTTACCTAGATTGCTGATTTTCTTGAACACAGGAATGCAGAGGACCACAGCGATAGCATAGTATTTCCAGATCCACTGGTTCTTGAGGTAGTACTTTAATGGAAACTGAGCAATCTTAGCTGAGAAGGTGTAGGGGAATTTCATGGGTCTGCTAACAGCTTTATCGTCTGCCATGGCCTTTGGTCCTAGGAAATGCGGAAATGATAAACTTTTGGGAACATATTCTTCCCTTAGATATGTGAGAAACATTTTTGCCCGTTCCATCTCAAGGCTTGACTTGAATCTTTGGCTTTTTAAAGCTTGGACGTTTCAGTTCAGGTTAACGGAAACAAATGAAAGATATCCATTTTTAAATCATTAGCAATAACAAGTGCTTATGTAATCGTGGTTAGCCATGATCTAGAAGGAATGAAATTTTCCTACGAATATATTAAGATAGCCCCTTACGTAATTTTTATTTATGGTCAACAACCATAATCTAGAGTAAAATTATTAGGAAATATTACCTGTTTATTCAATAAATTGTGATATAATTTTTCGATAAAGACGAAAATTCCTGGAGTATTCACAGAACGCTACAAATCAGAATCACAAAACATATACACTGAAGAAGGTTTGGTCACGAAGTCACGTACTATTTTATTCATAGGACAACACGGTTGATTTATGTCAGTGTCAATCGCCATTTTTTCTGGATGCCACATGGTTGTTAGATTGTGCACGAACCCGCATACGACGTTGCCGGCTTTTGCATAAATCTGAGACTCTTTTACAATTATATATTGAGCATTTACTAAAGATATATGGAAGATTTTATAATGACATGTTTTATTAACATATTTTTGCTGTTATGACAAGTAAATAATCACTCATCTGTTTAAGCAGCAGCGTCAATAACATATGCCATTATAAAATCATCCATATATCCTAGCTATTTGAACATTTGAGGACAGTAAAAGAATCTATAATTGAGAATATATTTTAATCTAAATTTCATATTGTATGGACACATCAATAATATGTATGCTCCAAATATTTTCATTTCTGGTGATGGCCTCCTGCAGCACCTGCATGGAAAAATTGTTAGAATTAGTGATGCAAACAAATTATTTCAAAAAGAAATAATAGTTATCATTTACAACTGTAAGGTTACTAGAGTTACCAGATTTTTCATAAGAATTATAACACAGGGATAACTAATCACATTTCCATAACAGTGATAATCAGAATGTAAAAGCTTTACGGAAAATATGATCACTACTTCACCTCCCCGGGCGACAAATCCATTCCAATGTCTAACCTGGAGTTTTTTGGTTTGACACTTAGTTAATTTGGATTGGCGATTTCTGGCGATTTTCTCATCAAAACTTGACGACCAACGGGACTGAAAACCTGGCAACCCTGCCGGCATTATCTATTTTTATCTGAATTTCTGAATCAGCGTTGACAGACATACGATAATTATCGTTTCTGTACGATAATTTCAAGTACTGTACGATGTACGATAGTATGTGTAGGATAATAGCTGAATGTACTATAATTTTGCGAATGAGCTTTTTTACTCACAGATGTTGAATCAATCTAACAACTACGTTCAATTAACACCATCAAGCAGCTGTCAGTGTTGCCGCTTAAAAATCAAAAGATCATTTTCAGTTATTTTCGATATTTAACCGGTTTCAATTCAATAACGATATGTCGGATTCCGAATCAAGTTGCTCTGGAAGAGAGAAGCACAACAAAAGATGCGATACTCTCGAATACAGAAAACAAAAGAAAATGAGCGGAATCTTTGAAGAAAGCCAAACATAGACAGCAAGCTTATAGGAAAGAGTGGGAAACAAAAGAGACCCCCCCGAGACGGAAATTTTCCTTCATCATGAATCCTGAGAGAATCTAAGGGCGTATGCACATAGAAAGCTGGTTACCGGCGCCGATCTAGCAGCGCTTATCGGAACCGGTGCGCACAGGCAGCCGGCGCAGGCAGTTTCTATACTTTGTGTCGTAACAGCGCCGATAAGCGCCGAACGGTGCCGACAAGTTTTGACCGGTTCCGACCTGCACCGATAAGCGCTGGTAAACTGCCATTTGCGGCTTAATTTTCAAGGGAACAATACCGCGTTTAATAATATGGATATTGATATACTGATTTCGTTAGTTTTTAGTAAACCACCTGTTTGGGATAAAAGAGACAAAAGGCATTCAAACAGATACGTGGTGGATAAATGCTGGAGGGAAATAAGTGCCGAGATGGATGTAGGCGGTGAGTGTATTTACTTATTGAATTTATTAACAATAAACACTTAATTATTGTAAGCTAGTGAGTTATGTAAAAAATAATTGACGTAAATATTTCTGATATCCATTGCCTCATTTGAGTCGTGCCCTGAGTTATTCCACCTTCTTCGTACTAAATGAACAGGAGTTAAGTTACGGTTGATACCTTCTTTATCAATGATAGTGTTATGTAAAACACATATACACTTAACGATTTGGTCAGCTACATCAATATTGGTTTCAATACATTTGGAAAGCAATCGCCATTTCGAATTTACTATACCAAACGCACACTCTATAGTTTTTCTAGCTCTTGATAGACGTTTATTAAAGTTGCGTTGTTCTGAAGGCAAATTTCTGCCTCCGAAAGGTTTTAGTAGGTATCTCAGCAGAGGATACGCTTCATCACCTAGAAAAACATATGGTGTTTTCACATTTGTTCCTGGTAAATATTCTGCTTCTGGAATATCCATCTGCCCAGTACTTAAACGTTGGTATAGTTCTGAAGCCTTGAATGTTCCACCGTCGCTTTGTTTACCAAACCCGCCGATATCAATTGTTATAAATTTATAGTTTGCATCTGCGACTGCTTGTAACACGACAGAAAAATATTTTTTGTAATTGTAAAACATGGACCCTGATCCATCTGGACAGAGTATGCGCACATGCTTTCCGTCGATTGCCCCTAAAACATTTGGAAAATTCCAAATATTGTTGAAGTCATTTGCTATTGCACGAAAAGCCTCCTTTGTAGGTATGGGCATGTGTACTGGATGTAATTCATCCCACAATACATTCGTTGTTTCTTCTATAATATCCTTTATTGTGGAAAGACCCATTCTAAATTCAGAAGCCAAATGTGCAAATGTTGCCCCTGTTGCCAGATACCTGTAAGAAATAATACGACTGTTTTTTTCCAGAAAACAAACTGAGGAAGAAATGGAAATATTTAAGGGATCAGTTCGCGACTGAATATGGGAAAGTTCCTGCTCCTCGATCTGGAGATGAAGCTTCGACTTCGTATGAGCCGAAATGGCCATATTATTATTCCCTAATGTTCCTGAAAGATATTGTCAAACCAAGAAATTCTTCAGGAAATTTAACCAAATCGTTGAAACGTGCTTCATCTAGCAGATCTGTAGAACAGACTAATAATTCCGACGACAGTAAAGACAATGATACGAGTACACATCATGCACTAGAAGAAAACAGTAATGACACCAATTCAGTTCCACGTAACAAAACAAAAACAACCAACCCATTCAATCAAAGTATGCTAGATACTGAAAGAAAAAAGTTGGAATACCTGGAACAAAAAGCGAGAAAACTTGAAGACGATGAACATCTACTGTTTCTGAAAAGTCTTTTGCCTCATATTCGTAAAATTCCACAAGAGCGGTTGCTTTCGTTTAGAAATGATATTCAAAGAACAGTTGACATTTATGCATACCAGTCCCAGTTCCCGCGACTCTCACCTTCAACTCTCTCTAGCTGCTCTACGGAACCACATGCAATTCAGTCTACACGTCAGACACCAGAACCATACACAACCCAATCAGCAGCACATCCATTCCACTCAACACCAATCCCACGCCATACACCAGAATTACAAGCAACTCAACCGGAAGCACAATCATTCTACTCACCGCCAATCACACCTCACACACCAGAATCACACGCAACTCAATCTGTATCAAAAGCATTCCATGCGCCAATAAGCACATATTTACAGTCTTTCGCTGAGGGCCTATCAGAATACCCTGATAATTAAATTAAAAATGTTTGATACGTACCGAATGGTAACAACAAGTCTTTCTTCTGGGAGAATAGGTTGTTGATGCCAATTACACCAGTTTTTTATGAATCGATGTTCTACTTTATCCAAAATGTAGTAAAATGTTTCTGGAGTCATTCTTGTATATCTATAAAATCTTTGTTTGTCTGCTTTAATGTCTTGAAATAAATGATGATATTCTCCGTAAATTTTTCTTTTTCTATTTATGGTGTGTACACTTTGTTTGCGCATTTTGAGAAACACATTTTCTAATAGAAAGATATCTTCATCTGAGGAGCTCGACATTTTGCTCGCTGCTCAGAGAGACACAAAGCATAGACAGAGAGACGCCAGCGAGCTTCTGCTTAAACCCGCTTGCTTTATGTAGAGGTTGCCGGAACAGACCAGCGTCGATAAGCGCTGGTAGATCGGCGCCGGTAGCCAGCTTTCTATGTGCATACGCCCTAAGGCACAGTGTAGGATAATGTGCGATAATTTTGACGTGTTTGTACGATAATTCCCTGCGACGAATCTGGCAACCATGATCTGAATGTAAAAATATCAAATATGGCGTTTGTTTTGGTTAATATCTAGATTATCAACGTTGATGCTTTTGGAGATATTTCGCAAAAAATGAGCATAACATATAAAATAACAAAATTAGTACCTATAATGGTATACGTGAAATGTATTGTGTCGATTGTGGGAGGTGCATAAAGCTCAGGAGACTCTGTCATGTCATAAAGTGCTACAGGTAGGCTGTGAACTTAACCATATCGGCATGATGTATTTGGTAGATTATTTAAAATTGCATGTCTGGATTCAGCCTCTTTATAATCCTTGTAGTTGGCACCGTTGTATTAAGTTTGAAAGGCCAGCAAATTGAAGGGGTAGAACTGAGCAAACTAATGAAAAGTGACTAGCTTATTTACAAATAATTATGAATTACATTAGCGTTTTCTGTATTGTTTCAGCATTATCAACAAGCAGTGCAATGAAGCGAGACACTTATGTTTTACAACACTCAACCTGAATTTCATATAAATCTATCTATATTTTCATGTAATACAATTTCTATACCATTGTTAACAGCATATGAATATTTTTTGAAACTAAATAAATTTGGTGCTTCATAATTATTAGGGTTGGATTTTTCATGCTGAACCTTCTTCGCAGTAAAATTGCTGAAAGAGATATTACCCTTATTGGGGATATTTTTTTTGGAATATATGTTTATGAAATAATCCTTCAATATCGGAAATATCTTTAGCAGATTTCAAATTATGAACAAACGAGATTCCCGGCAGTCCGGCATGTTCCTAGCATTCCGTATTCCAGTCGCATTCACGATTCACGGCATTCTTTCGATAGTTCCTCCAGATCTCCAGGCAAGTAGGCGGATCAACCATCTGACAAAACGTCAACGGTGCTGCCATTGTTTAACATGCATCACCCACTTCTTCAGCCTTATGTGTTTTGTGGAGGTTAACTAGAAAAGAAAAAAAGGCAGCAATTAACCGTCATACTTGTCAAAGGCGCCATTTTTTCTGGATGCCAACAGTGTTGTCAGGTTGTGTTCGGCAGCACCGCACTGTTTTCCATTCTCCCATACGAGTTGACTCCCCATGTAAGAAATGCAAATATAGAAGTAAGAAAATTGGCGGTAGGAGGATGACAGTCACTTCTACTGCCGGCAGATGAGGTAGTAATGTGTGCGCACAAATTTTCGAAATCAGGATTATATGGCTTTTTTAAACGTTGGGCTTGGTACGTCATATTATAATAATTCACAAACCTTGTGGGTTCCGCAAAAATGTAAATTTCAGAGTTTTAGCAACTTTTCCATTTTCTCGCTACTTCTCTGATTGGAAATCATTAGGTGTCATAATATTTGACTATTCCGAAGTAAAATTGCCCAAAGAAGTTAAAAATGACCTTCAAATTGGGATATGATGATTAGGCTGACACTTAAAATTATTTTCATAAAGGAGATGGTGCAGCCTACCTCCCTATGTAAATGGATTTTGTACTCGGGCCTCTAAATTGGATAAGCCTTTGGATCCAATTTTAGATATTTTGAACCAAAATTGGCCATTTTCGTCATACAGCAGGTCGGATCATGACTCATATCGGACTTAATTTTGTTTTCTAAAGAGAACCCATGGAGGCATAACACTTTGTAAAATCTCAAATTCCTAAGTCGAAAGGTTCGCTCTGGACGACGCGCTCAAAGTTTCGAGGTTCGGAAAAATGTAAATTCAGCCTTTTTGCATCATTTCAATTTTTTCGCTACTCCTGTCATTGAAAAGTATTAGGTCCCGCAAAATATGTGCGATTTTATAACTAGTTGGGTAGATATTTCAGTCAAAAAAATTTTTTTTAATTGGTGATTATAACCTTGGGCTAATAATTCGAACGCGTTGAATCTCTAAATTGGTCGAGTAGTCCTTTTAATCCAATTTTCGTCATTTTAACCCAAAATCTACAATTTTCATCACGCTAGAGAGGGTTTATGGATGTTATTGGAGATTGGTCTGATTGTAGAGGTTATGCCCGGCTCATAAATACATCAACACATTGCTTGACGTCCATTTCCATTGGATAATGCAGCTTTCAAGAGATATTCGCAAACAAAACAAGGAGGATAGGTTGATGATGGTCCAGGAAATTGATGCCTAATAGCCCGTCAGCTGGAAACTTTAGATCATCGTCGCACATGACAAATTGATGTTCCATTTGCATACTTCTGAGGTTGAATCGTACTCTCGCTAATCCTTCCTCGTGGATGATGTTTCCGGAATCCGGATATGTCCGTGATGATCTTATGGTCGTTCGGGGCATCTGGAATATTTAAGCGCTTAACAACTTCAGAGTTGACTAGTCTAACGGCGGCTCCACTATCTATGAGTTTAAGCCAACAGTTGCAAGTACGTCCTACATAAAGTTCGATCCTAGGTGCATCGTAGGCGGCAGCAACAACGTTAGTGTTGTTCACATAGTGTTGTTGAGGCTTGGCGCTCAGTTGGTAGTAGCGCGTACATTTTCTGCCGTACTTGTCATATTGGCTCTCGATTTGTTTGATATCTGCTAACACCGACCTAAATGTTTCTATTTCCTTAAACGATTTGCCTTAACCCCTGTTATCAAAGCAACTCCCTTATCTGTCTATCAATTTCAAATCCTAACTCCAACGAAGGGCCACTAATCGCTCGTTTATTTGCAACTTCTAAGTACGACGTGACGGAATGACCACCAATTTCGGGAGTTTTCAACCAACCTATACGATAGTGACAAAACCATCCACAAAAACAAACGAAATTCGAAGAGCTCCTCTGCTACCCGCCATTGGAACGGGTAATTATAAAATGCACGACAATTTATAAAGTTATCGAACAGGTCCTGGCCCCTTCCTGGAATGACAGTTTATAATAACCTAGCCGCCTAAAAATTAAATTACTTTTTTCTTCCTTTTTCCTGGCTCAGGCTAGGAAAGTTCACCCTATCCTTCAATGGGAATAGATGCCATAAATATATGGTTAATAACTATACCTATGACTAATGCTCCTTATCAATAGCTGAAAGGGATAAAAAACGACTCTAGAAATATGCTGTGGGAAAATTATTTAGTTAAAACAAATATCTAAAGCTTAAATAACTTATTATAGCTGCAAGAAAAAAATATTTTATTCCCAGAAGAAATAGTTAATCAACTAAATTCACGCTGGAAGAAAACGGTGGTTAAAGCTGTGAACAACATTGATCTTGACTTATCTCTGAAAAAATTTCTTAACTAAATTCCCCGAAAAATAATTATTTGAAGCTGTGGCCAAAAATAATATTATCTTAACTATTACGTAAATCAGGGCTGTCCAACATACGGCCCGCGGGCCGCATGCGGCACGCGAACTGCTTTCTTGCGGCCCGCTTCATGGGTCATGTATACATCACATGTATAAATTACTCTCAAATTCCAAATATTCACAATTCTTACATTAACTCTGTAATAATGTTGTATAGAAAGATTTTATAATGCGGCCCTCCAAACTGCATTTTTTTTTTGAAGTGGCCCTTGGGCCACATTAAGCTGGACAGCCCTGACGTAAATAATATTTTTTTCTAGTTAAAATATTAGCTGAAAATAAAGACTGGTTATAGCCGAAAAACTATTGTTAACTGATTGAAGTAATTCCTTGTCTTAATTTTTTACGGAAAATAGGCAGTAGCTGTAGATGAGAACAAATCGTCGCCTGAATGCAGAACTATTGTATGTCCAAATTCTTCGTTTTTCAGATTTTAACACGACATTGTGGGTCATAGTCACCTACATTGCATGCAGAGGTATTGTAAGTCCCTGCGCAAGCGTTCCCCCACCACAGGTTTTGAACGATATTTTGGGGTAATAGCTTGAGGGGCGTCATTTCGCTGCAGAACTATGATAAGAGCAGATGATCACTTACAGAACGACTGTAAGTCCAATGTCAGCAACAAATATAAGTCTACTTTCACGGACTAGTCATACTTTTTCTCCGGTAAAGCATTCTATATCCAAAATTTCTCAGAAATGTTAGGCAAGACACAAACACGAAAAATAGCTCTCCCGTAAAATATGTATTTTGTGACTTAGAATACTTCTGCATTCAAGCGACGAAATATATTATTAATTTATATAGAGAAATTACCCTTTTTCAAATTCATACATAAAATTATTTGAAGCTGTGAAAAGATTTAAAATTAGCTTTCTGAAATAAGATTTATATTAGGCTAAAACCAATTCTGAGTTTACCGAAAAAGAAATTACGATCAGTATTACCTCGAGTGATCCCAATTAACTCTTAAAAGCCGTGAATAAAATTTAATTAGTCACTCGGGTCGCCAATCCTGTCAAATGACAGATGCTCCAAGACCACTTGAATTGTCTACACAAATGTGCAGTCGAAGTCTTCGCCTCATATCACTTCCTCTCACATGTTGGCACTAGCATGTACTGTCTGCTGGCGCAAACTCTAGCTAACTTCGTTTATTGCTATTATGATTTTAATTTTCCTCAACTGTCCAAATAACGAGTTGAATAAACAAGAACTGAACTTGTTTTGAGCCGCGATATCTAATTTATAGCAATCTTTTTACTACTACTACATTCGTAGCGATGTGTATTTCTATATTCTATTCAAATTATTAATTCTGAGACTCAAGTAAAAGAAGAAACAATTCTATGACGCAGGCTTTTGTTTCTGAATCTATTTTATTTGCTGACTGGGGTCTCTGCTAGACACTCATTTTTAATGCACCTGTAGCGTTTTTCTGGCTTCTTTTGGGTGTGGATTACAACACTGGATTCCACAAAAAGAAATGCACTAATTTATTTATCTTGACTAGATAGAACATTTATGTATACCACTATTTATGTCTGACTAATTCTTAAGTCGCGCCACTGACTGGATTATACTCCACTCTGCTCTACTCTACCCTACTCTGCTTCCCTCTCCCGGCCGTCGAGTTATATAGTCCGCATCGTTGGGCCGAGAAGAATCGTGTGAGCCACATAGCGGCCTTCCTGAATCGTCGAGGTCACTTCGCGTCGATCTAGAAGGCGAGTCACTGGCACGGTCCTCACAGATGTCGCCAAACGGCTTGTGCGGTCGTGATCCGCGTAAAAACAGAGATCGGCTATGAAGCTCTGTCGAGTAGGAGGAGTCTCCCAAAAGATGGTGCCAACTGTTCATTATTATTACACTGCCCCCTCCCTAAAGTTATTCCGTCCCGGAATGATCTTACTGGTGGTGGATGTCGATATCGGCGCGACTGCCCTTTCTTGCGGTAGGAGTTCTTGAACAAGTAACAATCCACACAGTTTCCAGGAGGTAGCCGCCTAGGACTGTGACAACGTACCAGAAATCGAATGCCTGTATACCGGAAGACTACCTCAAGCATGCTTCGGATGATCCTCCAGTCCAGGTTGTCCAGTCGACATGCCAGCTTAGGTATTGCCAGTTTTCTCAGGTCCTCGGAAGCAATACTTATCTAAGAGAACACAAGGCGTTCCAGACATCCTCGTAATTCGGTTTCTGATACGAAGCTTTCTTGGTAACCAGA